GGTGGGGGTTGAAGTCTGGTTCTAGAGTGAGCAGCCTGGCAAATGAGGCACTTGCTTTCTGTTGATGGCACAACAGGGAGTCATTCTGAAGTCCACAGAGGGCCTAAAGCATCAAAGTAATCTGGGTTAAGTCTGTCTTTTTTCATTTGTGCCTGTTCAAAGGTATTGTTTTTATTTGCAAGGTGAAAGTAAGGTAACAGTTGTGTTATTAAGAGTGTGTATTTCTAGGATGTGAGCATACCCTTTTGGCATTTGTGTTTTTCTTCAGCCACATCTCAGAAAAATTTCAAGTCTGTTGTGTGTGACAGCAATGGATGAGTGCTTGGTCAACATCTTGGTTAAGAGATGCTGTTCTTAGCCTCAGTTTCTGAGTCTTTTTGTTGTCCTAATTTCTGTTCCCATATTTTATGTTTCTTGCCAGAACTGAAGGATGCACATCACTGAAGCTACCTCTGAAATAAACACTTTGATGTTCTTGGGGTAGCAATGCTTCTTGGAGAAGCTGGTTTCAACACTGGTTTGTTGAAAGTTCTGTAATCAAGTTGTTACCTTAAAATATGTGTTTAAGGTAGTTTTATCTGTTCCCGTTGTGTGGCAGTGCAAGATGATTAGCACAGTTACCTCGTTTCCTGCGTGTGAAGGAAGCCTCCGCATTAGACTAATCCAGCATTTGTCTGGGTTGTGTGCATTGCCACACTGAGTACCGATTTCCTGTTACCCCTCTAAAGGTGACTTTCTTGATGTATTTCAATTCCTCCGGGAAGTTTCAGCAAGCTGGGTATCTGGGGAGCAGCAGAGTTCCTGGAATGCTGTGATTTCTAGGCAAAAGGGCCCCATGTTACACAGGGTTACTCCCTCCTCCAGGGCAGATGGACAGGCAGCTCTGCAGCCAGGTTGTCACCATGGGATTTGGGAACGCTCGCAGTCCAAATGTGAAGGGGCTGTCCTGGCCGCTCAAGTAAAGGGCTCTGTGAAACCTCATAGGGTGATACCTCTACCCCAAAATGCTGTCTTTTCATGGGTCTTTTAATTTGAATAAAGTTATACATTGCAGCAAAATATCTTAGCTTCATACAGCATGAGAAAAAAGGTTAATATAGACAAGTCAGCTAAATTTGGCTAGTTGATGGTGTCTCTTAGGCTCTGAAGCTGTGGGGATAAAGAGAAAATGGTGTGTTTGTGGGGAAGACTTAATTTTCCAATGTATAAAATGTTTAGGTGACATTGTTTCTTGGCTCCATGTTTCAAAGATCTTCAGTTCTGTGATACAGCATTTAAATAGCTGGTTTTTGATAAGGCTCTGTTTAGTAGGAAACTGTGTATAACTCAAGGGATTGTGTAATTCTTCGTGAGGGCTAGGGGGAACCTCCTGTATTGAAATGGACTACGTAATCGTGTGTTACTTATTCTACTGAATATACTGAAGTTAAATATTAGTTAGCATAATTTGAGCTTCTTCCCTCTTTGCTGGGAGTTAGGGAAAAGCCACGTGTATGGATGGTGCATGTTACAACAGAAGGGCATATGCTTCCTATTAAAAATGCAAAACTGTAAAATGAGTATTCCTTTAATAGGTATTGAAAATATGAAGGATGCTTTTCCAGTTGAAGACTGAAATGGTCTTTAAAAGATACAGGATTTAATATTGAAAGCAAGGCTTTTAAAATCAGGGTGCCTTTTTTTAGGCGGCACAGCATAAATGTGTGCCATAGGTGCACGTTGTGCTTTCAAAGGAGCAGCGTGTGCCGTGGGAACGATGCCGCTGGGATGTCGTGCCTGCCGTGGGGATCGGGGACCGCCCGCCCGTGGCTGGCGGGGCGGGAGCTGCGGGCACTGCGGCGGCGGAGCTGCAGCCGGCCGGCCCGGCAGGGATGACATCACCCCAGGAACATGTGATGCTGCCGGCTGGCGCGGAGGATGCTGAGCTGTGGAGGGAGAGATTGGTGCAGATATTTATGGCATTTCATTTGAGTGTGGTAAATGCCTTTTTTTTTTTTTTTAATTAAATCCTCAAATCCTCACATCCACAAATGTTTGTGGAGAAGAGGCTTTAAAAGGGGGGAGGGAGGACCCACCACAAGCCCTTAAGACCTGCTTATATTGCTGGTTTTTGTTTTATTTTTGCTTCGTTGGAGATAAAAATGATACTTTCCTGCCGTATTCACCCTCTTTGCTCCCCAGCATTCTTTCATCTGTTGTAATCCCCACAGTCTTTTCAGTTAAGCTTTAACAGTGCAGAACTGGAATAAAAATAGACTGTTTAGAGCAGCAGGAATATGATAATCCAAGGCAGTCAGCCTTAAGGATATGCAGATGCAGAACATGAGCCAAGCACTAACATATTTGCTAGGGTGTTTACCTTGAGCGGCCCCTTAATAGTCAGAGAAATGTTCGCTAAATGTTTCTCGATTCTTACATGCCACAGGCAAAGTAAAATGTGCAGCTACTGCGCATCATCATCTGAGGTGAAGTAGTTTAAGGGCTTAGAAATCTGAGCAAGCAATTGCGGTAACATCAGTGTCTTGGTTAATTTTGAGCTAAGAGAGACAGCAAAGTATGGCACTAGTTTCTGCATGCTTTTTAGGTGAGGAGAAAGTGTTTTCTACCTCTGAATTTACTGTAAAGAAAAGGAGTTGCCATGGTTGATATGAAAACTGAGCATGCTAAATTGGCATTAAGCTTATGGTGGGTAGCTCAAAGCACATTAAAAAAAAATATTTAACCCTGGAAGTGTGCCTCTATGCCTTAGCAGGCAACTGAAGTCCAAATATTTCAAGGTGGAAAAGGGTATTTGCTGTCTTTTTAGATGATTTATTTAAGCCCGAGCTTTTTATTAAGGCTGTTTAGAGTTTTAGTCCATAACAAGCAGAAATGTAGTAGAAACAAAACCATATGCAGTTTCAGTAAAAGGCTGATAACCCATAGCCAGTTCTCTGGAGGAGTAATAATGCAGGAGGTTCCTTTGGCTGTGTCTTAGACTCTTGAGAGCCTAAGCGCAAACATGAAAGTAAACCCTGCACTGCTTTGCCAGTCTGGAGTTGCTGTGTAATTGCAAAATACTGTTCACCATGTAGAAACCCTCCATGCTATGTGGTTACTCAAGGAACCAGTTTTCCTGGTCTGGCCTTTCTGAGAATGTGTACTGAATTTTGGGTTTGTTTTTGGTCTGTGGTGTTCATGTTAAAACAAGGAACTAGCCAGGGAACTTCCATCTGGCTGGTGGTTGATTTGCTTTTCTTTCTTTTGTTTGCATTCTGTGAGTGCTGAGACAATGCCCTGGTCAAACACTTCAGTTATGGTGAACTTGAGGGACCCGTTGCTGACAGACATTTGTCTGAATTTCCCCTTGCTGACAGACCCATTGCTGACAGATATTTGTCTTAAAAATCCCCAGTCATGGATATGCCATAGTCTTCCGCAGGCAATCCTATGTGCTGTTCTTTCCTTTGCAAAATTTCCAGCCATCTAATAAACCTCTTGCTGTAATTCTAGCAAGCTTTTGTCACCAATAGGCTTTATGTGTTCTGAGGACTGCCACCACGTCTTCCTGCAGTTCTTCAGGTGAAACAGATGCATAGATGATGACATGCAAACACCTGACCGTCTTTGTCCCTTGGGTGTTGTGCATTGTGCATCCTGGGGCTGTTTTGAAGGGTAATGCCCATAACTAGATGCTGTAGTGACACAGAAGTTTCAGTACTGCTGTCTCAAGTAGAAAACCTGTGATGTAATTGACATATATGATTCCCTTAAGTATAGGTCTTATGTTATTTATTGACACGACTTGATACCTTCAAGTTTTAGTTTAGAAATGCTCAGCTTTTTCATTTAAGCTCAGAATCTGAAACCAAAGTATGCAAAGCATTTAGATGTTTTTGAGGAAGAAGAGTCTTAACAGCACTTTGGTGCTTCAGTAGTTACAGAGAAGCAATGTGCTTCCCACTTAGTCCAGCAGAGGTACTTTCTTGGATATGGGATTATTTTAAACAACACATGAATCCAAGCAGACCAGGAAGGGTTGTACAGATAAGTTAGTTGAAGATGTGGCACTCAGTTCTTCCTGTAAGATGAACAGGTAAGATAAACATGACCAGTTCTGTATTGCACAGGTGAAATATAAAGTAAAAGAATGCTTCCTAAATCTTCCTTGTCAAAGAAGGAAGAACTTTAGAATTTGGCCACAAAATTGGAGTAGTAGAAATAGGAAGCAGAGAGGGAGGAGCAAGCTGGTGATCTGCTGCTTAGCAGCATTGACTGTAATCACCCACCTTGGGCACTGCTTCATACTCCTTGTATGTACAGAGTTAGTACGATAAAATGTCCTCTCATTTGCAAAATGCTGCTTCTGACAGCCAGCAGAAAAAAATTCTGCTTACAGAAGTGACTTTAAGAAAAGTTATATGTAAATAGTGTTGGGGATTTTTGGTGGGTCTTTTCGTGTTTATTTGGGTGGGTCGATTTTTTTTTGGTGGGTTTTTTTTTGGGTGGTTTTGTTTGTTTGTCTTCGTTGTTGTGGGGTTTGGGGGTGGGGTTTTGGTTTGGGATTTGTTTCTTTTTTTACTGTAATTATTCTCAGCATACCTACTCCAATAGCTTGATACTCTTCCTCCCTTCTGGGAAAAAAAGAAAAGAAAGAAAGAAAGTGGGATTTGGAATGCCTAAAATCCACAGGATCCATATGATAGTTTTTATTGAATTAGACGTTTCTATTTTACTGATGAAAAAGGCTAATTCTTGTATCTTGTTTTCTACTGAGGCTTGCTAACAGGCCATGCTATTTGTGTTAAGCTGGTCAAAGTGATGACTTGTCCATTAATATATTTTTAAAGTTTAGGGTTTTTTTTTTGCCAGACTTTATATTGTAAGATTATCTTAATCCCTGTAATCATAACATTCAGAATGTATTCCAAAGGTAAATGTTTTTCAGGGCATACATTAAATGTAGAAACTGAACTTGTCTGAATTCTTGACTAATCATCTTGTCTTTTTCTTTTTGTCAGGGTTTCGCAAAAATGATGAAATGAAGGCTATGGAAGTATTGCCAATTTTAAAGGAAAAAGTTGCATACCTTTCAGGTACAGTTATTTTCTCTTGTAGAATGCCCAAGGGTTTTGTTAGTAGCATGTAAAATGGTATTTCAAATACTTTAAATTAAAATCTAAATACTTTAAATTTTAATTAAATTTAAATACTTTGCAAAATACATGGAGTGCTCGGGCAGCACTGATTCCCGTGGTATATCCTAAACATGACATATGCATTTCAAAAGGCATAATAAAGGAGGTATTTGTTTTCTTGAACATGAACATTGCTAGTTGTTGTCTTGGTCATGTAAGTCCTGCATTCTCCCTGGCCTGCACATCATTATTTACAGCAACTTAGAACCTGCTGTATCAAAGTCATATTCCATTTCTTATTTCTGGTTCTTCTGATAGGGAATTTTACAGAGATGAAAAATTTGTTACTGGTTCATCTGCAGCATATTCTGGAGAAATATGTCTATTGCAGAAGTGAACTTCAATTGCCTGTCTTTTGAAGTACACACAGTATTTTCTTGTTGAACTGACTTAGCATGTAATTGTAGGTAGTTCCAGCATAATACACATTGAATTTGGTTGTCTACTGAATGAGGAATAGCAGGAGAATTTAAAGGTGGGATTTATATGAGTTACTATCACAACATAGTCTATAATTTCATAAGTACCTTTACTTTATGGAATGATGGGCTGAGATGCTTATTTTTGTAAACTGCATTTTGGTGTGACTTTCTTTTGGAATTAAACACCCATCATTCTCTTGGCCTTAATCTTAGTGTCAAATGATTTAGACGACAGTGCACATACCTAAGCAAGGAGAGTGTTTTCTTATAAGGTACAGTTGTCTAGGTTTCATATAAGGAAATAGCCCTTGGTAACTTGTCTTGCCATAAAAACCAACTGTTTAGCTTTCTTTACAGGAGTACTTTGTAACTAGGTAAAAAGGCATTTCTCAAAAAATCTGCATTACTCAGCCTGTTGGATTTTAGTGCCATTTGGAGACCACTGAGAATACTGCCATTAGTGATGTGCATTAAACAGAAATAATGTATGTTATACAACTCATGTGATTTGATTGGGTAGATGTTTGCAGAATTTTGTTTGATTCTGTTTGGCACAAACAGAATATCTCGATAGTGGGGTGGTATATTAAAGGAAGTGGATTAAAATGGAAGTCTTGCTGATGAAAGCAATAGTAGCATAATCTGTTTCTGTTAAACAAAGATTAATAAGGGGTTGAGTTGGATAAAGACTATTGCAAGACAGGAAATTCCCACTGATGCCTCATGCATTGTTGCTTTTAATTTTCCTGTTTCTGTATGAGACAAGAGCATCAGGAACAAAGGAAATGAGAGTTAGTTATTGTAAAAGGCCTAAGAAAGCTGTTTTTAGAGCTGATAAAAAAACTCCAAGTCTTATGGACTTTTTTTTTATTATTATTTGCAATTTTGCTACCTGGTTTAAGACTAGATAGTGAAGTTCTTTCAATCTAAAATCAAGGCTGTATTAATTTATTACTCATTTAGGCCTGGAGTTTGCATGACAGAGTTTGTCCCTGATGTACAGAAGTTTCAGGATATGATTTAACAGAAATTTAAGCACCATTTTCTGTAACATAAACAGAGCTGGAGCCAACTGAAGTGGCGTCCAGAATGACACAAAAATGCCATATTGAAAAACTGCATGATACAGGAGCTGCAGTGTGGGAAAGGCCTGGAGGACTGGTCTGAGGTGACTGCACGTAACAAAGCATTTGCTTAAAATGCTTAGAGAGTGTTAAAGACAATTCAGCTCATGCTTTTGCCTGCTAGCTACTGCTTTTTAAAGAATATCCACCCTAAGCAATTGAGTTACTTTTTCTGGGGGCTGGAGTCAGTGGCACTTACCTGTTGAAGCAAATTTTTAAGATCTAAAGGCCTGTGGTGTAATGAGGAGAGAGAACATTAAGGGCTGTAGCAGATTTTCAACTACGCTTGGTAGCCTTGGAGCTCAGCAGGGGCCTGGCATCTTGGACTCTGTCTTGTCATTTATCATTCCTTTCTCCTACAGGTTCTGTCTTGTTTTTCTCCTGTCATTTGCTGTGTAAAAATCCTCGAAGCTCTCTGCTTGGCAAGTGAGTCAGGATGGTCAAGACTTCCCTTTCTCCATTAGAATGAAACAATGTTGTTTTTCATCTTATGTCTCACTTAAGAGGGTCATGGAAGATAAAGATATGAATTTCCTTTTAAGTTTTGCTTTCTGGCATTATAGCTTGACAGAGATTCAAAGATGCTTTTGCCTCTTCTGAGTTTCATTTCATGTCTCACAGGGAGCGTGTCCAGTGTAGACAACCTCTAGAGACTTTGACAGCCAGGCCTAGTGTCTCTGGCAAGCACACACTGACTGTGTTGGAGGATAGTGATGAATTTTTGAGTGACTGGTTTTATTTATTGTTTCTATATTCACATGTGTCTTCTCTTGGTCTTCCTTTCTAAGTGATTTTTAAAAAAACTTTGTTTAGCAACATGGAATTACAATGAGAAGCTGATTTGAAATGAAAAATTCTGGGCTGAAGGTACTGTTTTTCTGCATTTCCATGGGACAGGAGAAAACACATCTGTGGTTGAAAATATGTATGTGAAATTTAGCTTGCAAGAATCTGTGCTATTATAGATGTGTTGATAAAGACATCTAACTGGGCTTGAATTTGGTGTTTAGCAATAGTAACATTTTGTTGTCACTAGCAAGGGGTTTGATACAAAATTATATTTTACTATTCAACTACAGCAAGTCCGGGCAGTTTTGTGACTGAGATGAATGCATTTAAGTGGAACCACTTAAGTCAGATTTTTTTGCCTTATATATTAAGTGGATTCAGAGTGTCCTGTGTTGTTAAAATTAAAAACTATAAACTGACAATTGGGAATCTGCAAATCAGAACAGGATAAAGATAATGTTACTAATTGTTAGTAATGCATTAAATTGAATGCTTAAATAGTTTCCATCTTCTCAATCTATATATTGAGTGTGAACTATTATACAACTAAATTCTCATAGTAATTTGATCATTGAATTCAAAGATTGTTTAGGTTGGAAAAGACCTTTAAGATAATTGAGTTCAGCCCTTAACCTGGCACTGCCAAGTCCACCACTAACCATGTCCCCAAGTGCTTCATCTACATGTCTTTTAAATGCCACCAGGGGTGGTGACTCAATAACTTTCCGAGGCAACCAGTTGTCCAATGCTTGACAAGTCTTTTAGTGAAGAAATTTTTCCTAGTATTCAATCTAAACATTCTCTGGTGCAGCTTGAGGTCATTTCGTCTCATCTTGTCTCTTGTTACCTTGTAGAAGAGACCAACACTCAACCCCACTGCAGCCTCCTTTCAGGGAGTCGTAGGGGAGCAATAAGGTCTCCCCTGACCATCCTTTTCTCCAGGCTAAATCCCAGCTCCCAGCTGGCAATCCCAGCTCCCTCAGAGGCTTATCATAATCCTTGTTCTCCAAACCCTTCAGCAGCTTTGCTGCCCTTCCCTGGACACACTTCAGCACTTCAGTGTCCTCCTTGTAATGACTGGGCCCAGAACTGGACAGAGTATTCGAGTTGTGCCCTCACCAGTGCCAAAGACAGGGGACAATCTCTGCCCTGGTCCTGGTGGCCACACTTGCTTATACAGACCAGGATGCCCTTGGCCTTCTTGGCCACCTGGACACACTTCTGGATCCTGTTCAGGTGCTGTCAGTCTGCACCTCCAGGTCCTTTTCCACTAGGCAAATTTGCAGCCTTTCTTCCCCTAGCCTGTAGCGCTGCCTGGGATTGCTGTGACCCAAGTGCAGGTCCCAGCACTTGGCCTTGTTCAACCTCATATTACTGACCTCAGCCCATCAATCCATCATCTGCAAATTTCCTTTTTATTCATACCCATAAACAGTCAACTTTCTTGGTACCATCATTAAGCTCTAGACAGTCATAACACTCCTAACATTTAGGGCTACCTTGCCAACTCTCCTTCCTTGCTTACCTGTTCTGAAGGGTTTACAGCCATCTGTTGCAGCACCTCAGTTGTGCAAATCATCCCACCATGTTTCCATGATGGCTGTGTCACAGTTTTCCTGATGCCTAATGGCTTCCAGCTCCTCCTGTTTGTTGCCCAAGCCATGTGCATTGGTGTAGATGCACTTCATTTTGGCTATTAATTCTGTCACTTTTTTGGGGGGAAGAAGCCCTAATTCCTACATGACCATTCTCAGGTGCTTCCATGCTTTCTGACACATCAATATCTCTTACATCTTGGCTGCTGCATGGATCTCTGTTTCTACCTCCTGTGAGATGGCAGACTAAAATACCTTGCTAGTTCACCATTCCTCAGACACTGGTGTGCTGCCCCCATGCTGATCAAAGTGAGCATGGCTTTATCAAGTCTAGTTTAAAGTTCTTTTGGTGAGCCCTGATAATTTGTGTGCAAAGGTCCTTTTCCTCCTTGGAGACATGTGTACCTTGTCTGCCACCAGCAGGCTCAGTGTCATGTGAATCAACCCATGATCAGAAACCTCAAAAATCTCCCAGAAACACCAGGCTCCGAGCCCAGTATTGATCTGATGGCTCTTCCCATTTCTTCCCTTACCATTCTCTGCAACAGGAAGCACAGAGAAAGCACTACCCATGCTCCTGACCCCCCAGTCATCTCAAGGCTTTCAGGGATAGACTTCAATCACATCTCTCTTGATTGCCCTTGGGCTTCTTGTTGCAATTTCTTGCTGTCTCCCTGAAATATGGGTTAATAATAATGGATTTTCCCAAGGGCCATAGGGTAGGAAGCTTTCTCATGACATCTTTAACCCTGGGCCCAGGGAGACAGCAGGCTTCCTGAAGAAGTTGTCACAGTGGGCCTTTGTTCCCTCCAGGAGGCAGTCTCCTATGCCAGTGATCCATCTGTCTTCAACCTACTCACCTCCTCCCTGAGCTATGTCACTAAGCAGAGGAGCTCCTCTACCTGGGCACACCTCCCACAGCTGTGCTCTCTGCTGCCATATCATCTAAATTCTTGCCTACAAAGTAGCATAGTTCTGTATTTAAATTAAATCTGTACAATTGCTGAGTCAAAAATTAAATACGTAACAGAGTGCCATTGCTGGAGATGTCACACTACCAGTCAAACTTGGTGACTGTAATGTGTAAGAGCAATGCTCTGGTTATTCTTTGTTTCAATTTTTTTGGCATTTGCGTTCTCACTGTAGGAATTGTGGCAATACACTGATCAATACTCCCAAAATTCAATCTTAAGTTGGTCTCAAAAAGACAATGTTGGCATTTAGGTTGAAACCACTTTTTTTAAAGTTGATGCTGAAGACTAGCTCTGCAGACAAGAATTTTATGTTATGCTGTGGGATCTTCTAACATTTTTAATTTTTCAGGTGGCAGAGATAAACGTGGAGGTCCCATTCTAACATTTCCAGCTCGTAGTAATCACGACAGAATACGGCAAGAAGACCTTAGAAGACTAATTTCATATCTAGCGTGTATTCCTAGGTAAGTGATCGTATGTTAATCTTTAACATATAAAAGCTGTATAACAGAATAAATGGATTATGCTTTAGTACTCCCATAAACTAGCAGACTGAATGAGTTAATAACATGAGCAAATCAATACCAAGTTTTGTCATTTGCTATTTTCAAATGGCTTTTTGGAAGAGAAATAATTACTCCGCATTGTAAAAGGAAAGCCACTGGCAGAAGGGCAGCTGCTGGCAGAAGCTTTAGCTGGAAGTAGTTTGTTTCTTGAAAGGGCACTGCCATGCCACATTGGTGTCACTGTTGAAGACTGCAAATACAACTCAAAGGCTTTCAGTACATCAATAATTAGAAACATGCTGGTCATCATTCACCATATGTGTTGTGTGGAGTGTGGTCAGCACAGGACTCCTAACTGTTATTTGTGTTAGATAAATCTCAGTGTTCTGATACAGCATGGAAATAACCAGGAGAAGGGTGTGAGAAATTGCTTGTAAAGCAAAAAAGCTTGTCTCAGATAATCCTGTGGAGTGATCTGTGAAAGTACTGATAGCATTGCATTATCAGCAATGTAACCTGTGAATTGCAGTGAGTTGTTTAAATAAATTGGCAGAAGCCAAATCCAGTGCTAGTGTGTGTGTGTGGGCATATATATGCTCCTATATATATATATATATATATATGTATGTATGTATATATATATATATATATATATATATAGTATGTGTATACATGAGATACTTCTAACAGAAGTTACATATTTTGTATGTATTTAAAAAAAGTTCCTTCATATAGAACTTTGCTTTCTGTAGTAATCAAGTTGGGGACAAAAGTGATCCTAAGACTCTGATTTTAGGTCCATCTTGGAACCTGCCAGCATTTGTTTTAGGCTGGAGCAATGCTGACTGTGCTTGACTATGTTTGTCTGTGACCACAAGCAGCAGTTGCTGTTAGAGTTGAAAAAAATTCCTTGGACAACATCCCTGAGTGCAATATCTTCCATGTTTGTGTAATGTGCTAATTTACAGAGAGTCTCCACTTGACATAATCAAATGCCAGTTTCATAAAAGTAACTTCAAGGCATGTGTCTGAGAGTGTACATGGCCTCCTTTTTGAAAAGTTAACTGGGGGACTCAGGGGACTTAGAGAAAGAGCAGGAAGAAGGCTTGAAATTTTTGCTCTGATTTGAATGGTGAGATGTATTCTAGCCATTTAGATGCTTCAAGTTGCTAGAGAAGTTAATAGAAAAATATGCATCAAAATATGTCCAAGATTTTTTTTAGAGATTATCAGGGCTAGAAACAGTCCCTCTGGCAAAAGGTGTATGTTAGTTCAGCATCAATAGATCTAAAATTAAAAGAAAGTTAGTGCATGTTTTATACTCCTTAAGCATGGCATATTTTTGAGAATAAAGGGAGCTTTATCAAAAGCAAGACTTGTTTTTATACAAGTCATGTTTAAGAGACTCATTATGCAACTCTAGCTAATTAGAAGTCCCAACTGATATAAATATCCCCAAACTTTTGGGCTGTTATTTGTTGCAGTAGTGTTACTTGATGTGGCTGAAGGATCACAGGTGTCAGTTGTTTGGCAAGAGATCTAAAAGCTCAACTCAGTCTCACAATTTCACTGATTTTACAAAATATCTGATTTAAAATTACAGCTAAACTTATGTCATCACCACAGAGTGGGACTGATACTTAAGTGTAGTTTAGGCTTACCAACACATGATCGTGGCTCCGTAGAACAAATCTTGTAATCCTTGGCCAAAAGGGATTCAGCTTGTGTGAGATGGTGTGGCCCCATGTACACAGCCACACTGTATCACACAATGAGGGACCACTTCGGACACCTCAGTAGATGCCTTGTGAATCAGTGGCAAGCACTCCCTGTGCCATCCTCGGTTTGGTGGGATAGGGATGGGCTGAGCAGCACTCCTACTGTCATTTGACCTTTCAGTAATGGGTCTATCTTTAAGATAAATTGTTGTTGTCTATCTTTAAGTAGTTGTTTTTTTCTGAATCCCATGATGATTTTAGAAAACATCTTCACCATGGTGAGAATATTGTATGTTGTAGCCTACATGTATGCCAAGCTAGTTACTTTTAATATATTTTGCTTCTGCCATTGCCATTTTTGGCATTCCTGTGGCAAGTGGGAGAGCCAGCATTTATCACAATAAACTCATTTTTTAAAATGTTGTGGGATGTTTATTATCTCTTCTTTTCCCTAGCTTTAAACTTTTCAAACTTAAAAAAACCTTCCCTCTCTGAGGAACCCATATTGTACTTCTTCCAGATCTCCTATACCAGAATCTATCTTTCTGCAATGTGGCCAATAAGACTGAGTAAAACATGCCAGAGAAGCTTCCCTGCCTCTTGGATGCTCTGAAAACCTCACCACATGAACTCTAGGATGGCATTTGAATTAGTCACATCCCTGAAAGTGACTCATATTCAAACAATGGACATTTTGTCCTTTTTTTATAGTCTGTTGGCTATGATGCATTGGTTTTTGAAATATTTTCATTCCTATAGTCATACTACAAGGTCATGTAGAAAATTCTACTGGAAGAAAATCAAGAGTTTCTGATGGTGGTGGTGATTGTCACTTTTGATCAGTGGCAAGAACTAAACATACGGAAGATATTGATGAAAAGAAATTAAATCTTTCATTTTCAGAGGGAGTGCCAGAGAATTTGAGTGTAAGGTCTGTCAACTTTTGGACAGCAAAATTGAGCTCAAATTTTGTAGAAACAGATTGATGTGGTTTTCTTCACAACCATAACAATGCAACCTGTGTTGTCCTTTAGCTATTCACAAATTGATCCTGTTACAAAAGCAATTGTCGATAAACGGGTGTTTTTCCTCTACAGACTCTAACTCTCAGATAAAATGGTTCTGAGACAGTTTGAAAAAGTTGCAAAGTGGTAGGTAAGAACAATTTGCCGTCTTTTAGAGGATCCCCTCAATCATTAGAAAGACATGAATATTATCATCAGTCAAGTAAGTGTCTCTGTGTTCTGAAGAGTCAATTGTAAATGAATTAGATATTGCTGCTTTAGGAAATGGTAGGTTTACTGTCTGTGTTAGGTGAGGGAGAAACAAGACTGGATGATGAATCATCATGAATATAAACAGTAAAAATGAAAGTGAAGATAACGGCAGAATATCAAATCAGCAACAGATATAAAGCTAGCCCCCACAAGGATTTTGGCATGGAGGTGAAAGAAGCATCTTGAGAGGTTTGTGAGATCTTCTGTATATGGTCAGCTAGTCAGCAGTGAGACCCTGAGGGAGACCACATTCATTAGGCAGTGTGGTACAGTAGAGTGCTGTGTTGGAAGTTGAAACACTTGCTTGATAACATTTCCTTCTGTTTTCTGCAGTGAGGAAGTATGTAAACGAGGATTCACCGTCATTGTAGATATGCGTGGGTCAAAATGGGACTCCATAAAGCCTCTGCTGAAGATTTTACAGGAATCCTTTCCATGTTGTATTCATGTTGCACTGATAATCAAGCCAGACAATTTCTGGCAGAAACAGAGGACTAACTTTGGCAGCTCTAAGTTCGAGTTTGAGGTAATTTTCCCCATGGTATACAAATTTATATTTATTTTGTGTTTTTAAATGTTATCACTAATGATCAGCACCTTGGAAACTATCAGAAAAGTTATATTCTGCCTGAAACAAGAGATACTTTACATCAATGGTGCTAGAAGGAATGTGGTTTTCTTCATGTGCTTAGACTAGGTGATTGTGCATATTGTTGTTTGTATTCTTTTTGCAAGCTCAAGAAAGACTGAATTAGGTTTTTCCCCCCCAATGATAAAAACTTAGGTTTTGTCTTTTTCTTATCTTAAGTCTGCATTATGGTAATTGGAATATCTCCAGAATCCAGTGGAAATCAGCTGAATGAACCTTGCTTTTATCCTCCTGCAACTTTGCAATACACAAAGTCAAAACTTAATCAAAAGTGGTTGCTTCTTTTGGTCTTAAATGTAGTGAGGTAAGAAAGAAATATGGGAAAATACCTGCAAGACCTCCTGTCTTCTGCTGATCAGAATTGATATGTCAAATGTGTAAGAAACATTGTAGTGTGGCCTTCATGAGCAAAATAATCAACTCTTACAAAGAGAAAAGTAAAAACTTGAAAGCAATTTCAAATTAATTTATTTCATTTTTTTCTTTCCATTTTTAATTTTTAGACAAATATGGTGTCTCTGGAAGGCCTTACCAAAGTAGTTGATCCTTCTCAGCTAACCCCAGAATTTGATGGCTGTTTGGAGTACAACCATGAGGAGTGGATAGAAATCAGAGTTGCCTTTGAGGACTACATTAGCAATGCAACCCATATGCTGTCCAGACTGGAGGAACTGCAAGATATATTGTCAAAAAAGGAAATGCCTCAGGACCTGGAAGGTGCTCGCAATATGATAGAGGAGCATTCACAATTAAAAAAGAAAGTCATTAAGGCTCCTATTGAGGACCTTGATGTGGAAGGACAAAAGCTGCTCCAGCGGATACAGAGCAGTGATAGCTTTCCCAAAAAGAACTCTGGGTCAGGGAATGCAGACTTACAGAACCTTTTACCCAAAGTGTCCACCATGCTGGACAGGCTGCACTCAACACGGCAGCATCTGCATCAGATGTGGCATGTGCGGAAATTGAAACTGGACCAATGCTTTCAGCTCAGGCTGTTTGAGCAGGATGCTGAAAAGGTAAGGATTGAGTGAGGAGACTATAAATGGCCAATACTTGACGGACTTGAAAGAAGTACCAAGGGTAACCGAAAATAGTAATTTTTGTCTTTGAAGTTAATCACTAGCCTTTTAATGAGAAATAAGAGACTTCCTGATTGAGAGGCACTCAGGGTCTTCTGGAGTAAAGGGCATGGGATAGTACTTCTAAGCTGTAAGGAACACAGGAAGCTCTTACCAAAGAAAATTTTAACTGCTGATGACTTCAAAGTGCTTATTTTGTTAAGCATTTGTTCCAGACAGCTTTCCCATGCATCAAGTAAAGAGGAATGCTGTATACTTTATAGATACAGGTGATTTCAGACTACACTGGTCTTCTTTTGAGTGATCTTTGGGAAGTGAGTGACAGGCAGTCAACAAAGTCTGAAGAGGCTGACATGGAAAACTGCTTCATTGATGCAGTTTTTGAAGTCCCAGGCTAAAAACTGATGTATCTCTTCTGACAGTGCATATGTCATTAACAGAGAACTGAGTGATTTTAGAATGTTTCAGGCTAATCAGTCCCTTCAAATGAGAAGGCCCTTGATTGTCATGGAATTTGAAGAGGAAGTATGGCAGGCAGATCACTTTTAGATGAGCTCAAATAAGGCCTATTTTCATGTAGAATGGTTTTGCAATCACTTATTATTGACTTGTTACCATGGAACAAATAGCTTTAAGGAAGGGTGGGGAATTCTTCTCTGGGAGTAGTAGTAACTAGACTATGCAGTCAAGTGGTAGATATGTTTTTTGTCAGAGCTTGAAGTACTCAGATTTCTTTAAGTATTTATACAAGATTGCCTGAACTGCATGTGACCAATGGTCAGTGTTAAACCAGTATTCTACTCTCCAGCAGCTGTCACTAGCAAATGCATGGGGAAGAGTGAAAACAGAACAAACATATAAAACTTAATTTCTTCCTGCTTCTTAATTTGTATTCTTCACCTGTACTTTCCTTTACCCTCATCATTTCACCTCAGGGACTTTCCTTACACTACTGTAATGTTTTCTGCTTTGTTTAAAAAATAAATATTTTTTTTAAAGTACCATTTAAAGTAAGTGTTTACTGGTTGGATATAGCTGAAAATAATAGGGACATGTATAGAGTTGGAAAAAGATAAAATTATTATCTATGTCTAAAAATGATTTAGAAAATAATGCAAGCTGTTGTTCTAGTGTTGCTCTTTCAGACCCAAATGCGTTTTATCAGCCTTGCAGTCATTTCATTACAGCATTAATTATCCTGCATTATAGCATATCTTTCAGTACCATGTAAGCACCATCAAAATATGTTTTGTTAGTTTCCTCATATTTTATCTAATTGCTTACATAACTTGGGCTTTAGGAAACTTCTTGTGAAATACTTGAGCCTGTGGGACTGACCTCTGTCCTGCCATACAGTTGCATAAACTCCTAGCAGTGTTTTCTACATTTCTGATTCCAGGAATAAATCTATACTAAATTAACACATCTTTCTTTCAAAGAGGAAATATTAGGCACCTGAAAATGAAGTTGAATGCAGTTACCATGCATGGGACTGTTTTTTTCTCATTAGCCAGTAAAAAAATATTAAAAAGAAGGTTTGTGTAGTATCCCAACTCACTTTTGGATTAAGACCTTTGCCTTAATCTACTTGCAGCCTGTATTTTTACTGCTTGTGTCAGATTAGATTTCACAGCTCATGACTTTTTTATCAGTGTACGTCTGTATTTTACTGAAATGTGGGAAAGGATGGAATCTTTGTTGGAAAAAAAAAAGGGTATTGCATGGGGAGAAGAAAACATGTTCCTTTTGGAGGGCTTGCTCAATTCAGTGCAAGAAATTTGGACTGATTCAGGAGAAGAGAAAGCAAAAAACGGACAAGGGAGGGAATCTGATTGGAATTGCCCTTTAAGTGTCTGAAGGCAGCAAATTCTGACCTAGAGAAGGATGGTCATGAGCAGTAGCAGTGTCTGTTTTGAATAATGTTCTAACACATTTTCATTGAGTTCTAGATATAGAAGCTTAAAATTATAGGAGTGTGTGATCAGGTATCAGACAGGAGCATGTCTCAGTTATCTAAACTTCAAAAGTTTGGTTTACAGTTCTTACTGTATTGGTCTGCTTATAATTTAGTGGTCATGGACTTGGGACAAATATTGGACTTGATAATGTTGTTCTGTTAGCCAGCATGTTTTGAAAGATCTTAAAATGAATGCTTACTTCTACCATTTTTTCCTGGACAATCTGTTTCAGCTTAGAAATCCAGAGAGCAGGTGTGTCTCATTTGCTGAGATACAGCAAAGATTTCAAGACCATTGTGAGCAGGTGGGGTGTTAAACAGCTCTTTGATGTGTTGCTTGGCTTTGCCTTCCAGTGCCACTGTTAACATACCTGTGTGCCTTCATTGATGGCACTGTCATTTAAGGTCTCTCCTAAAATTTGTTTGAATATTAAAATACTCTCTTTTTTTTAAAAAAAAAACCACAAGCATATTTAAAGATTATTCCTAAATTTCTCTTAAATTTTTTTCTGGAAGAAGGTAACTCTGTGCTCACTAATACTTTTAATAAGTCATCTAAAAATAGAATAATTGTTTTCAAATCTGCTGTAAATTTACAAACTAGAAATATTAAACTCACAGCTGAAGTACTTGATCAGCATGAAAGAATTTATATTTAATTTCCATGAGTTGCTATTTTCATTCTAAACTGCTAAGCTGCTGATGTCAATAAGTGCTGACACTAGAGAATGTATAAGCTTGGCAACTCAGGGCTGTGCTCCAAGCCTGTTTGTTTACTATGACTTCTTCATAATAATGAAGTTTGTGATTGTGATATTACTGTAGCTTGTTGTGATAAACACCTGTAGTAAAGATAACAGTAATGGCCTCAGCTCTTTGATACAAAAAGACAGGTTTCAGCAGTGATTTGGTTAAAATATACAGTAACTTAGAATGGAAAGAGCATCAGTGTTAATTATCACAGCCTTAGAGTCTGTATTCTGTGTTCATAGGTATTTTACATTACTTCTCCATGATTTCTGCCATAACAATTATTTAAAATAATTATTTATAATAAAATAAAAATTACTGAACTTCCTTCTTTCCTCAATATTTTCATGTAGATGTTTGACTGGATCACACACAACAAAGGTCTGTTTCTGAACAGCTACACAGAGATTGGAACCAGTCACCCCCACACGATGGAACTCCAGACACAGCACAATCACTTTGCCATGAACTGTATGGTAAGAACAGCCCTCCCTGCACAGGCAGTACAGAAGTGCTGTGGCTATTTGTTCTGTGTTAAGGTAGAATTTGCAAATACATAGACACAGATCATTCTCTTCTTTCTGTAGTGCAAATTTGTGTTTGAGCAATGAAATTACAAAACACATTGGAGGAAAATAAAGGGTGGTCAGGTACAGAGGTACTGTGAAAAAGCAACAAAATTGTTTTGACAAATGGCAGTGTTCAACACAACCTCAGCACCTCTCAAATGTAAGTGTCCAAGCTTCTAGAATCTGGGATGTGTCTTTCAGCACTACATTGGGTATTGTAGAAAATTTCAGACAATCATGTGTAATACAGATTTTAGCTTTCCATTCTGAAAGAAATAGCTCTCAGAATCTTCTGAATAGATTTCAGCTCAGACAAAAGGTTCTGAGAAGTAACTGAGCCTGCTGTCAAAAGGTTCTGAGAAGTAACTGAGCCTGCTGTAATAATTTTCCATGGTTTTAAGAAGATACTTCTCATTTTTGGAACTGTAAAATGGAGCTTAAACAATTTTTTTGGTCAAATATCCCCAGTAGTCTTTAAAAAAAAAATTGGATTTTAACTGGCAATGAGTGAAAGCTATTTACTTTCAGTTTAATGAATTGTGGTTTGAACATGGGGACAAAATTCTGAAGTGTATTTTAGGTCCTTAACACACTGTAGGTGTTTAAATAACCTTGGGCCTAAATCCAGTTCCTGTCTGTTAGATCAATGAAGGAAGAACACTATCAGTCTTGTTACAAATTAACATTCTTGGCAGTCCAAGGATGGGAATTGAATTCAAGTGTGGTTGAAATAATCAACTCTTTCAAGAGGGTTTTTCTGTAGAACAGGAAAGTGGCAAAATAAACTTACCTAGGTTATATGTCTTGCAGAAGTAATGGAAGGACTAGAAAGGCAGCTCCTGTGTATGGTGTAGCTGGAGGTAAGACAATGGAAGACACGATGAGAGCAGGCACATTTTCTTCTTTTGCAATTCAGCTCTGTTTCCAAAAGCTTAAAAAAATTAAAATCAACATGAACTTTCTGAAGAGAGTAAAGCAAATAATGGTGAACTTTGTAAGTAAGTTATGTAATATCATAGATGGTTTTGACCATTAGATTTGGTTCACAGGGTGGGGAGTTGATACCTTATGAAGCACCTTGTTGTTGTTCTTCACTGTTCTGCATATGAAGTAGAGCAGAAAGAAACACAGGATGACAGTAGGTGTCATTGACATGAGATGACTTTTGGAACTTAGTAATTTTGAGTGGCATTCCAGGCAATTCTTGGGGTTACAGTCTAAATGTTAAATTCTTCTGTAAGCCTGTCCTCATATTAATCACTGTTGTGCTCTTTTCTTCAAATTGGATGACTTTTTAATTTTTTTTCCTTCTTTTAGACTGTTCAGATGCTATCAACAGTAGGAAGCACTTGAGTGATGCAGCATAATCCTTCCTGCTCTGTGTTTGCTATTAGTCTTTTCCTGTTAATCTCTCTTTTGCCTTTAGTTGTCAAATGCATTAATTACAGGGGATTTTTTTCTCAGCCTGCAAAATGTTTTCTTAAAGCTTACAAGGAGCAGCGTAAATGTGGGGCAGATTAAGCTATCTGAACATTCAAAAGAGTAAAAACAAGCTGCATTTTTTTCTGTAGAATAGCCCCCCCAGAAGAGGTTCTCTGCCATGGAAGAGGAAAATATAAATTCAGTATGATTGGTCCCTGGTTTTGATTTAAGAAGCATTCAGATTATCTGGGTTTTATTTGGTTAAATGGCAAAAGCCTTTCATATAGATTAGGGGCAAAGATTAAACTGAACGTGACATAAGGAATGATGTGAACTGATTGAATTTTGTCAGGCACTATTTTTCATTAGCTTTCAACTGGAAAAATGTCGGGCAGTCTTCACTCCTACAAGTATGTTCAGCTTCTCCCTGACTACTCTCCACATATGCTCTTTGCTTAACAAGCTGCTGTTTGTTCATTCTTCCTGTCAGTGCAACTCTAAAGTAATCAAAGTGGATTTAAGGTCTCTTGTGTGAATACTCTAACACCAGAAGTTAAATTTAACTTTTAACCTATCAACAACCATGTGAAGTGATTCATTTGGATGGAATAGAGGAAGGGAGAAAGACAACAATGTATAAGGTTTATTTATTGCAGGAGATTTAGAAGGCATTTCATTGTGGCCCTAATTGGACCTTAATAGATGTTGCTTTCTAGTCAATTTTCTTATGCTCACTTCAGGTAGGGAAGAATTGTTCAAAGGATGAATGCTCCCCAAGCAGCTAAATGCAACCTCTTGCACTTGCTCACAGCTTAACTCTCGATAATTGATGTTGCAGCTGCTTTTCCCAGCACTTTGTGGTTATTGCAGGGCACATGCTCCCCTCCACAGCAGGTGCTACTCTCTCTGTCAATAGCTGGGTCTCTCATGTCCCTTTCCTTCCCAAGCAGCAGTTTGTTTCCAAGAAGTGGAGGGCAACTTCTGCAGCTGCTTATGCCAAACTTGGCCGGGAAAGAGTGACAGCCTTTGGGTGAGATGCCAAAATTTTGATCTGGTATTCCAGTCTGAAGCAAGCCACCTGGATGTAAACCATTGTGAAAGCTGCTCATTTCCTGTCATGAACAAGAGTTAGTTACACCAAGGACAAAGAGGATTTGCTGAAGTTTTTTTAAAAATTTTCTTGTAATGGCTTTATGCCATTTTTTAGAATGTTGGTTTTCAGTAAGAACACAAAATAGTTGGACGTGTGAACCAAATGTGAAAAGGTAAAGAATGCATCTAGGGAGGAGATTTAACCTCACTTTCACAAGTTTCATTAGAAAATATTATATCTAGGAATCTTGTGTATTCATGTGGTTGCACTTCAAGGTAACAGGAGTAAGTTCATGCAAGTCTTAAGGTTAATACACAGACTGGTTCTCACTGCAGTAAATCTGTCCCAGAGAAAAGCTGGATGGGTGTAGTTCTGTGCATTAAAGAGGGACATATGTTTGGTTGCCATGGATTAACACACAGGTTGATGTGGTTACTGAAAGAGCTACTGACTGTTCACAGGTGCAGCTATAGGTGTGTGACTTTCTGTTACTGAATTTGAGGAGCTGTGTAGTGATAAAAGTCAAGGCTGTCTATTTATAGGGCAAGTAGATCCCATGTTCCATAACTGTAGGGAAAAGCAAAATCTCAATGATTCTGCTCTCTGAAGATGAGGATGGATTTTCAGTACAATTTTCAAGGCCTGCTTTCGTCAACAGTAAATTGCTGTTGTCAAGTCCTGAGATTTATTTGAGTTAAGCAATACTCAGTTTCAGCTTAACGTTCCTATTTAGGTGACTAAACCAGTGCTTCGCTTCTCAAGTCAAGCTTTTAGTACCTTTTAAGGGAGAAACTTTCAAATAAAGCATCATAGGAGTTACAACTACAAAAAAATATGTATTGAGTTTTTAAACTGCAAGAGTAAAGTACCCATGATTATACAATTAGTCTGTCTTGTATGCAGGAGTAGAAAAGACTGGTTATGTGTCTGTCCACTCTTTTTCCTGCCATTTTCTATACATCTGCTGAGACACAAGGAAGACAAGAAGTCATGTGAAATATGGGTGAGGAGGAAGATGTTGTCTGTTTGAACATTTTCTGCTCTTTTGCTAGATTAGATGGCCTTGCTTTCATTACAGTTTTACTGTGCCTCTCCCTGCACTGGGGAGGGTTAAAATGCTTGAAGAGTGATGCAGGCAAAATGAAACTCTGTTTGGAGAAAGCTGACACATGCTACTATTAAAGGATGTGCTATGACTGCTCCTTGTCTCAGTGTTGATAGGACCATGAGTAGAAGTTACATTTATTAACTATAATCCGAAAACTCCTATCTCAGTTGTAGGCGTATTGCTAAGTTGATTAATGTTCTCAGAACAGGCTGTTTGCATACACTAAACCATTTTATCAAGGTAGTTATCAAATCCTGAATGCTATCCAAAAAGTGTGTCAGAGATGAGCACTGGTGAGAGCTTTGGGATGTTAAAATAAAAGTATGAGCACAACAACTGAATATCCCTACGTTTGCAGAGTTAAAAGCTAAAAGGATCAAATCCAGCCACAGGGGCTGGTACAAATGAAAACATGAAGAAAGTCAGGTAAGGTAAGAGCTTAGAGCTAGTGTAATTTTTTCCTCCTCCTTTTAACTGCTGACATATTTTACCCCTCTGATTCTTATTACTTTAAATATGTGTTTTTATAACCATTTGTTACAAAATCTCAAGATTTGTCTCTTGAGATAGACTTAAGCACCATGAGAATTCTAGACTGCCCTTGGTTCTCAGGATTTGGGCAAATGAGAGCAAGACCACAGGTGTACATCCCTTAGAGAATCTTTATGGTGCCAGGGCAGTTAATGCTTAGATACAATATCTGGATGCCACCAGCCTGAGAATAGACTGAAAAGGTAAAATGAGTTCAGGCTATTTTCAGCTTCTGAGGAGCACTCCAAAGTCAGCAAGGCTAAATAGAACAGGCTAAATGTGCAATCCTTAAGAGGGAAGAAGCAAATAAACAGTTTTTTAAAAGCAGTCAGTTACTGAGGGGTTAATACAACAAGTACGTTCATGTCAATGAATCACAAACTAAAGAAATAGACAGTGGTGTTACTGAAAAGAAACAAATCTTATTTCACTCTTGGTACTTACTGGGGTGGCTGAACTTCAGATTTGTAAAGAAAATGATCTGATTCAGTTGGTCCTGCTAGAGAACTAGATCCAGTTTAGAGCCCCATACTTAGTGTTGTAATGGGAAACATACACATGAAAGTGATGTGGCTGTAGGGAGAGTTTGAAGGCATGGGCATTTACTATGATTACATAAATGTGAGTGAAAAGTAAAGGAGGAAAGAAGGTAATGTTGGTGTTGGACTATATAATCTTTCCATAATATTCTTCAGGTCCACTGTGGAAAATGTAGGGAAGATATCACCATATTTGAAGAAAGTTGGAGTGAAATTATATTAAACAAGTTCCAGTGCTGATAGCAGTGGTTAAATGGTACCTGAGAATTTTAAAGGATCCTTGTAGTTGAAGTTGTAGTTAAACACTTTCATTAACTACAGCTTGAATGTTGCCAAGTTTATATTTTTCCACGGGAATAGATCAGGTTTTACTTTAGTTGTCCTGCAGCCCTCATCGTTGAAGTTTGTATTCCCAAAGTGACAGTTTTACTGTTGCTTCACAAATGAGGCTAGAAGAAATGTTAGAGAACATGTAAATCATTAAAGCAGGTATTAATTCATACATTAATAGCATATCATGTTTTGGTAGTCATTTGTGTGTGAGGTGGCAGATGATTTGAAAATTCCATTGCTCAATTAATTCTATTACAGTAAAATAGTTAAAGCTCACTACAGTCTATATAGTGGTGCCACTTGTGATGCTTATGGATCATGTCACTGAGTTTGATGGCATTTAAAACTGAATGCGTAATAGTCTCTGTGTCAGAAAACTGCTGTTGGAAATCTTGGAGCTAAGCAAACATTTTCTAAATGGCTCTGGGAAAATCAGGAAATAAAATGGAATCTTCAGGTCACCTGCGATCTTTATTTTGTGTGAGTGTGCTAGAAGTTCAGTTAAGCTGTTAGGCTGTCACCTGTATTTTTCCCGAGTATTTGCCTTTCAGGCACGTGCTAAAGAATGACACAGCGCTGTTAGGCTACTAATCTGTATTGCTTTGATGAACAATACCTTTTTTTATTTGTATACTCTCTTTAGAGGAAAAATCTGAAATGAGGAGCTTTCCAGATATCATAAGGTGTCCTTTCAGCTTCTGGCTAAAGAGCATTTTGAGAGAAAACAATCATGCTAAGTACATTTGTATCATTACTTACACTGTCACTGCAGTGACTTGAGTTGTTACCTTTTAAGTCTTGTTAAAATAGTCATGTGTGTAACACAATGAAAGAAATGCAATTTCACATTACCCTTTTACCTTTGAGACAGCTGATACACATTTAGAAGCCGCAGGTGCTTTGTACAGATTCACATGGTGTAAATGAGGTCACTAAATAAGACTTTATCAGTTACTATCTCCTAGATGTTGCTTCCTTAACTAAAACCAGGTTATAATTGCATACAAGGAATAAGATATCAGTCTCTGGTAAATGAGTGACAGCTCACTTGTAATAGTGTTTCTCATCTCTCAAACAGTGCAAAATATGAAGTTGTCTTATACTAATGATACTGGAATTGCCTGTCCTTGTAGGAAATTCAACAAAATTTGTTGACCTTCAAGGGTCAATTAAAGACAGTCTAATTGTAATGAGTTGCTATTAGAGATTCTTTTCCTCCTTAATTAAATTTATCTCATTTGGGTCATTGCATTATAAAATACTGATACTTAAAACTTTGGTAGATGTATCATGTAGTGAGGTAGAAGGTTTAGATTATTGTAAAGTATTTTTGTTTTTTTTTTTCTTTTTATTTTTTAGGAAAGGAATGTGGTGTACATAGCTTGGAAAGCATTCAACTGTCAGCTTTTTAATTCATATTCACACTGCTACAGGCTGTATTCTTCCAGACGTGTGAAGCCTGATTGCCATGGGAAAATGAATACATGTTAACCACAGCTCAGTTTTAATTTGTTTTACTTCATGTTTATAGTGGCATGTCCTTTATTTTTTACTTAATTTTTTATTGTTCCAGAATTTCCAAAATTACTTTATTATGTTACAGAAAGAGTTCAAATGGAAGTCCTACTATAGCCTTTATTCTTTCCTCTTTGGGCACTTGTTTCTTCTCACAACTGCAGAGACCATCTTTCTGTATTCATTTAGCAGTCTTGCATTTATGCTACATATACTTTCAACAGGCCTAAATGCTCTCCAGTGTTTTAAAATTTGTTGGAAATACCAGATTTGTACTCTACCAGTTGTTTGGCTGTGCTTAAAAAGCAGAGCACACATGTGTGGGATAACCTAAAAACGTAAAAGGTACTATTGTGCAGAAGGGAAAAACAGCCAACATGACACTGCTATGCTTAGTTTATTGGGTGGACCAGCTGAGCTGTAGGCTGTGTCAGGTATGCTCCTGCTTGCGTATGTGCATACAGTTTGCAGTCAATAGGCGCCTGTCCTAATTGCTGCTCAGATGAGTCTGGACAGTGAAGCCTGGAGGAGCTGCAACACTTGCTGCAGCCAGTCAGTGTCAAGCTCTGGGCAATGGCTGGATGTCAGCAGGTCATGGTTCCACCTGATTGGCTCAATGTCTTGTGGTTGGACTAGGTAATCTCCAACCTCAGCAATCCTGTGATTCTAAGAACTTCATTCTAGATGTATAGGAATCTGCCCAATTGAAGGAAATGTCAACTGTATTAAACACATGTAACTCTGAGATACTCAGAAAGTTTTTGGTGGTAAAGTTGTTCTTGTTTTATTTCACAGGAATCAGAAAGTCTTGATTGAAAACTAGATTGACTAAGAATCATCAGTGACTAACATAACACCAGTATACTCGAGATCTTCTGATCTTGGACTTTGTCTGATTTTCAGTGCTGCTCTGAGGCAGTATAGCAGCAAGAAAATAAAATGTAAAACCGTTAAACTTCTCGTAGCTCAGAGTTCTTTATTTTGTTTCTTTAAAAGTTACTTTCAGAAGTTGATGTGAAGGTTCACAGATGTTGCACACATGCATACTGTATAGATTAAGATAGATTGAGATCTTAGATAGATACTTCAATTTTCCTATATTGTGTGTGCCTGAATGTCTTGTTGGCTTGGATGTCTGTAAACATTTTTATTGAGGTTGTTGTAAAATGTGGTTATTTCTTCCTCTTTATTGTAATAATGTGTCTTCATGTAACATAAATTGGCTTAAGCTGATTGTTAACATGAGTTTTAGACTGATTATTTCAAGTCTTCATTCTCACTTGTCAATTATGGACAGACTGCTTCATTGTAACCTAGATTCCAAAGTTTGGCATGCATAAACTTGCCAAATTAAACCAGACTATTGATCACTACTGTAATAAAATAGAATTTTTTAGGAATATACTTCTGTATTTAATTGGCCTGCTAACTTGCACTAACTTTTCCCTCCTTCTCCACAGAATGTGTATGTAAACATAAGCCGCATCATGTCAGTAGCAAACCGCCTGATCGAGTCTGGCCATTACGCCTCACAGCAAATCAAACAGATTGCCAGTCAGCTGGAACAGGAATGGAAGGCATTTGCTGCAGCCTTGGATGAACGTAGCACATTACTGGACATGTCCTCCATCTTCCATCAAAAAGCCGAACAGGTTAGTGAATTGGGGAGGGCATCAACAAAGGTTATGTGCTGGAACAGGGAGTTGCGCAGTTTGCTTTTGCTTTGGACAAAAGTGCAAGAAAGTGATTGAAAAGGTTAACAAGAAAGCCAGAATATTTATTTCTGCCAATTTTGATACTCAAACAAAATTTTATTCTCCTCAGTTTAGCCCACTGGCCTTAAATTTTATACAAAATGCTTTGCCCACATCAGTGCAAGGTAAAACAACCAAATTAGCTATATGAATGAAAATGAAGTGGACTGAAATGCTTAACTATAGTAGGCTTTTAAGGATCGATATAATGCCTTTCCTGTCACTTCTGTTGTCCTCACCACTCAACTCCCATCACTGCTCGAGTGTCAAGATCTAACTCAAAATAATTGCTTCTAGAAAACACAAGTTGAACTGGCTTAAAAGTTGAGAAGTTAATTAACTGCCTTCTGAATCTGAAATTGTGGTGGGAGATGTTTACTTAGTATTCCATAGGAGATTCCTCCTATGCAAAAAATACATTTTAGCTTTAGGCCTATACCAATTATTTTAATTAAGTCATTAACCATGTGTAACTGCTGGAGAAGAGGTAGATGTCGGGGAAATAGGAATAAATATCCCCAAGTTAATAATCTTAATGGCGAAAGCATGTTTTGCCCTCAAGGGAGTTCAGTTCTGAAGGAGTTGCTTTGTGTGTGCAGTTGAGTCACCTGCTGATCTTGTATACTGCCTGCTCCGTACATCCCTGGTGTGTTTGGAGAGCAGAGGTTCTTGGATGGGTATGGATGATGTGCTGCATGTAAATACTTTTCCTTCATTTTGCCTTGCTACATTATATCCAAGGAAAGGTCTCATGTCTGATGCAACTTTCATTTGGAATGAATAAAGGAAGCATTTGGGAGCTGAAAACTTCAGAAACAGAGAGAGGTGGTGCAGTTGATTTTAAGACACTTTTTCCTTGATTTCTACTACATGGATGTTTAACTTGATAAATATCGAGACATTAGAAATGAGAATTTATTAAGATGCAAAAACATTGCTTTTCATTATTTTAGTGATGACATTGGTTTAATGTCCTTAGACAGACTAAGGTAAATTATATAAAATGATGCCACTATAACAAAGGAGTGATGCCACTCCTTTTAGCAGGTTTAGCAGTAAAGCTACATAAAAATGAGATGCAGGAATTTTTTTCTGATAGAAAAGTCGGCAGTCAGCTTGAAGCTTTTCATAGACACAGATTGGTATCTTGTCAATATTGATGCTTTTCTAATTACTTGGGTCATTTGGGTTTGCATTTAAGCACTTTGAGCTATACATGTAGGAGAAAGATGAATGAAATGTGAACAGGTGGGTATACCTTGACTCAAATGCTGTCATTTTTCATAACAAATATAAGAAATTATGCTCATCTGAAATCAAGGGACTAAATTTTGTGTATAGTTGTGTGCTGGGCAAGTACAGCAAGGGTCAGTGTACCTTCTTTACGACTAAATGTAAGTGTAAACTAAATGTAGAATGTAAACAGGAGGAAAAATAAAAATGAGAGAAAATAATGCAGCATCTGCTGGGATGAATTTACTTTTAACTGCTCTTTCTGCAGTTTTCATTTTATGATTAGCTGCAATGGATTTCCCTAGTTTATTTGTAAGATACCTGCCTGTGATATATTAGCTGTTTCATTAACAGTGGATAGCGAGTTCAAGGAAAGAAGGTTTGGAATGTGCGGAATGACCCCTTTAATGACTGCTGATGCTTGACCTACATAAAAAGATTAAAAAGTAAGCAGCCCAAGAAAAAATCACACCCTTCTTGAATGCATGTGTTCTCTTGCAAGTGACAGGTAAGTATTGCTGCCTACTGTCAGGCACACTGAAGACTGCACCAGCTATCAGTGCCTGCTCCCTGGTGCACATTAAGCTTCTGTTAATGTTCAGTGCTTAACATTAGAGCTATTTTTAAAGTGGCCCTTAATGAGAATTAAATAAGTATTTTAGAGTTAAGTACTCCACCACCCTTCTGCCCAACTATCAAACAATAGAAGAGTACTGGAAATGATCTATGAATTCCTTTTTCCTCAAAAGACTACACGTGCTCCAAGAATTAAGATATGTATGCTGCAATGAATGGCTTGGTCTCATGACTTTTGAGTCTTGAACTTGACATGAATAGAGAAAATTTACTTTACAGAGCTCACATATGCTTGGCTGTACTTGGTTTAACAACTATGAAAACTCCTAGAAGAACAGATAGTTTTTTCCTATTTCCCTTCTAATGTAACAAGGGTATAAAATCAATGCCCCCTAGCCGTGGAAAAGGAAGTCAGCCGAAGTTCTGCTGTGCATATAGCTGTGATGGCAGTTTCTTGTCTGTCAAGACAGCTTAAATTTCAGAGATAACTTGAATTGTCTGCAGAAGAGATTTCTGTTGCGGTATCCTCAATTTCCCCAAAGACTTGACTCAAGCAGCTATGCTGACATAGCTGTGTGCTCAAAGTTCAATCCTAGTCCTAAGAGACCTCCACTTAAGTTGTAAATCCCTTACATGCTTGCTGCTGTAGTAGCTTGCCAGATGGATTTAGTACTTCTTTGCAAGTAGAAGTTAGTTCTTTGGGGACTGAGGTGTGAATTCACTGTGCCCTGACACTGCTTTGCTTCCTTGATAACCTCTTTCCAGCAAAAGACAACTGTATTTCAGTGAATGCTTCACCAGTAATTCTTTGTGTGCACATGCAAAGTAACATGGTTTTCTCTGAAGATTGAAAAGAGGTGAGGTCATAAACCTCATGATACCATGAGTATCTGCACAGGGAGCTGACAGGTAAAAACCAAGGGTCTGGACTTGAAAGCTGTAGCATGTTTTACTTCCTTGTGTAAACAAGACCTTAACTGGCTTTCGTGTTTCTGAAATGGTAGGTGCAGGATGAAAGAAACTACTTCTTAACTGCAAATCAAGAAAAGGAGCAAAAGTAAACTTGAAGCATCAATATTGCCAAGAGTTAAATTGGTTCTGAAGACTGCCAACATACAGCTAAGCCTGCCTGTCTCCAAACAACTCAAGGAGTTTCAGATATCTAAAAGCACTATTCAGACTTTGATATTTCTTTCTATTCTGATATAAACTTCTGGTTCTTTCAGAGAGAAGTACTGTAAAGACTTTTTGCTTAAAAGAAGACTTCTCAGTGTCTGTCACACAGATGCTTTTGTGCTTCTGTATATACTGTTGTGTGTACTTAATGGTAGAACCCAAAATCAAAGCCGAATGTTTCTTCTCTGTTGCAGTACATGAGCAATGTGGACTCATGGTGTAAAGCCTGTGGTGAGGTGGAGCTTCCCTCAGAACTGCAGGATTTAGAAGAGGCTATCCATCATCATCAAGGGATATATGAGCACATTACCTTGGCTTACTCTGAGGTCAGTGTCTTGTTTGTTTCCTTAGATTAAATTGTGTCATGTTAAGTTTGGATCATGAATCAGTATCAGTTGTTGCATTGGGAGTTAGTTGGAAACTCAAGTGCTGAGCTTCTTTTTAAATCTGATATATCGGATTTTGCTACTGTTATTCAAAAGTGAAGTGTTAAAGTCTTCCCTGTAACCTTTGGAAATAAATTAAAATGTGAGATTTAACCATGTGAGGTACAAACAACATTTGGAGCACTAAAGTACTAAGTATGTTTTAATTTGCATTCGCATCTTACTACCTTTTAATGGCAGTGGGATATTACAGTTTAAACATTTACTTGAAGGGAAGTTAGCTGGGCATTCTTTGGGAAGGTATTCTGTTGGCATGGATTTCTCTAAGTGTGTTTTGAGAATGGGTCTCTAAAATTGTCTCACAAGAAAGACTTAACTATCAAAGGATGTCACTTGAGAAGCCAGAAGGTTCTTAGTTTCATCAACCTCAAGATACTTAAATGAGCTAGGATGCCTATGTAGTCAGCATTTGTAAGATTAGCACATCCTATGCTGGTGCTCTAATCCTAGACTCAGCACACACTGGAATCATTATGTTTGTCACTATTTCTAGTAGTTGTATTTGCAACTTAAGATAAAATGCTTATTCTGAAGGTGGTCTAGAAAGTGATGACTTAACTATCTTTTTTTGTTTCTTGTTTTTTTTTTTAATTTTGAGTTTTCTGTTGTGCTTTACTTACCTGAAATCAAATTGGTATTCACTATTATTAGCTAACAGGTATTTTCTGTATTTCCTGTTTTACTTGCCTTTCTTCTGTCAGGATTGTTCTCATTGTTGGGTAAAACTGTTTTTACTGTTCAATTGGACTGATGTTGTTCTGGATTAAATACAGTTGTTTTTGTACTCAAAATTTTTGTGTTTGGTTAAATTATGGTAAAAATGATCAGTGGACACAGGATAGCTTGGCCCACAAGCACCTGTCTTTAGAAGGAGGTCATGTGGGTTTGAATTAATGATTGTGATTTTTTACATTACATTAAAATTAAAACTACTTTCTGATGAACCAGCTTTATTATAGGAAGTGGAATCCTAAGTCTAGTCACATTTCATTTAGCAGTAAAGGAGGGTAAGATTAGTTCTCATGATCCATCCTATTGTTCATATATCAAAACCATGTTTTTTGAATACCTGCCACCTTAGGGCCTGCATAAACTTTGTGACCATGAATCAGATGCCACGGTTCACAAATTCTTGTTCTTCTGTGTAAAATACACATTGATATCCCTATTCTTGCTCTGTGCCACCCTGCTATGTCAACTGTTCTAATGCCATAGTATGACACCTGATAATACTTGCGATTTTACTAACACTTAACTCTTTTAACTCACTCTTGAAAGCATATTTTTGTAGTAAGGTTTCTTGTCTTCATTAAAAACTTTCATCATTGGGAGGGACAAAGACATAGTATGTTTGTATAAGATTTATGTGAAGAGGCAGCCTGGAGTGCAACAAGGAGGAATAATGATTATAAAGCCCTGAGGTTGAAATAGTGGCATTTTTTCTACTTGGTTGTGTTTGGTTTGAGTAAATTTTGTGGGGGTTCTTTTTTTTTTTGTCAGGGATGTGACTGGATGAGCCTGCTGGTAAGTGGAAATAAGTACTATGGATTAGCATGTTAAATAATGTTTGCTTGCTGGTGATGCATAAAGAAAATAAATAAGACCAGTGGATTATAGGATTGCTTTGGGACATACCTTAGAAATTTATTTAGAATTTCAAAGCTGTAGCTTTTGACTTTGGGATAGCTAGACAGATATTTTAGCAAAATGTTCACTGGTATTGCTTGAAGGAAAAAAAGAGCACTAAGTGCCTTTCTTCTGATTTCTAGTCATTACTTTTACCCATCTGGTAAAAAAGCAGTTTTTTTCTTCAGTAACCAGAATTGGTGCAGAAATACTAACTGTATGCTTACGTACAAGTTGTGTTCCTCCTCTGGGCAGAAAGTTTTATTTTGCATTTTTCAAACGTGCATTCCTTTCTGAAATTTGATGGAGGCGTCTTTCTGTGTCAGGATATTACAGCACTATTGCTTATCATTATTAGATGTATGACTTCATTTCTATTACAGTACGGAGCTCCTTTCATTTTGTGATGAATGAAAAGTGGGGGAAGAGAGAGAGCAACACTGTGAGAATCACAACAGTGTCATTCATTTTAGATTGCAATGTCTTGACAACATGACTTGGTTGCAAAGTAGAAGACAGTAATTTTAAGAAAGTAAATGCTTTTAAGACTAGACAGTCTGATTTTACTGAGGGTAATTATTGTATATTACTAGTAAAGCAACTTACTAGCTTACATGATGAGACAACTGGTATGCCTGAAAATGTGACAGATGTGCCTTAAATGAAGTTATATATATAAATAAAGTTATACATCTCACTGAAATCTTAAGGCAGTCATGCACTAGGAAGGAAGAAAATTTTAGTGTATTAATGCAAAAGGAAAATCTGTGCGCAGTCAGTTGTTTATAAAGCTAATAAACTAATTGGATCAAGGGGCTGTCACAATTACTATTTTTCACCTAGATTTCATGGACTCTGAATGGATAATTGAAGTCCATTATCTTGGAACATTTGAAGGACTTACTAGATAATTCTTTTGGATATAGAAAAGAAAAAATGTATCTTTGTAACTATGCTATGGACAATGCATTTTTTCTGCTGACTTGATTTTCTGGAACTACTTTCAGAAGTATCATTCTCTGTGTTGATACTCATTGCTAAAATTAAAGAGCTTGAACTGAACTGAGAAATAAACTCCCTTGTAACCCAATTAGTAGAAAAGAATTTTCATTTAGATCTGTTTGACTACTGAATAACAAATTTAAAATGTGCCTAGACTTAGTAAAAAGTTGTTGAAAATAGCCACTGGGGGAAGGTCTTGGCAAATTTGCTCTTTCTGACATAATGTTGATTTGATGAATTCAGGCTTTTTTTTATACTTGAGTCTTACAGATGATTTTTGTTCCTGTCAGCAAGATGAGCTGTTAGAAAAGTTCTTTACAGGTAGCTGAATGATACTGAATTGTAACAGGTCTCTGAGCTTTGTGCCAAAAGAGTAAATGCCAGTGAAAAGTGCTTTTAACACTAAATGTTGATAGTGACCAGATAAGAGAGGATTATTGCTTTTTAATAGCATGCAAGGTAAATCTGAATATTTCTGCTGTGGTTTAAATCAGAGAAGACAACAGCTAGAAATGACAAAGGTTTCCTGTCAGTATCTGTAGTTAAACACATTTTAGAAAACAGTATCTTTCTGTGCTAGATGGAAAGGGTTTAAGAGATTTAATCAGAATTAAGTTTGCCATAACAGCAGTTTTCCCTTGGCTTACCAGTAACACTGATAATTTAGAAGTTATAAATCATGTCAGATTGAATCATGTACTAAATTTTATATCTGTTGGTTTAAATGTATTTGTCAAATTAACCTACAGAAAGTAAACCTCCCTGTTCACCTTTACAGCAAATGAAGAGAGAGATTGTTTTGGAAGGATAATTCTGGACAAATGCTTAATTTTAGGTGTCTTGTTGACTAGGGAAAGAGTTGAAGAATATTTATTCAAAGTTACATTTGACAAGTTCTTTAAAAAAAAAAACCACAACAAAACCAACAAAAAACACAAACTAAACAAAATATCCCAACACTTTGAAGGAAAGTAATTCTTAAAGTAATGGAAAAAATGGAAAGACAGGCTGTTACTTAGAAGAGTGCTACTTGTCAAAATTATTTTAAATAGAAAGAGAATATACATTTTTTTTTTCTTTCCTATAACAGCTGCAGGTAGGTAATCATTCCTGTAATAAAATGAGTCTTCATCATTGCTCCCTGAGTTCTTGAAGACATTTAAAACTGGGAGAAGGGGTGGGGTACAAAGTAGTAGCCCAACAAGCTTTTGGCAAGACATGTAAGTCTTCATCCTTTCTGGTGGTCAGGTGAGCCAAGATGGGAAGTCACTCCTTGACAAACTTCAGAGACCTTTGACTCCGGGGAGTTCTGATTCCCTCACCGCATCTGCCAACTACTCAAAAGCAGTTCATCATGTCCTGGATGTCATCCATGAAGTATTGCATCACCAGCGCCAACTGGAAAATATCTGGCAGCATCGGAAGGTCCGGTTGCACCAGCGGCTTCAGCTCTGCGTATTTCAACAGGATGTTCAACAGGTAGGTTTTATTTCACTTTGTCTAAATGCCTTTGTATTCTATCAGCCTGATTGCACTGACAGGTGAGTTTTGACTGCTATAATCCATGTTCTTTTGTACAACAGCAATTGAACAGTTGCATGGGATTGGCTGAATGGTACCAAGTTCTGTGTACTATCAGAACTTGGGTATTGTCTATTATGGATAACAATTATATTTGAAAGTTAGTTCTACTTATTTTTTTTTCTGATTTTAAATTAATTTATTTACTTTAAGTCATATATGATGAAAAAGATTTTTAATATAGACAGCTATTCTGAGTTTGTGCTGGAAGCTGACATTCACATTCTAGATAAAATTCTGGACTTGAAGTGTCAAAAAGACATCTTGTTGTAACATGCAAAAAATTAATAGTGTTATTCTGTAAAATTTTTGGTTTTAAATCCCTGATGATACTTAATTGACTTAATAGTGTTTCTTTAAATCTTGAGAGTCATATAATAAGGAATTATAAAAATTACAGATGAGATTACTTTCTGATAACACTGTTCTTGAATTAGTTGTTATTAGTTGCTATTTTTTTATTATTATGACAACATCCATAAAAGTTAGTAGTTACATACAGGCATTAGTATCTCTGATATAGCTTTGCCTTTTTAAAGTAAAACAACATAAAATTTTTTGGTTGATGGATTTTTTAATAAGCATAAAATGTTGGCTTTGAACTTCAATTAACAGAGACAATAGTAATTTATTCTTTAACAGCTCATCTTCATAAAAAAGTAAAGATGGCCAGTATTTGCTGATCATGTTCTCTCATTTCAGTGCAAAAGTGTTCACAAGTCACAGCTTCTGAATGGGGTTTTTACATAGATAGCCACAGTTCTGGTCAAACTAATCTTTTTTCTTCAGAATTAGTTGTAGTTTAAGCTAAATTTCTTGTACTTTTCTGTTTCAAGAAGATACTGGCTGTGAGCAGTTGGGAGTGAAATAACTGATTTTCATCATTTACAGTAGTTGAAAAAGGTAGTTTAGGCAGATGGTGGGGAGACTGAGCAATCTTGATAACTGAACTTTCTTCTACATCTAGTGACTATCTCTTCATGTAATTAAAGAAAATAATTTAAATACTTAAGCAGTGAATTATGTAAAATCTTCAAAACTTTAGTACTTAATTTTTTATCTGAAAAGAAGCATACATTGAAAGACAGGCTGTTATCCAGATTGTCAGTGCTGAGATGTGACAAAGGATGTGGAAAGGCGTGAAAAATATTAGCTGACAAAAAAGTAAAAGCAGAGGGAATGTTATGAATGGTCAGCAGGGCACAGAGAACCAAAGACTCCATTCATTATGCCATTTTAAAAATCCTTTAGGGCCTCCATGAAGATTACAGCAAAAAACTAGTGGCTAGTAAAGAGGGTCCAGTGCTGGTACTTGCATGAGTAGTCAGTAAAGGGCCAACTCAGAATGTGCTCTGATTCTGTGATGAGGCACAGCCAACAAATGAATCACCTCTTAAATTGAAAAGGCTTTGTAAGGAATCTTCAGAAACTGAAATAAACACAGTAGTTTGATTCCCAGGGGAAAATGTAGATCCTCTCAGTAGTCTGGTGCCAACAAGTATGGATTGGATGTTGGAACTTTCTCCTCTTGTTTGAGTTCAGTTCAAGTAGGACCTACTTAGGCAATCTAGTCCAAGGGGTCTCCTGAGGTAATTTGCCAGGTGCATAATTCAAGTTTCAGGCTGGTAGGCCAGGCTTTAGGCAGTTTATTTCCTGGGGGAAGGTGTTCATTAAATGCTGCAGAGAGTTACTGTACTGCTCCTACTCTTTGCCTTTAATATCTTGGGAGTCATAAAATGCTTGTAGGAAATTTTCATTTTCTGCTCTGTCCTAAATCATAGTTTTCAGTATAGAGGAGGTAGCTCTCAGACTGATTTGTTCTTTGAAGTTGGCAAATAACCCATCATTAGACTCAAGACATTGTGCAGTCACCACCAGGTTCTAAAGCAAGATGCTGGATTTTCCTTCTCTATATTGGACTCATCAGCCTTTGGAGCTGCTGCATTTAAGATAAGTACTCACAGATTTGAAAACAACAAAGTGGACAGCTTTACGTATTTTTATAGCTTCCCGTATCAGGAATGTGCAATCCAAATCATGAAAGTGGATTGTGAGTGCACCAGAAGTTTTCAGTATGAGCCAGTTACCTCGAGAATGTTGATCCATATTGACTTATTATTCAGTACATGCCTTATCTACAGGTTGGAGAAATTTCTTTCATCCTGTTTATGCCTGTAGTTTCTTTATATGCTTTGCAAGACAGACATTGAAGTAAGGTAGCAAGAAATTCTCTTGAGCAGTTTCAAGGTGTAGCCTTTTGTGCTAATGCACATCTTTATCGACTTTATCATCTTTAATCATGAAATTTCAAGCTTGATCTGTAGAGAGGTGCAGCCCTTGCTTGCTATCTTCCTAAGCCCTTCCCTTAGTATCCAGTAATTGCCACTGTCAGAGATGGAGTTGTCCTTTGATTTATCTCTGTAATGACTGTTAATTACTGAAATGTTTCATGTGGAAGTATAGCTCCTTATGTTGCTTTAACTTTACAGATAATGGGTATTTTTGGCAATGCATTATAAATCACACTGTGAATTTTGGTCACTGTTACCTTTCACAATAAAACTTTACATAATAGGATTTCAGTGCAGGTCAATCTGTAGGACAATGACCATTCAACATGTATTCCAGACAGATTAATCTAATAGCCACACCAGATGTCTTGGAGATTGTAGCTCCTTCAGCTTTGAAAATTTATCTGGGGAAGAAAGTGTTCTCAAATAAAAAGATTATTTTTTCTTGCAAAACAAAAGCAAGACAGCTTTATTAGATCATCCTAATTTATCTGAGAAATATTAGATTTTCATTTGAATAATCATTAATAGCATTCAGTGCATGAAATTACTCTGGTTTGTGGTATTAGTTAAACTTCTATCTGAGACAGTTCTGGAGTGGTTTATGTAGAGCTCCAAAGCAACTTCCTTTCTACAATACTTTAGTTTTTGTTTGCACATTCTCTCTTTGTTCAAATGTTAAAAAATTCAATTAAGATTGATTGAGAATATAACCTGAAAACATCTTTCAATTATTGTTGATGAAGTTAAATGTGGTGGTTTGTTTGGTTGTTTTGTTTTTTTTTTTTTTATTTCAGAATAAGCTAAGTGTGGCTCTCTTCCACTGTTTATAGTTAGTTTGCACATAGTAGTGAGCAACCCAAGTGCATTATAAGTGAATTTGTAACTGTCCTTTAGCATGAATCTGTGATTTCCTCCTCCTCCCTCTGCTGGATTAATGAAATAACTCAGTTCATGGAAGTGTTAAGTGAGAACTGAGTTGGAGGAGGGAATTGTCAGTGTTGAGCTGGTGCCTCACTTTGTGTTACTTCCACCTTAGAAAGCTTATTGGGTTTTTTCTTCTGTCTTTCATGTTCTTGAAGCTGTTTCTAGTGGAGCTTTCCAAATCAACAAAAACATTGTGGTGATATCTGAGTACACCAAGAATTATCTGCTGATCTTTTGAAGCAAGTAGTAAGGAAAGTAGTACATGAAATAATGAAAATAATAGAAAAGAAGTGAATTACAGAAAATCTGAAATTTGAAATACGAAAATGTATGACAGTCCTAAACTGAATGAAATTCTGAGTTTTACTTTAGGCAGCAGAAACATGCTGGGAGATCTAGTTCCTGGTTAGTTTATTAACATTTTAAAAAAGGGTTTTTATTTTAATTTTTTTTTTTTTTAAAAAGTGGTCACTGGCACTCAATTGTCTATGTAGCCCTTCTAATATAAACCATGCTAGTAAAAGTATGATTTTATGTTTAAGTGTTAATAAGCTTACTAAGTAGGTAATAGCCTTTCACTTAAGGAAAGGAGCTGACTGATTCTGAAATGAAGCAATAAAGCAGACTTGGAACAGCACCGCGGACTTCTTCTCTTCTAGGCCAGGAAAAATCAAAATTGGGCATAAAGATAATGTTTCTGGTAGAGTAATACTGCTGACACTCGTATGATCAGAGTTTTAGTGCCTGAAAAACTCTCCTGATAGCTTGCAAACCAGAAATTAGTAAAACATGCTGGCAGGAGGTACTTTGAGGGTGTTTTTGAGGGGTGGGAGGAGGATTAGTTGTTTTTGTTGTTGTTGTCATTGTTGTTTGGGGGGGGGGGGGGTTTTGGTTTGGTTTGGCTTGGGTTTTTTTTCCCCAAAAATACATTTATTTGATCATAGTGGGTGTTTTCTCTGTCCATTTTGAATAAATTTGCTGCTTCTTGCTTGATCTGCTTGCCTTAAGACAGGTTACAGTCACTGGTTTCAACCTTGACTAATGTAGGGCGGGCCATGAATGCTTGCTACTTGCTAGCATCAACATGATTTCACTGTGTGATTCCCATGTGACTTTTGAAGGCGGTTCCAGTGTAAAATGGTTATTTTTTCAAGAGAGTTTTTCCACATTTTAACTATCTGAAAATCAGAAATGCAGGTATTTCCATCTTCCCCTTCTGAATGCTGTGTCACCAGCACGTAAGTGGAGATCAGAAAACTGAATGTACACAAAGTAGGTAAAGGGGTGGGGGGTGTGGAATGGATAATAATGTGTGAAAGATTGGTGAAAATGAGCATGTTGAATCTGCAAAAGGTCAGATTTACTTCTATGCGCAGCATATGCCACATATTTTATAGCCATGAGCAATGATTTTGTTAAAAGGAAGCTAACTTTCCACAGATACTCTTTTGGGAGCAAGAAAAGTAAGCATTTTTCTAGATCCTGTGTTGGGCATAAGGATGGTTTTGCTGAGACTGCAGTAGAACTTAATTGCATCATTACAGAAACGCACTGCAGTGGAGGATGATACTATTCACCGTTTCAATGGAAGGTGTTGAGCCTCTTGGACTCCTATGTATTACTTGAGTACCAGACTGAATTCCATTTGCTTTCAGTATTGTTAGAAGAGTCCTTAGTGACTCAGTATGATGATTTCTGTAACTCTTACTTTTCCCAGGAAGAGGCAGAGAATGTGTAAGTTGCTAAAAGGCTAATATTAGTGCCAACTAATGGTGCTGTCCTTTGACTGAAGTGGTATGCAAATCACTTACTGATGGGAAGAGCCTAACTTAACTCTGCCTCTACACGCTGTAAAATTCCTAAGAGTGCTTCCTCAGTTTTGTTAGGAATCAAGGTATGAAGGCTGAACACTAATGAGACTTGTATTCACATTGATTTCATTGAGAGGCAGGAATGTTTCTCTAGTTGAGTGTTTTATGTCATGATCTGTGTACTGGATTTCTATGACAATTTCTTCCCTTGAGAAGTTATTCAGCATTGTTTGGAGCAAAAATCATTCTCCCTGGGCAGCTTTCTGCTTTTCATCCCATGCTTTCTGGGACTGATTTTGCTGTTGATTTCATTTGTTAGCTTGTAACTGTTAGTAGTCTCCAGAGTCCTGTCTAATTATTTCATCCAAACACATCTCTTTTCAGCTCTTTTCATAATGGGAAAAGCAGTCTCCTGAAACTAGTCAAAAATATTGGTAATAATAACTGATGTCATGTTTAGCTACTCACTCTCCTTTCTCTGATCAATACTTTACCTTGAAAGAAAAAAATGAAAACTCGCATTGACCTAAAACACAACATCTTTGGGCAATACTTACTAGGAAAACAAATATTGCGTAAATATGGAGATTTAATGATGTGTCAGTGATTTAAAGTGTCTGTATTTTGTGGCATTAGGGAATTGTTTGTTGTTTTGAAGATATCCAGTAGGAAGAGAGGTTGCAAATGGAAAAATATTTGCATGGTCAAGATAAATGAGAAAACCATGTTTTCATTCTTCTGCTGAAGAAAGCATGGATGAGTTTCATGGGAATAGTGTGTGGGATTACATGTGTATTGAGTATGGTCAAGAGTGGTGTGCAGGAATGGTTCTCAAATCTGTGTGGAAGAAAAAAAGCGTCTTTCTCTTTAGTTATACTCAGTTATACTTTCAGTACAAGAAAACTGGGAAGAAAACCTCACCCAACTTTAGGGCTCAGAGTAAAGGACACTAGTAGAGAAGAAGAGGCACAGTGCAGGCTTTTGAAAGTTATTTTCAAAACCAACTAAAATATTCATGTTTTAAAGAAAAAAGAACGCTGAAGGTGAATGTTAGGTAAGGTATTCTGCACCACTACATAAGTGCTGTATAGATATGGTTAGCTGACTTAAGAAAATTGCTTATGTGCTGTTGTTTTTAATTCTGAATGTCATTCTTGAACCTTTTGAGTATCTTAAAAAAATTGAATTTATTCACCATATGCATAATTAACGAATGGATTAAGTTATGGCTAGGAAGTATTAGTTTAAAGAGAGGTTGGATGTTTTTGTTCATTCACTCATAAGAAATTTGGTATGTGTGCAGGAATCTTTTGTGTTAACTGACAGGAATTAATTACATGTAAAGTTTTTACTATTTATAAAGCTGTCAGCCCAGTCATTGTGGTAGAAGCATTAAGGTCTCTAAAATGTCTTTTGTTCACCACCTTTTCAGCTATAAAATTTACAATAAACAATTATGTCTGATGTTTTGAAGGGACAGATGCTTTTCGAGAACTGGAGGATATTCCTTCATGCTCTCTGAATACAAACATTTATCTCATAATGATTTCAACTAATTTTTCTTGTGTTAATTGAAGTTAGTTACTACTGAATCTTACTTTATGTAGAAGGCAAAGTGAGTTCTCATCTAAATTAGAACTTCACTGTGTTACTCACCAGCAATATGCAAGCTTCATTAGTGTTACCTTGCAGAAAAATGTCAGCTGAAGGCGTAAACAGATTAGAGAGACCCTCACAAGGGGTCTTGCTACTTGGATCAGATTACTGTCAAATTGATGAATGTGGAGAAATGGGGTTGTCCTTGGTAGACTTCAAAATACAGTTATAATCTTGAATCATACTATTTGCTAGTTTGAGCTAATTACTGCCTTGAGAAAAGTTAAATGAGATGTAATTAATGTCCTTCAATGGCAACACTGTGTTTTAATCCAGCAGCTCAGCTCTTTTTAAGCAGCGCCTTTACAGCTTCTCAATTGCTTGAATAATTGTCTTTTTGTTGTAACATTCAATACAGCCACTCAGGGTTTCTGTGTGTCTCTCTTCTGTACCACAGGTGTTGGATTGGATTGAAAACCATGGAGAAGCTTTTCTTAGCAAACACACTGGAGTGGGAAAATCCCTGCATCGGGCCAGAGCTTTGCAGAAACGCCATGAAGACTTTGAGGAGGTTGCGCAGGTAAAAGCAATCATATGAAGGACTGTACACGTGTCATGGAAATAAATGAAAAATTTCTGATTTTGTACTTAAGGGCTGTGCATATGGAGCTCCACTACAAAACATTCTGTTCCTGGAAGGAACTATTTTGTTTCTGTTGAAAGTTTTTGTTTCCTTTCTCCTTTATGCTCCAGTTTTGAGGAGAAAAAGACAAACTTTGACAGTCCTAGATGATGTGAACCTTGAAGTCCAACAGAACTGCTCTGGCAATATTATTATTATTATTATTATTATTATTATTATTACTTCAAAAGCGTGCTTTCAGATACTGCTTTACAGAAGAATGAAAGCTCTCCTTTCAAGGTAGATTAGTTCCATGGGACTGTAGGATTTAAACTTTCATGCAGTCTGTAAGAGAGGATGGAGATGAATTGAAAGTCCTGCTTTCTGACTTTAAGCTTGGGGAGCTCCGAGATTCTTACTGCAGTCTCATGCAGAGGAAGGGGGGCTCCTAAGAAACCAGGTGAGCCAGCAAACTGGCAAACCTGGCTTGAATTTTTTTCTTTAAATACAATTGAGTTTGTATATGCCCTCCTCTTCTGAATCACCCTTAGTTTAGTCTTAAGTGATGATACAACTTCAGAACACATTTTTCTGTGAAAAAAATCTAAACAAATAGAGTACAAAGGAATCAGGGAAGTTAACAAGGAGCTAGTGCAGCTGTTAGCCTCTAAAAGGCGATGTGAGGTGAAGAAAAACCCTGTGAAGGAAGCTGAAGGCTAGAATCCTCCCCATTAGTAACCTGCACTGTCTGTCCATTCATAATTGGTAAGAGAAAGCATCTCCAATCAAGAAAATCTCCAAAGGTGAAGTTGATATAAGGGTGCTTCAATCAAACAGAAGACATTATTAGATGATTGTGACATTATATGCAGGAGCTCAGCAGTGACACCTGCTACAGGGGATGCGTCAGAAGTGTTGTCTAGAGTTTGCTTGTTTAGTGGAAGATTAAGCACTTGATAAAATGTTATTGTAAATACAGTCTTAGAGCACTTCAGTGGCTGAGGACTTGAAATAGCATCAGAAAATTTCCTCAATATTGATTTCCTGTACAATTTTCAAAAATAATAGGTGTTGTTACTTTTGTATATATGCATGCTGGATTTTCTATATGCATGTCTATTACTTAATTTTCAGTAAAATGTAATATTTTCCATGTGGAAATACTTATTTTTCTGGGTCAGACAAGCAGGAGTCTATTTCTGTAAGATACTTAACAAAACCTGAATGATCTCATACTTAATAGTGTATTTTTTGGGCAAAGAAGAAGAAAATATTTGAGTAGCCAAAAGGGGATGAAGTGCATAGAAATGTTACTGGGATGTTTAAAAATCCATCTTGTTAATTTGCATAATACTTTTAAGCAGAAAATTGTAAAGTAAATGCTTACTAAAAACTTCCTTAAACTGAATGTTACTGGAGTTTGAAATTATCTCATCAGGGAATGGGTGGAAGTTCTATTTTTGGAGGTACCAAAAACTTGGGTTGGTCAAAGAACTTAAATATACTACAGGGGACTATCTTCCACTGACAGAAGGATGGACAAAATGATCTAATACGTTCTTGGTTTTTTTCATTTCTAACTTTGAATGTGTAGTGAGTTACTGCCAAGAGAGGCACACCCTCTTAGTTGTTCCTCTTACTCCTTATTTTACTGTAAAACTGAGTATAAGCAGCCCAAAAGGCATTCCTGTTGTTGCTGTTAGAAGGAAGATTATGTTCAAATATAAAACAGTGATCTGTTACTATGTTAAAGCAAAGGAACTCTTGGCTGCCTACATTTCTGGTTGGTCCAGGTCTTTGTTGTGGTTTTGATTTTGGGAATTTGTTGTTGTTGTTGTTGCTCTTTTTGTTGTGATTTTGGTTTTGTTTGTTTTTAATAGGACTCTAGGCATTATTAGGGGTTTTCAATCAGTTCCAGTCAGAAGCTGAGAGAAAGCAATGTTAAATGAAGTGTTACTGGCATGGCAGCGTTCTGGCAAACCCAGGGAGCCAACAGGAATGTTGACATGTTCCTGGTTAAAGGCTAACTCCTGGTTTTGAAGGGAGTGAAAATTATTTTTTCCTTTTTCTTCCTTTCTGTTTCTTCCCACATTCTTTTTTTAACATGAAATGAGGCGTCATTTCCTCAACAGTATTCAGAGAGATGTTAAAATAAGCTGTGTGTCAAATAGAATAGACATTCCAGTCAGTGTGGCTGTGGTCTCACAAATTAGTCACTTTTAAATTCATGTGAAATGAAGGTTTGTTTCTCTTTATTTAACAATTTTTTATTACCATTACAAAAGCTAGATAGTCAAAACTCAGCTAATAATCCTCCCTAAATTCTGATTACAAATTCATGTTACACATTACACAGTTTATTGTAAAATTGTGTTGCTCTTTTCATGTAAAGCCTGTCCAGTTCAATTTCTACTTACCCATCTTTTTCTTTCTTTTTTGACCTTCTCTCCATGTTCATCTTTGTGTCCATGAGACCATTTAGTTAAAGCGTCAAGTGTCCAAATTTTGACATAATTGATTTACTTACGGGCATGAAATTTCAGCTTACAAGCACTGGATACAGGTCAATATTGGAGTTGAACTTTTCCATGCATTTTTGTCTGAAATTCTAAGTCAGCTTTTTGTGTTTCAAATGTGATCTGTGTCTGCTTTTTGACAGTAGTCTGTGCTCACAAAAGGTGTATGGCGACAATTAATTAATGGGGTTTTTTTCCACACGGAAGTCTTCTTGATGCAAGAGATGCACAGGAAAGATTATTGCAAACCTTGTCTGAATACACCTTTCATTTCCCTACCAACACCTGTTCCTGTCTCCTTTAAGATTATAAAAATGGGTTATGAATTTGGATTGGTTCTGAACTTTACTCATGAAATGGTTTCAATACACCAAATTAAAGGTCCATGTCTTACACTATCTTGCAGCTGTCACCAGATGCATAAGGAAAAGGGACTGTATGCTTAAAAAGTTACCTTCACCCTCCCAGTTATCTGAGCCTGTTCGATGTTGGAACTGAAGGATGCACCTGAACCAGTATTTAATAGTCACTGATGGATTTTTCTTTCTTTAATTAGGCAACTTTTTGAACCCCCTTATGATCTTGGAATATATGCCAGACCCTGTAGCAATGAGTTATGCAATTTAATTGCTCCTTAGATTAAAAGTACTTTGCCTTTTCATTTTAAGTGTATTGTCTGATGCTTAAATATGATAGTGTCCACTGTACTTAATGAGAAATCTATCTTATTTTCTATACCATTAATTATTTGTATACCTCTGCTGGTCTCCAGCAGAGTCTCTCTTCCCTTTACAGACCACAATAAACTACAGATTTGAAGTGCAATCCATACCTCCATTCAGTTCTGTTTCTGTTTTTATTGTCAGTATTAGTCATTTCTGCACTAGTGTCTGAAATTTAATTTCTGGGTTTTCTGTGATGTGTCACTTCATATGCTTTCTAAATATATGGTGCTTGTTCTTTGTGAAGAATATTTAGAAAATATTTAACAGAAACATGGGGAAAACTTTGGAATTTGTTGTTGGGGAAGGTGGTAAATTCCGTTATGGAGAATTTTTCATAATTTTGGAGAAGAATGCCTATTAAAGACTTGCACCTTGGGGCACAGAAGGACAGACTACAAGTAGCCTTGAAGTTCTTAAAGGGCTCCTTCTTTTCCCCTGGGACCTGGGGAGAGTATGCTAGTGAAGATATCCTGAGGAAGTTTAACACCATGAAGGCTCCTTTCCTTCAATTTAGGAAATTGGCATAAGCACCATTTAGGAAGAACTCTTGCTCTTTTTGTCTGACTTTCAACTGGAGGCTTGCCCTTGGGACGAGCATTTTCAAAATCTTCACGTTACTGCTTTTTTCCCTCCGAGCATTGTTTAGAAGTGAGCAGAGTGTTGGGAAAGGCAGTAGTTAGTACTGAGCACCTAATTGGTGTGATTTCTATCCAAAGGGCAGTTTATATTATATTCCAGCTGTACTTGGAAGTGAAATTTGAGGAATAAGGCGTGTGCCTGCTGCTAGGTTTGAGAATTGCAGCCCCTTTTGAAGCAGCATCCAGGCTGTGATCTTTTCTAAATACAGGCAGTTCAACATCCCCCTTACAGAAAGAGAAGTCAGATGTGCCTGGGCCTGTGTAACAAGGAAGATACTTCTGGAATTTGTAAACAATGCTTCACATGTGAGATAAAGTTTTCATTAAAATGGGAAACTTCTGTTTCAGCCATCTGCAGATGGGTGTGGTGCTCTGGACTGATGATGAAGTAGTTGTTGTTTTAGGAGTGTCTTGTGGCTCTTCGGCCTTTCCCCATGAGCACATGTGAGCTGCAGCCATAGAAGGCAGAACACCCAAGCACGGCTCAGAGTGTGTTCAGGGCCAGCATGGCCTGAGACAGTGGTCTGGGGTGTAGCCTGATCCCCACTGAATAGGATAAGCTTGTGTTTGTCTCTTTCAGGCTTTGTGTTTTTCTCTTTGCAGGCTTTCCCAGGGAAACCAGGGAGGAGTTCTCTTATCTCTCCGTGCATAGACAGCTGAAAGTTAAGGAAGGACTGAGAGTTACATAGTCAAAGTCAAGGAACAGCATGGATTTAATTCCTTGCCTAAACAGATCATAATAAATTAAGGGGGAACTCCCCCCCAAATATGTGAAAGCTTCACTGAGTCATGTAATCTGTCCTGGGCTTGTCTGGTAATTTACTTGATACCCTGGGGGAGAGCTCTTATTTCCTGCCCTTCAGTTTTAGGGCTGGACTTGGATTTCATTTTTGTGAATATTGTAACATTTATTAGAGGTCTGATACTATATTTATGGCAAAGAAAAGCACATTTGCATAGGCTTAATTTATCTTTGCAAGGATTATTTTTGCCTGATGTAATTGAGGTTGGGAGAACATGGGAAGGGAAGAAAGGAGAAGAAAAAGGTGTAGTTTATATTGTCAAGAGTGCTTTCTTCTTTTTGTAGTCTGTGGCGCAAACCTATCGGAAGACCTAGTAGTATGACACAAGCAAAGCTTCTTTTCTCTAGACTTGGCTTCAGTTTTTTTCCTTCTGTGATTAACATCCTTCTAACCTTCCTTGATGAGAGTTTTGAGAACCATTCTAAAACATGAACACCCAAGGTTAGGCTCAAAGAGATCACCCAAAGTATACCAAAAGTTTGGACTCAGTCCTGTTTCGAATTAACAAGAAAGATACTGAGGCAGGCTGCAAATGCAGAGCTTTAAGAGTTTCTAAACACCCATCTCTTCTTTGCACTATAGCAGTCCTAGCACATCAGAGACCAGAGTTTCCTGCTTAGACTCAAGTCTCTTATAGGACTTCTAAACTGCATTTGTTAATCCTAGGATGTATTGGGACTATTCCACTAGGACACTCGGCCATAACTCACTTGTAAATCTTACTATTTATGCTGCTTTTTCACAAATGATGATACACTTGATGCATGACTTTTGGATGCCTGACTTCTGTAAGGATGGAAACAAATGTGCTCCTTCTGTGTTTGGTCACTTTCCACCTTCCTGCTGGATATGTGGACTTGATGATAAGTGTCTCTACCAGCGGTTAGAATTTCTTCAGCTCTAGTACTACACATTTGAAAAGTCTTCTGTGCCTGACTGTAGTGATTTTCCCAGTGTTGAAGTAGGCCAGTTTGCAAGTAGTGGATTGGCCATTTAGGCTGATCTTTATTCTAGATGTGTATATAAAATACTAATTCCAAGTTTTGTGTGGAGGAGACATTTGAATAGGTATAAATAAGGAGCTAAGGAATTAATTTATTCACAGTTAAGTGAAAAATTATATAGAAATATAACAAAATCTTCAGTAAGATTATATTGTGCTACCTTTAAGAAAAGAAGAAAGACAAGTACATTCCAAGGGCCTTTTTGTAATTTTGTTTCTGTTAATGGAGTGGCTTTAAAATGTACTGACTGACTTTCATTTAATCCTGTGAAACTAACTTGTTTCTCTCCAGAACACATATACGAATGCAGATAAGCTTCTAGAAGCAGCAGAGCAGCTTGCTCAGACTGGAGAGTGTGACCCGGAGGAAATTTATCAGGCTGCCCATCAGCTTGAAGACCGGATACAGGATTTTGTCAGGCGTGTGGAGCAGCGCAAGATCCTGCTGGACATGTCTGTGTCCTTTCACACTCACGTTAAAGAGGTAAAACTTCTGCTAATTCTGGCGATGACTTCAAGCCCAAACCTGGTATTATCCACTGTTGCTTTCACTGTTAGAACCTTGTCATAGGGACACCATGAAAACCTCTGTTACGTGATGAGTTTTGGTTTGTAATGCACTGTGGATTGTGGGCTGGGGTAGCATGGTGGTTCTGTTTAAGGATTTTTAAAATTTTATTTGATTTTGATTTTTTATTTTCAGATGCATCTTTTACCTCCTTCATTGCGCAAGTACACATGCTTGTGTAGTTACAGGGGAGGGAGAATGGTCAGATCAGGGAACTGGTACAGCTAAAAGTCACCATTGTGGAGTGAGATACTGTGCACTTTTGGTTTTTTCTCCATCCAGCTCCCTTGTTGTCTGACTTAGCAGACCCATTGTTAGACTGACATGATTCTGGAGACCAAAATGAATGGTAGAAGCACAAAGCTACCTAAGGCAACCTTGTTGCCCAGAGAGACTTCATTTATTTCTGTGTTTTGCACATTGAATTTTTATCTCATATATTGACAATTCTAATTGCAACCTAAAGACCTTACCTGATAATGACATGGGTTTGCCTCATGTTTGCAATTTTTAGTCTTCTTCCAAGGTCACCAGGAAAAAAAATTCAGTCACATTTAATTTTCAGTAAGATTAGCTTTTTCCTCCAATTCAAAACACAGAACATTAATTTATGAGCTCATGGGAGAAGGTGGAACAGGCTACAGCAAGAATAAAGACTTCAGTAAGGTGTTTTGGTTTTTGCCAGTCTTAGGTTACTTGGTTTCTGTTTTGAGCTCATGTTAAATCTCCCCACTGTTCAAACTCAGTGAAAATATGAAAAGTTTCTAGATCACAACATGTCCCAGTGTGTCTTCCTTCACTGTACATTGTGAAATGGTCTGTTCAGTGGCAAAGTATAGTACTCAAAGTAGCTTCTTCAGCAAAACCTCCTAGAGGATAAGAGTGGGAGTTTTTGTAAGTAAAACATCTGCTTTGCACTAGAAACAAAAGCTCAAGGCAGTTGGTTTTTGAAGGAGGTCAGGATTGAATTACTTTTTAGACTTACACATGAGTACATAGCTCCCCCATCAGTTTTCTGTCAGATGGTTCCTTGCCAGTACTCTCACAGGACTCTGCTTGTTCAAACAAAATATAAATGCTGTTTCATAAACTGTTCTTAGGGGGCAGCTTTTTTGTTTCACTTTCTCAAGCAAACAGTACTGGCCCTTATCTGTTATGAAGCACAGGAGCAGTCAGCTGCTGAAATGTGTTCCTTTTTTAATATATATTTCTTCATTATCTGTTTTTCTTAGCATCAAAAGCAACAGCTGGAATGGTATTTAAATAGAATACAGTTGGTTGTAGTGACGAAAGACCAAGAGTGTAAAAGGATTTGCTTTCAAAAATGAAAGACCAACTGATATGTGAGTCACTGTTGAATAATTCTGGGTGGCTGATCCAGATGTGCTGGCACATTGCCACTGCTCCCCTAGATAATAATGTTCTATTGAAAAAAAAAGAAAAAAAAGAAAAAAGATATTTTGTATTTTGATTTATTTCTTTGGGAAAATGGCTATTATTTTGAGTCTGTAAGCACACACAGCTGTTACTATTGGAGCCTCTTTGCAGTCCAGACTTTGAGGGAAAAGTACAATGGTGGCTGATGTTGATTTTTTTTTTTTTTTGGTTTTGTGATGTGAATGACCTTTATACCTAGCAATGCAAGGAAACATTTTAAAACTATCTATTTGTGTAAGGAAGGATATATTTTTATATATTTGCAGTCTACTTAAAAAATTTGAGATGGATGAGAGTGTGAGGCAGATGTTTCTTATTTAGTAGACTAGTCCTTGGTTCAGGCGCAAAGAAACAGCAAGCTCAAAGCTCTCCTGTGCTTTCTGTATTCTGATCTATTTTCAAGAGCATGTTCTTTGTTATCAAACGTGTGTACAGAGTGCTGAGAAGGCATCACAAAGCAGATGGAAGATAAAAATGCCCTAACCTGAAAGCCATCCGTGCTTATTGGCAGGAAAACTGTGTTTCTCCTGCAGGATGTGGAAGGTTGCTGAATAAATCAGTGCATATACCTGTAAGCAACATAACCTTTCTGCTGTGTTGTGAAGAAATTAACATGCCTGCTTAGCTACTGAAGAGTTCAAGCAGTATGATAATAGGTTAGTTGTTCAACCAGAAAGAGGTGCCTTAGATGTTAAATAAAAAGAAAAATACATAAAAAACCCCACCAAAACACACAAAAGCCAACCCCCAAAACATGAACCCATACAAAGCAAAACACCACCAATGCATTTTGCCCTTGAAGTGTTCAGGGCAAATTCTGTCTCTAGTATCTTCTTTTTGTGTTTTCCTGGTTAAAAAAAAATAAAAATAAAAATAGTAGACATGAAGAGTTAAACTCCTGTTTTGTGATAGTTTGGAGGGAGCTGCAGAGCTTAGAAAAGCTGTTTGTCTCAGTTGTTTGAAACCTGGCTCCAGTATCCTTCCAATCCCTTGATTTCTTTGAAGTAGGATGTTTCAGTATATGTTATTCTTTTCCCCCAGAATGTTGAATGAATGCTTCTTATTTGGATGAGAGTATTCCAATACCACTTCTCCCGTGTACATTTACATAACCTTTATACCTGATGCAGAATTTGCCTGCAACTTTTCTCAGCTTCCCTAGGAAGCAGCAGCCCTTCAGTGACTGCGCAGTACTCTCACTCTGTTCATGCTGAGTAAATCAGCACAGTTTCTGCTTTCAACAGTGTGTTTGCCACAAAAAGCTCTTCCTGAAAGTAACAGCCTTTGCTATCTATATGCACAGACCAGCTGTGTGCTATGAGTGCAGCAGCCTGTTACGATGCACATGGAGTATACTGTCTTTAGCATTTCCAGAAGTTTTGCAGTGAGGTAGTTACAAGCTGGTAGAGCTTCCTGTGGCTTACAAATACCAAAAAAAACAACATAAAAGTTCTCAGACTCCTCATAGACTAACCTCAGTAGACAACATTTTTCACTGGGGAAAAAAAGGATCTATTCAGAAATGACAAAAGTACAGTGTTATGTAATGGTACCACTCATTTTGTTTAGTGGTGATCTGAGAAAATCAGTTGCTTACTATTTGTGAATTGTGATTACACACTGCTATCTTATTACTGGTTTTAAAATTGTTAGGTTGTGAATATTGATTTTTAGCTCCCATGCATATAGTGAGAAATTTCAGTTTATAAGCCAGTCTCTTCAATGAAGTGATGTACTATAGTTAAGCTGTGCACTGGCAAGCTTTAAGTTAGGGATCATAAATATCCCTGTTAGGATCTTTGCATTGGAACTACTATGTCTTGACAGATTCCGAGCCTGGGGATGGGTAAGATAAAACTGAACATCTGAAACAGACCATTGCAAGACAGGGGAACCCTTGTGGCTTTTATGCCTTTGGACATTTAATAGTATGGCAAGGGATGAGGTGAGAAAAAATTGCATAGGTAAAAGATAACACTTAAAGATAAGAGTAACAAATAAGCAGTTATTATAAAAGGTTGTGTGCAGAACACAGGAGTAGGAGTCTCAATAATCTCTCTGTGAAATGTGTCTCAGACTAGAGATGAACAGCATTTTGGTGTGAGTTCAAATTCTTACATTCACATACATACACATGTGCACACACACTGTCTCCAAAATGGCTCCCTCAGCATCTGGGAATGAGAAGACTGAAATCCTGTCCAAACCAGGTGTTTGTTGTAGTGCCAAAGCAGAGCAACAGGTATTTTCCTAACTGGAGTCAAGTGTGGGAATGCAGATCAGGCTGACTGTATGTGGAAGAAAATTATCTCTTAAGAGCCTGTTGGTTTTTTGCATATAACCTTTTGTGTGTATTCTGACAAGTTGATTATAAAATAGCTCAGAGCACTTTTTATGTATACACAGTATGCTTAATGGTGTTGCTAGAAGACATGACTCTTCTTTTTTCATCTTACTCAAACTAAACTTCGCTCCAAAACAGACTGAGGTAGAAACAAAAAGAAGGGAAGTGGAATTGGCTAGGTTTTCAGATACAAAGCCATCACTGCCAAAGTAATGAAACAGTTGTCTGTGCAAGCTTTAGAAGGAAGGTAGCATAATTTTGAGGGTACCAGTGCATGGGAGGGCAGAGAAGACCTTGCTCTGACCACAGTGCTGCCCATTCATTCACATCTACCTATGTAGCATGTGCATTTGATTCAAAAAGGTTGTTGATAATAGTCTCACTTTTTATCACAACTCACTTCTGGAAATGCACTTTCCTCTGCATTGCCTAGTATGGGAGGGTGTCCATAGCAGAGCCTCGCACTCATTGTGTCTCGAGTCATTTTGTCCCTGCTCCTTTGGTCCCATGTCCCTCCTGGGAGGGACATTTGATCTTTCTGTGCTGGTGGTCTGCAGGTTAAATGTGCATGTCACTAAAAGGCTGCTTTCTCCTCTGCATGCTGTTTCCAGCAGCAGAGCATCTTTTAGATGCCCTCATCTATGTGTAAAGGCTTTATCCATTTGACTTGTGCATCTCTAATATTTTTATTGTGTCATTATAGCAAAGCAGCGGTCAATGTAACAGGTCTGGTAAAATATATGAAGTGCGCTCTGGTCAGTATTTTGATACACCGCTCATCTTGTGAGAGTTGGGGAGGACACTTTTAAATCTGAAATGAGAAACACTCTCACTGGCTGCACACTCAAGTGTGTAGTGGCTTATTGCTGGTAGGACTGGAATTCAGTTTCCCAGCACAGCTTTTCTTCTCTTTTGAGTTTTTCAATACTGGTAACTTCTTTGCTTGGAAAAAAGGATGAAATTTAAGTCCAAGTGTTACTGAAATAGCACTGAGTGCTTGACAAAAGTGAGGCAGAAGTAGGCCTTTATGCTCTATTAAGCTATGTATAGACATTTTTCTCTTGTTCAGTTAAAAAATAGGGCAAATGTTAACAGGGTAGTAGTAGTAGATGTAATTTTATGAACATGTGGGAAACTTGGTTTTGCTGCAAGGATGAATTTATTCTGAATTGGAAATTAATTCCTTTAAAACCATAGGATAGATAGGGGTATTTGAAGCTTTTAAAGATAATTATATCTAATAAAAAAAAAAAAATGCAGGCATTTAATGTCTTAAATGCCACTGAAAAGGCCCTGGAAGACAAACCCCAGAGTGATTAGCATTTTAAGGTTTTTGTTTTTAAAAAGATGCAATATTTTGTGCACTGAATATCCTCAAAGCCAAAGCTTACAGACAAACATACACACACTAGCTCCTTTCTATGCCTAGACATACTTGTTAGGGAACACCGTTGCAGCATTTGGCCCTGTACAGATAATAGGTCCTTCAACAGCTGTGTCTGTGGTAATGCATATACTTCAACACTCTGCTGGAGGATGGGGGCAGAAAGAGGAATTTGCAGTTTTTACATGAGGAAACCATGTGGCTTTCTTTGCCTGAGCCTACTGGAAAGGCAGACTGAATATCCAAAAGCCATTATTATAAAAATTAAAAAATAACTTGTGAAAGAGTGTGATGGATATTTTACCCCTAATAAAATAATTTTGTGCTCTTGGGTGAAGAATTTGCTCAAAAACAATTGTTCTCTGTTTATATTCAGCAAAATACAGTGGGGTCTTATGTAACTGCAGTCTTTCAGGAGATTGCAGAGATGGGATTTAAATGGATAGAGGCCCATGATGGAAACACTGAAACTTCCAGGATGTTGCAGACAATTGAAATAATACCATCTCAGTGACTAATGGCATGCTCCCAAGAACTTAGGAAAGAGGTAGTACAGGATGCAGGCTCATTCAAGCAGATGTTTCTTAGTCTGTGCTATATTTAGAACAAGAAAAAAAATCTGCTGAGTGAAACATTTGTCTGTTAGGGATTCAGAATTTTATTTCCCTCTCTAATTTTAATTCTGATAAGATGCAAAGAGCAGATGAAAAGAGAAGGAGAACCTCTTTCTGTGACTGTATTGAGTTTTGTATGCAATTTTTCTCACCATATGTTGGAGCTGTCTTGCTGCTGGATAAATTTCTCACTGAGATCAGAGGACCTGATGGCTTGAGTAGGGATCCTCATGCTACTTCTCTTACAAAGAATAGAAAAAAAGCGTGGCTGGAATTTGCTCATAAGTTCACATGAGAGAAAGTTAATAGTTTTTTAATTATGAGTTTGTGATTTTTTTCCCCCACTGGATTTTTGTTGCCAAGCTCTCTTATGGAATTATGTGTTACTTCAGAAAGTCATTGCACTGTAAAATCTGTAATTCTGCACTGCTGATCATGTATGGGTAAGCTCTTTTCACCCCCTGCTGTAAACTGTTTGCTTTCTTTTGGCTTTGCTGTGCAACCTCGTACAATCTTCAACCTTAATTTTGTATCTGAAAATAAGGTAATTTATGTAATTTCCAGTATATCCATTCTAGTTTGAAAGCTGCAGAGAAGCCAGATGGCTACTGCCACCCATTAAGAATTAAGCTTCTCTCAGTACATTGCATGAATTTCTATCCAGCTGTAATAACCTGACAGTTTTATTCATCTCTGGTGGCTTTATCATAACTTTTGTTTATAAACACCTAGATTATTTTGAGGGGAATATTTCTGTCAGAAACTTACTTGGTGGAAAAATGTAAAAAGTTTATTTAGTAATGTATTAGAGTAACTTCTGCTGTGGAAGTGTCACAGAGCTGTTTAGTCACTTCAGAAATTGCTTAAATTGTTCCACTTTCAACAGTGTATGAATCACAGCTAGGCAAGTAATGCATACTAATTATGCTCCTTTTTCTGCACTTTTCATAAAATGTTTTTGCTTCCCCAGCAGTGGACAATTCAGCTCATGGGCTAGGCAAACACAACGTATTTTTGAGCCCTTCGGTATCTTGGGGGCCGGATACCAGCTTTATAGTGATGGCCGTGCTGACCAGGCACCGAGCCAGTCAGCGTCACGCTCGGTTGTGCTGGTGCCCATGTCCTTCTGCTCGAGGCAGGTGGTGGTGCCTCGAACTGGTTGTGCAGAGGGAAAGGTCTGCGTGTCCTGTGTTGGCTTGGTCTCCAGCATCCAGGGTGAGCTCTGAGGGCATTATTCACATGCACACTACCTCACCAGTCCAGCACTTTTAGGTTTTGTTGCTTCTGCCAGATCTCCATCCAGTTATAGAAGTGTCTGAAGTGTATGTGAAGAATAAGAAATGAAGAGGTGAGGTGGATATTTCTTGTAGAGGTCTGACACAATTCAGCTGCAGAAGGCATTGTTAAAAGTTGAAGTGGCTCTCAGACCTGTTTTGAGCTGCAGTACAGGTACTTCTAAGGGGTCCAGAGGACAAACTTCATACAGTCTGAGAGACTCAAAATTACTTAATCGCAGTTCCTCTGTAGTAAATATCTGTGTAACTTTGGCCTTTTGTAGGCAGCACAGTAAGCATGGAGTGTATGTCAGCATGTAGAGCCAGCCATTGTCTTCCAGGCAGCACCAAGCACATTGCAGAAAACAACAAAGTGTTGCTCTCAAATGCCTGTATCTGCACATTTGTAAGCTGTACTGGTTATGGGTACACGCCATCTTGTTTGGAAGGTCTCTGACTCAATGCCCTGTTTTTATGGCTCAGGCATAATATCCTCTGGGCACTGAGTAAAATTTTCAGGTTGTCTTTTCAGGCTTCTTGCTCTTAAGTTTAATTTGTTTCCCAGGTAAAGTTGCGTTCCAAAGTGCGCATTTGGAAAAAAAAAATTTGGATGCTGCATTGGGTTATACTGGAATGAATGTTGACAAGTGCTTCTAACCCACTTGCTAAGTTCTATTGATTTGTGGTCCTTTTAATAAGACAGACTGCTGTGCTGTGGTGTTTACAACTGTGGAGTTGCATTCAGGTTTGTGACAAACATTGTCGTTGAAGCATATGAGAAGTCAGAATAACAGTGTGTATAAACAGATAGTTCTGGTTTGGGGAGGAGGAGGTAGTGGATTTGTAGAAAAGAGTCTGGTTAAATCTCATCAGTTCATCCCAGTTGTGAAAACTTAGCCCATAGCTTGGTTTACTCAAAACCTACAGGAGGCATGTACAGCTATGAGATACCAAAACTGGCATTTGATTTTAAAACAGCTTAAAAGGAATTAATTAATCAAGATCTGGAATCATTCCCTGAGTTTTCTATTTTATGCAGTAGTTAGGAAACCTTTATGATCAGAACATACATATACAAACAGCAGCAGGAAATTACTATTTCTGTAGAAAACGTTTAGCAAAGGAATAAAGAAAACATTTGAGTTTTCTCTTTTTTGAATTTAGCCCAGTTTTGATTTCTTAGTTATGTATTTTAACAATGTTAACCTTTTAATTAGGTTCTAAAGGTCTCTAAAATTTTCAAAGGCCAAAATTAAAATGTCAAAAGACCTTAATACTTTTGATCAAGTCAGAGTTGCTCTTTTGGGATAAAAAACAAACTCTTCTCCTTGGAATAGCAGCAATTTGGGATGGGATGGTAAAATAGAGAGGAGGGACCAGTTTTGAATGCTTCCTGTGATAGCAGCTGTTCAGTGTGATGTTGGTGCTGCTTGTGGGAGTGTTGCAGGACACAGCCTTGCTCCTGCTGTTTTTTTTCAGTTCTGCAATAGATAGCTAATGGTTTGCTGATGAGTGACTTTCATATAGAGCTTAGGATGCAACAGCTTCCATCATGAAATTGTGGAAAAGAACACTGTAGGGTTCTTTATGTGACCAGCAGTGATACCTGTCCAGCATATAGCTAGGGATTTTTGTGTAAGCCGTGGTGCATGGGAATTTTTGAGAAGGGATATGTGCACTTGTGAAGCAGGAAGGAAGAATGTCAAATTAACTGGTAGAATTGCTTATGATGATTTTTGTTGTAATAGCGTGAAACTGAAATCAGGAGGGCAAACACCAACATGATAGAACAATAAGTTTTCACATCTGATTTATCTTTGTATCTTGTTTTCTGAAATGCCTTGTCTTTTTTCCTTTTTTTGAAGGCCACTGAAAAGTGTTATGTTGGCTGTGTGCAGTGTCAGCCTGGCAGTGCAGATTTGATGGTGGCTACAATACATCTCCCTTCCTTCCTTCCTTCCTTTCTCCCTTCTCTCGGACAGTGTTACCATAGCATTTCTCTCCCAGTGACTCTTGCGCAGAGCTGCAGATGGGATTCTCACTATGAACTCTGTGCTGCTCAATCAGATACGCTCAGTTCTGTAGAAGGAAAATGGGGAAGAACGGGTGACTTAGCAACACGGATAAAGCTTTCCTGGTATTTCCAAGAAGCGAAAACCTTTTTTGAAACAAAGGCTTGTTTTCATTAATATGAGGATGGGATATTTCTACGAAGAAAAACAAATCCTCTTTCTTCCTGCCACCTCAGTCTGTTTTCTCTTGTCCAGGGGGATGGATTCAGAATAGTTGACTGCCTGATCCTCGGGCTTATGTTTCTTGGTTGTTCCACTTTCCTTTAGCTGTGGACGTGGCTTGAAGAGCTACAGAAGGAACTGCTTGATGATGTCTATGCTGAGTCTGTGGAGGCTGTCCAAGACCTGATTAAACGTTTTGGTCAACAACAACAGACCACTCTGCAGGTTACAGTCAATGTCATAAAAGAAGGTGAAGATCTCATACAGCAACTAAGGTAAAACAGATTTTTATTTAAATCTCTCCTTATGTTCATCTGATGTTCTCTGAGGTTCTTTCTATTTTGAGGGTAGAGATGATGAGTACAAGAAATGACCTATAAATAAAACTTGTAAATATTAGGACTACAGCGATCTTTCATGCTGTACTGATGGCCTCTAAACCTCTGTTTACAGGAAGCTCAGCTTATAAACACTGCTGCCACAAGGAGATTTTGTTGACATAACCTACCTTTTTGATAGAAGCAATTATGTGTTTTTGTAGTCTGACGTGCAGGGCTCCCCACAGCATTTTGAGTTCTGAGCAGCAGCTCTTCTATAAAGAGATACTTGAATTTGTTTTGCAGTCTGACAAGTAACTTCATTGTAGTAAGAGCCAAGTTTGTGGTCCATTTTATTCAAAAATGATCTGAATAAAAAAATTTGATTCCCAGCTGCTCTGGTACATGTCTCCTTTGCTGCAGGACATTAAAAAAATCTGAATTTGCAGGTTTTATACTTGAGTAAAAGATTAGGTAATTTTTTTAAATTAACTCATTTTGATTTCCTTTCCTTGCCAGGAAGATTGAGCAAATAGTTATCATATGCTGCTTCCTTTTCATAGCGGAAGTGTTTGTCTCTGGTTTTAAATTTTATCCTTTGTGTAAATAGAATTTACATGTTGAATTGGGCAAAAAATGAAAGTAATTATTATTTCCTAATTTTTTTTTTTCAAGTACTAGAACATAGTTTGGCTTTTTATTTACAAAGATGTACAGCCTTAGCTTTCATGCAATATGGTTTGCACCTACTTTATCTGAAGCAGGATTGTATCTTGTGGTCATGTACAGCATCCAAATTGTATAGGTTTTGTTTTGTTTTTTTTTCAATAATGCTCTTTTTTCTTTCCTCTCCCCTCTCTCTGCTTTGAATAGGGATTCTGCCATTTCTAGTAACAAGACCCCCCATAACAGCTCGATCAACCACATAGAGACAGTCCTGCAGCAGCTGGATGAGGCCCAGTCTCAGATGGAGGAGCTTTTTCAAGAACGCAAGATCAAACTCGAGCTGTTTCTGCAGCTCCGCATATTTGAAAGAGATGCAATAGATGTGAGTGTTTGCTTTCAGACTTGCACTGCATGCACTTCTCCTCTTGTGTAGGAATGTTTATGCTGAGATTGTGTAGCTGCATTGGCACGTGGCTCAAATGGCCGGTAGACTTCATTCTTACCTGAACTAAGGCTTTTGTCCTGTATGTGAAAGTGTCAGAAGAGCTCAGTGCACAGCAGAGCTGAGCTTTTTGATTGGCTCTCAGTGCATCTTTAAGCAAATGTTGGTTAAAATCTTAATGCACCAGTTACTTCATCCACTAAGTTTAGTCTGAATATCAAGCTACCTTGATATAACTAGTATGTCTGCAGTTAATATGAATAGGATTTGCAAGATGGTTTTGTACAAACTGATGTTTTGTGGTAATAACCCTCTTCCCTTCATTTTCCATATCAGCATTCTTTTTTCCAGTTGGCAGCTACGAGTGCTATTTGGAATTCTATCTTAATCACTGGGAATGTTCTGTGGGCTGTCATTTTTTAAAAATAAAATTCTCTTCCACCTCCGAAAATAATTCAATAGCAGCTGTAGTGCTGCACCCTTGCAAAACTTCAAGAAGTTTTGAGCCTGTCTAAACTTCGAAGGGGAGTTGCAGCTTATCTGTTAAAAAGTTTCTGTTTATATGCAGGAGGAACATGTATACAAACAGACATGAAACTTCACAGGCAGCTTAGGTTAGCAGAGTTGCATTAAAAAACTTCAGCTAAGTTCATGTGACTTCTGCTAGTCATATGAAAACTACTCGTGCTGTACACAGTGACTGAAACAGGTTGGTGCCATATAAGGTTCAGGGTTATTCATTGGTAAATGATCCTGTTTGATGTATAACAACTTAGCTTGAGATTCTGAAAACCAGGAGTTAGAGTGATAATTTTACCCCTTTGCTTGCATGTAGTAAAAGCTGCAGCTCTTGGTTATGAATGTAAAGGTAAATGAGGCAGTCAGCAAAAAGCTCCTCAGATTTTCAGTGATAGTGTCTTGGGTTTTTAGTATTTTGGTTTGGGTGTTTTTTCCCCCTTCTGAAAATCACGATTTGATGTCATGGCTGAAGTCTGGCTTAGCTAAGCACAGTGTTAGGGGCAGTGCAGAAATAGGAAGACACAGTTCCTTGATCCTTACCCACAGAGGAAGTGAGAGTGTGTGCTCTACAGTAATAACAGCTCTGGTGTACAGGAAGACTAAGAAAGTTTTTTTTTTTTCAATTTTGCAATTCATACTGGTCTGTGGAGAGTTTTTCTGACTATGTGAGAGTAGCTTTTGTACTTTGATCCTGTGAGAGGAGCTGTCTCACATATGCTTAAAATCCTTGCAGGAGTGATCAGCAGTGCTTGATGTCTGTGAAATGTTCTCAGAACACTTTTTTTTGAAGGAATGGCATCTGTGTGGGATAGTGCATACAAAGAAAATTAATGGAAGAATTAGGATAAAGGTTTGAATGAAGTTCACTATTAATTTGATTGCTGTCTGTTGTAGGTTACATAATCCAGGATTCTACAGTAGCAAATGGCTGGTTGCAGGAGCTCTGCTTTGTGGATATGTTTTAGTCCTTCAGTTCAGGACAGCATCTCTATAGGTAGGAGTACTTCTGGTACTGCTAATTGGTGATGCCCATAGGCATCAGAAAGTTGCAAACCCTAACTTCATACAGTCATAGAATAGAATGTACTGAGTTGGAAGGGACCTACAAGGATCATCAAGTCCAACTCTTGACCCTGCACAAAGCATCCCAAGAGTCAAACCATGTGCCTAGGAGTGTTGTCCAAACAGTTCTTGAATTCTGCCAGGCTTTGTGCTGTGACCACTTCCCTGGGGAGCCTGTTCCAGTGCCCATCTCTGGGTGAGAACCTTTTCCTGACTTCCAACATAAACCTCCTCTAGAGCTCTGCTTCATCTTGTTTCCTCAAGTCTGGTCACGAGTGAAGATGTTGGTACCTGCCCTTCTACTTCCCCTCATGAGGAAGTTGTAATTGCAATGAGGTCTTCCCTCAGCCTCCTCTTCTCCAGGCTGAACAGATCAAGTGACCTCAGCTGCTCCTCATAAGGCTTCCCCTCCAGCTCTTCAGCCTTTTTTTGGCCCTCCTTAGGATTCTTTCTAAGAGATTACTGTCTTTTTTATATTGTAGTACCCAAAACTGCACATGCTTGACAGGTCTTGCTTTATCTAAATCTGACACTTGGCATGCCTTTCGTTTTGCCACATAAAACATAAAGTAAAGCATCAGTTACCTTGTTGAAAGATTTGGTATCGTTTCTCTATATGGCTTGGAAATAGAAAACATGCTTATTTTAGATTGACGGAGAGTCCTTCAGGGAAGAAAATGGCTCTGGCTACAGAGTGACTTCAGCAAAATGTTGATTGTTTTGCTGTCTCTGTACCATATCTTCTCTGCTTCCTTAGCAAAACATGCTTCTCTTTCCCCTCTCCCTGAAGGCAGACACCTGTTCCAAAACTTACAGGAAGAAAATGTGGGGACTAGTTCCAGGTCAGTTGTTTGAAAGCAGAAGCTCAGCTGAAGTAACTTCATAATGAGGAGGAGTCACATGCCAGCCAGGAATTTGCAGACCTTGTTTTGACCTTCTCCTCCCTTCAGGATTTTGTGTGACTGGTCCAGTCATTTAAGACTTGGCTGTAGGGGCAGTTCATTCAGGGGAGCATCCCGTGAGGACAGCTTTTCTCAAAAGCAGGTAGTGTTTCTAGCTTCTCTTGCTGCTTGCAAAATTACACAGGCTAAAATGGGACAAAGAGCTCCCCTAACACTGCAGGGTTATAACCATTAGCATAACCATGCAGCTGTTCTTCTGGAGACAGTGGTGAGATTTGGCAGGGTTAATGCCCTTCTCCTTACTCTTCACGTATAATTTGCTGATAAAATACTTCATTTCTCTGATGATAAAAAACTTCATTTCTTTTATGCTTCAACTTTCCAGATACTCGTGCTCTTCTGAAGTTGGTATAACTGCAGTACTGTCTCTATTTTGTCCCTTGCCCTTATAAACTTGACCTCTATCCTCAGCATGATTTTTAGTGCCATTGTTGGTGAGCTTCTGGTTGCTTGTTGAAGGACTCCTTTGTATAAAGGCAAGAATGAGCAAAATAATGTAGGTGAAGATTCCCTTGCTAGTGTTACTAGGAGCACGAGGAAGGTGTGTGTGAACACAGCCAGTGGGATGGTAACAGTGATGGCAAAGTACACAGTCTGAAATGTGCTTGTCTCATCTGTGTCTGTAACATTTTTGCCTGTCTGTAACTTACATGCCTTGAGGCCTATGTCAGGGCTTTACACAGAGCATACCACACACTTTTCAGCTCACAGCTTTATCTCAACTCTATTTTTGGATCATACTTACAAGATTCCTGTGGAATCACAGTGCTGAAAAGATGAGGATGCAAAATGTTGGGGTATCACAGAGACCTATCTCTTCTCCCTTTTTTGCTTTCCTTTTTTTTTTTTTTAATTTTTTTTATTTCTCTTCTCAGCACATAATATTTGCTGGGTCTTGGTGAGCACTCAGTTGGCACCATGCATGGTAGACACTTCTGAGAAGAGACCTGTGGTTCTTTGTTTTTCTCCCATTCAGTGTGAGCATATTCTGTATTATACCCTGCCTTGTTTCCTCTCAGTATTACCTTTACATTTAATAGAATGCAGCAATATCAGGCGGCTCAGAATCTGCACTGGGAACTTTTAGAACACATGCTACGGTAAATTGTTAGCCTGTGTTTATGCTGGGTTGTCCATTTCCTGAGAGCAGTATGAATTTGTGATTCAGTTACTTTAGATTTCTATTAGTCATTTGTTCTGTTTGTTTAATACTTACTGTCTTGACAAAACTTTACAATCAAACTGGGAGCCTGCTTGCTTTGGAAGTGCTGTCTGTAAAGCAGAACTTTAGGGAAAGCACTGAAGAGTGTGGGCAGAGAGGGCTTAGTGAATGCTATTTCTGGATTAACTCTGCCTTCAGATTTGCACAGTGGGTGCAGTGGCTGATGTAGACTTGCACCATCTAATTACTGCTGATAAAATATGACAATTACTGCCCTTGTTAGGAAAGTTCTTTATGAACCCACCACATGGTCATTGACTTTCGAATCAGTGTGGAAACATGCTGGCATTATTTATTTGAATTGTGGGGATCCTGATCTTTTAAAGGGGAAAGAAAATGTATTAGCCTTGTTCAGAGTGTTTCAAACTGCTTTAAACAGTATGTGTGGCACAATCCTAAGCATAGGGTTGGTTGTATGAAATAGCATGGGAAAAACTATAATTCTTGCTGGCTGTTTATGGCTGTTCTTTGGAGGCACGATCAATGAAACCTCTTGGCTGATGCGACACAGTTTTGACCCCTTGAAAACAGTTGTTTTCCTATCATATAAAGGGAATCTTAGGAGCTAGTGACTACAATCTGTTTCATTGTTACAAAAATACTGACACAGCCACAGCAGTGTCATATTGTGAGCTTACTGTGTTTTTTACTTTATTCTCACTTGAATTCTAGTAAATGAGATAAGGTTTGGCATCTGTTCTGAAGGGAGATGGACTGGCTTTCCTTTTAAAACAGTGTCATAAATGTGCTGTGTTGAATCTTAATCCTTTGTACAGTGGTGTTTAGAAAGATGGTGTTTTGATGGTGGAGTTTGGCAAACTTTTTTTAATGCTCAGATTTTTGTTTGACGAAATCCAACTACAGATACTTTTTCTGAGTAACTTATGAATGTTGTTAACTGACCTGGATGAAAATAAGATGGTAAATGTGTTTTCCTGGAACTTCCCTAATGTGGTGGATGAAAAAACAAACATTAGATGACCTCCACTGCTTTTAAGAATAAATGAACACAGAGTTTCAGAGAGAAGCTGGGAAAAGCAGAGCTGAGATGCATAAGAGTAGAAAAGGGGGGTAATTGAAAGTAAGCAATTTCTCTGTCTGGACTGTCAGGAAGACCTGAAGTTTCTTTTAAAAGTTCAGGTCACTTAAAAGAATGTGAAGAGCAGAAGAAGGTGATGAGACATGTTGGGCATGGACCAAGTAAAAAGGAAATGAAGGGAACTTGTTAAGGATTTTGTGGGAGGTGAAGCCTGTTGGTGTGTTTAGAGGGAAAACCACATATGCCTGAATACACTGTGTGATGTTTAGAGCATATGGAAGATGAAAGGAGCTTCAAGCAGCGGCTGAAAGCCTTGTCCTGTCTGTCTTCCTGAATACTTTGGTCATCAGCTTTTCTATTTTCAGTGTCACCCCTGACACTTGATTTTCTGCCTGTTTTTACTTCAGCAGAGGTAGCTGGGCAGGTTTAGGTGTTGCAAATAGCTGCCTTAATTGTTTGGTATCTCCCATTATGACATGGTGTAAAACTGAATACTTGGTGAATTGAGTACTGTTTTTTGCTGAACACCTCTAAAACAGGAAGTAACTCACTGGTGCCACAATTTTAATATTAATTGCTTGATATGTCCATTTTTTTATGGCATCATGTGAGCAGAATGGAAAAAAGCCTTCATGAGAGATTGTAGAAAACTATAGAAGCTTTATACAAAAAAATTAATTTTTATACCTCTCTAATTCTGCTTTTTTCCTAGAAGGCCTATTTTCCTAGTATTTCTCGTGTCATTTAAATGTCTCACTAACTTTGGAGCTATTACAGCCACTTGAAAAGGGGTAGTGCCATCTTTCTTTTGCTGACAACAAATTACTTTGGTTAAGTATTTATGCATGTAAATACTTGATTGCTAATGCCTGTTAAGTCAGGTCCTCTTTTTGTTGTGTCTTGCTGCATAAATAGGTACTTTCCTCTCATTTAGCACCATTCACATAATTTTGTCCTAATATTGAAATTGTAGAACCCTGGAACTAAGCCATACTTATTTTTTGACATCTATAATTTTACTTTCCCAATGAACTTCAATAGTTTGTGCCAAAACTGTGCCAAAAATTCTGGAAAAAAATTTGATTATTGGCTTGAAGGATAAATGTGTTACACATTTTGAAGTAACTGATGCATCAAATCTATGCCATTATGAACTCAACTCACAAAGTTATCTCATTGATAATGAGGATTGTATGCAGTATGTAAAACTAGTTTTGTATCCTAATTAAAAGGAATATTTTACCTTTCAGATAGGCTTTGCAATATAATTTGGAAAATACACTTGTGTGGACAGACAAGGAGAACTTACTGTTGTGACACATGTTAAAAAAATCCAAAACTTTTTTAGTTACTTTTCTTTGGACATCCTACCATGAAGAATAAAATCCAGAATTAAAATGTGAAAACTGAAGTGTAGCTGAAAAATATAAGCAGGCAAATTTAGTTCTGACATTGCAGTAATATTGTAATAAAGTATGCTTTTTGGTTTTGCTGATTCACTGAGTACCCAGCCTTTTCTGGTAAGTGCTTCTCAGTTGTCTGGCAGAAATCAAAGGTACACGTGGCCTGATGCTTCCTGCCCACAAAGGAGTGGAGCCCTTTCTTGTAAAAGGGCTCAAGATTGGCATATTTGTAAGATAAGCTGGCTATGGATATATGAATTATTACTTGGTGCAGTCTGAAGAATTAAAAAGTTGTTCCAGATCCACGTTTTCCTTTAAAAGTGGAGATGAAAATGTGTTAACTTCATCTGTTTCACAAGTAAAATGCTGATGGAGTACCTTCCATAAGGCAGGGGTACCCACGGTGTTGCAAGCACTGATTGAAGAACTGTAGCATTTCTCAAAGAGTTTCTTTTGGATTATTTGCCAAAATTTAAAGTCCATACTAAGACAGCCTGTGTCTGAACCATATCAGATTTGATCAGTGATGTCAATCAACAATGAGCAATTTGAGTTTCCTACCTCAACCATAAGTGCAACACTGGAAATAAACTGTTTTCTGTTGTATAATGGGTAATTGAACATGGTCTCCTTCCTTTTTCCCCCAGATAATTTCAGACCTTGAGTCTTGGAATGATGAGCTCTCTCAGCAGATGAATGACTTTGACACTGAAGATCTTACAATAGCAGAACAGAGGCTCCAGCATCATGCAGACAAAGCCCTGACCATGAATAACTTGACCTTTGATGTCATCCACCAAGGGCAGGATCTGCTGCAGTATGTCAATGAAGTGCAGGCATCTGGTAAGATGGCTCCTTCATGCTATTCTGGGCAGTGGCTTTCTAAGAATCGTCTAGTTGTCTCTCCATGGGATGTGTGAAAATAACAAGGATGCTGGTTAACTGTAAACTGGAGACACATGGACTCCTTTATACACAAATGTCTCTGTGATGTTCACACAGAAAGAAAATACTGGTACTACAGCACATAATGCCATCAGAGTTGGCAACACCTGAAGGTGTTTAATTTTTAAAGAAAGGGATTTCACTCAGGAAGACAGTAAAATTAGAGTAGGTAAGGGAACATTAGTTTTATAGGTAGTCAGATCAATGCAGTCAAGCAAAGGTTTTCAGCTTTCAAGTAATGTCTTTCTTTTTTGTTCTTTATGCTCCTTCATTTTATATTTGTCACTGTATATGGTTGCATAGGGTAAGTATTAGATGTTTAGAAAAACCCCATTTTGCACTTCTTAGGAGTGCAAACACTTATACTCGTGTAAGCAAATGCTCCAAGGATTAGGTTGGAGAAGGAACTAGGAAGTTGAGTGTAAAATAGTGGAAACGGGCTGTTTGTCTTTGGAAGCTTTGTGAGTCATTCCTAACCAGCCATCCCGACTGCAGGTGTGGAGCTGCTTTGCGACAGAGACGTGGACATGGCCACCCGTGTGCAGGACCTGCTGGAGTTCCTGCACGAGAAGCAGCAGGAGCTGGACGTGGCGGCGGAGCAGCACCGCAAGCACCTGGAGCAGTGCGTGCAGCTGCGGCACCTGCAGGCGGAGGTCAAGCAGGTATGGCCCCACAAAAGAGAGCTCTGCTCCCAAAAACACTCGCAGGAAACAACCCCCTGCTGCATAAAGTCTTTCGCTGGGAGAAGGGGAGGACTTTGATCACCTGAGAAACTTCATCCTCTGTTAACATTAAGTGCATTTTTTTAACTTGCATCACCAGTCTCTTGTAGTCCGCAACCTCACGATCACGTCCAGAGAAAGCTGCAGGGTTCTGGGGACCAGCATGGAACACCAACAAGACGGGCTCCCGTTCATGAAACCATTTATTCAGCATGGGAACAAACTCAGGTCCAGAACAAAGAGCCCCAAACAGAGGCAGAGCAGGGGTTTTTGAGGGACAGAACTCTTGAGGGTCTCCACCTTTGAGGGTGGAGTTCAGGGTCAGGCACCACTAGAAACACAACAAGGGAGAAACCCCCAGGGACTCAAACCCAATCAGAGCTCCTGGGCTGCCCTTCACAAGGGGTTTGGGGTGGGGTAACTTCACCCAGGGCTCATGTGCCCATCCCCCAACACAGGGGGTCAAAATTCACGCACATGGCTTACCGCCGTGCCTCTCCTTTAACAATGCTGGTCTGAAACTAACTCTTGGCCTCCCTGAGGCACTTCACAACACCAGTCGATACTGCTGCATGGATCTAGAGCACAAGTCCCATGGCAGCAGCTGAGAGAGCTTGGGATGTTTAGTCTGGAATAAAGGAGTTTCAGGGGGGACTATATCACACTCTGCAACTACCTGATAGGAGGGTGTATGAAAGTAGGGCTTGGATTCTTTACCCAGGTAACAAGTGATAGGACAAGAGGGAAAGTCTTGAAGTCGTGCCAGAGGAGGTTTAGATTAGATATTAGGAAAAATTTCTTTACCATTCATTAGGAATGGGTTTTTAAGCGCTGTAACAGGATTGATGGAGGCACCATCCCTGAAAATGTCTAGAAGACATGTAGATGAGACACTAAGACACATGCTTTAGTGGTGGGCTTGTCAGTGCTGGGTTAACAGTTGGACTAGATGGTTGTAGAGGTTTTTTCCAACCAAAATGTTTCTGATATTCTGTAGATGCAAGTCAAGTATTTGAAGTGTAGAGTGATTTGAACTAATGTTAAACTCATGCTTTTACCATCTGTATGGTGATGGACAGCAATGCTCAGTCATAGTCCCTTCACACTGACCTAATACTTCTGGGTCTATTGTTTGAAACATCTACAAATAGTGATAACATAATATCAATGTAGTTTATTTTCCTCCAGAAAAAAAACAAAGTTTTACTTCTTCTGGCAGTAAAGGAGCTGGTTTTGAGGTCTTTATCTGGTAAACACCTAAACCTTTGGTGAATTTGAGATGTGGGAAAATGCACTGAAGTAGGTAAAAGTTTACAAAACATGACACTAGAAAAGGTAAGAGTTTTTTGATCTTGCTCACAGTTGGCAGCCCATGGAAGTCTGCTATAGTCTGTTGTATTATTGTGAGCAGTAATGAGACTGAGTGACAACTCCCAAATGAAAGGGGTCCAGCTAGGACTAGGAGATGTGAATAGAAAGTTCCCAAAGTATTTTCAGGCAGTGCTTGGTTGCTCTACAGTAATAGATGCAAAGTTTCTGTGTGGTCTTTGAATTAAAGGAATGCAAAAACCTGATAGGTGTCTGCTGTCAGTGCAATGTAGGTATCAATCAAATACCTGACGTGCTATTTCAAGGCTTTGCATACTCTTCTGAACTGTGCTCTGTCTGCCTCATCTTGGTAAGTGCAAGTTGCAAATTCCTCCTTTCACGTGAGATAAAGTTGTTGCAGATCAGGATAGTTTCTGTACTCAGTTGCATTGAAAAAGAATGAAGGAAAAGAGTGCACATCTGCATAGGAAGGAAAAAATTAAAAGAAATAATGCCAGCTGAGGCACTCTCATCCCTTTATGGTACGTCAGTAGGTTTGGGTGGGATGGGTTAGTAAGAAAAAAAAATGTTAGCTTCCATGATGCTGAAATAGTATTCAGTAAAAGAATAGAATATAGCACTTTGGTAATATTTCAAAGAGACACTAAATAGTTATTCTACTGCGTGGTCCCACAATAAAGTGAGTGCTTTGGTCAACTAGCTTTGTTTGTATGCAAGTTAAATGTTACAAGAAAGACACAAAACCTGTGTCTGAAACAAATGTTCTGTATTTTGGCAGAAACAGGCAGATGATTAACATAATGGATTTTAGGGGAATACCACTATTGCTCTTCGTATGTGATTTGTAGATAATTTTATTAGAAATTTCTGACTTGTTTCAAACCAGTGCTAGCCCTGACTAAAACTGAAGCTAAAATTTATATTCTTAAGAAAGTACTGGAAAAGTTTATCTTATATTACAGGTGTACGTAGTACACTAACACAGCCAACTGTCTTTTCTTGGTAGACTGGGATTTGGAAGAAAAAAGCATATTCTATTTTGTATTTCTAGAACACAAGTGGGATTTTATGTTGAATTAAATGCCATAATATGTGTGAACCTTCAGACAATCATACATGAACATGTAGCTGACAGAAATGTATTACTTTTCCAGATTTTATTGTACAGATTCGCCTGCAATATTTGCCCAGCCTGAGGCCCGAAAATCAAATGTAACTCAATCTGAATGTTAATACATTGTCTCATAGGATTTCTTTTGAGCCCTTTGGAATGCTTTGTGGCTAGTAACTCTTAGTTTTGTGATTTCAGTTGCCTTTTCAGAAAACCAAATCTGATTTATTTTGATTTTTTTTAGGCTTGATTTAGGAAGCCTGATCTTCTCCTGTCTTTTCTGCACTGAGAAAAACTTCATAGGTCAGCAGGTTACAGCAGGTGCTTTACCTGAGAGTAAAATGAAGTGGAAAACCTCCTCTTCAGTCTGTTTTGTTTGTGTTTTGTTGCCTGAAGCAGTGAACATATGGTTTTCCTGTTCAGTTATTGAGATTTTTGGTTAGATTTATTGTTGATGAACTGGGTGTAAGCATATTTATTATGAAGATGGGCTACCGTCTCCATAGCAAGAATTCTAACGGTATTTCCATTTAAATTCTTTCTGCCAAAGCAACATTACTGCTCTTGTATTTTCACAGACACTCATGCACACACACACACACACACACACACACACACATGTATTTATATAAAATACATAAAAATATCTAGCTTGTATTCATGTGACGAGGTTAGACTGGAACATTGTAGGAATTTAGGCAAACACTTGCAAAGATTCTCTTCCATCTCTTCCATACTAGGTAGTGAAACTTAGTGCTTAGTGATTTTTTATCAAATAAGCACAGAGAGTAGACAAAAACATTCAGTATTGCTTCTTCCTTAACTATTGTGCCAGTTGTGCTTTGTGGCATTGAAGTTTTGTATATCAAGCCTCAGGACTAGGAGGAAGCAGAAGAGCCAGAAGACAAACAGAGGTGTTTAAAGAAAACATGCAAAGAATTTGCTTGTCAGCTTGATGTGTAATAGGTGTAGAAAGGGCAAAACCAAATAGAAAATTACAGTGTAGAAAACCCATGGAAGACAGGGGGAAGAAAATGCTGACTGAAATAAAGGGGACAGCTGTATGTGGGGAAAACAACATGGAAAGGAAACTTTTTTACAGGGCAGGGACATATGAGTAGGTGGAGGCAGAGCAATTATGAGAATTGTCTGTCTCATCCAGAACTCCAGCTGTATATTTGCCAGACAAACCTTCTTTATTAATCACCTAACATACAGCTGTTGGATTACTTATTGCTACAATTGCTCCCACATGCTCACTTTGTAGAATGAATGCTTTACTGTGTTTAAGCTCCAAACCCAATCCAGTTGGTTTCAGTATGCTCATTATACCTTTTCAGGGCAATATTTTCTGCTGTTCTGATCATGGTATATGTTCTTGGATATATAACTATACAATGAATAGTATATACAATAGTGTACAGATACTTCAGCCCTCAAGAGTACCTTGAGCTGCTTTGTGTTTCCACTGGCAGATCTTTTTAGCTTGGTGCTTGAGCTCTGTCTATTCCAAAATACTACTCGGGAAGAGTATCCTGGCACTCCATGTAGTGCCATATGGATGTGAAAGCATAGCTAAGGCAGCAAACTGAAGCAGGTTGTCTTGTGATCATGTTTAGCTACAGTCAAAAATCTGTCCAAGAAACTAATCCTAAATCAAGCATTTATCTACAGATCTACCTATCTGACTTTTTCAAGTGTCCCAAGTGATCCAAACTCTGTCTCTTTTCCACACCTTTGCTGATGCTCTCCTGATTCTTTTCTAGCCTGTTCAAGGCTTTGAGGGGAAAGAATCCACTCAGACAGGAAGGTGGTGGGAACATAAACATGCCAACAAACCCTGAAGGCAGCACCCCAGGAAGGAGAACAGGCTCCCTATTTCCTAATGCTTATATTTTTCCCTTGAGTCAGAGGAGAGGGAAGGGGAGAGTACTGCTGGCAAATTTCCTCCTGTGAATTTCACCAGCTTGTGCACTTGCACCCTGAACCTGCACCAAGCAAGAGGGCAAGTCTTTGTGTTTGAAATTGCATGTTCGGTTCTAGCTGTCACTGCTGTAAATGATGGGATGCCAAGTCAAGAGGAGCTTTCAGTTGGGGCTGCTTAAGCATTCTCTTTCATTAATTTCTATGAAGAAGGCTAGATGTATAAGAACCCTAAAAAGGTGTGTTTTGTTACACTGTACCTGGAAGAATTACTTTTTAAGGTAGAGAAGGAACTTAAAATAAGTTTCATAAGACAAAATGAAAATAAAGAAGGAATTAAAAAAAAAATAAATACCACTTGCCTCTGTGTTCTTGCAGACAATTTATTTGTCCATGTATAGTTTCTATCTACAGTCTGCTGGACCCATCTGCTTCCCTCAGAAGCTGCCCTTTTTTTTTGCTCCTGAGGCTTACCCAGGCTTTCTCCATTGAGTGTTAAAAATCCCCAGGTGCCTTGGTAATTTAGGAACACCCAGCTTCTTTCATGATCCCTTTTGTGTGCCCCCAGGCTGTGATCTGCAGGTGTCACCTTAGCAGTAGGAGAGGTTGTTCCAAAGCTAGATCCACCTTCCCCTTGCTTGCAGGGCTGCACCTGACCCAGTGCTTTCTCCCCAGAGGGCCAGAATGTGCACCCAGTTACATGTCTGGCATGCCCTCCCTTCTACTTTGTAGACTTATCCTTTTCTACAGACCTCCAGAATTTATATAGGAGAATTCAAATACATGCTATCACAGTGGAAAAAACTTGTTAGTTATTCATTGTGCAGACAGACATGGCAAAAACTGCATTAATAGTGCAATAATGTCACAATCTGGATAAGTCAGAGGGTGAGGTTGTAGTGCAGATTTGAGGGAATGGATTTTGTGTCAGGATGGCTAGACCTCAGTTGCTTCAAGTTGCTAGACATGTTAGAGTGTACTTTGGATGAAGATCCACACGTGCCTTTCAGTTTTTGAGGAATTGTGCTTAAATAGGTTATTTTCTTGGATTCTTCCCATGTTTCCAGTCTGCAAGTACAGTCATATGATCCTGATTACTTAGTGCACTAATGTTTTAATTGGTAGTGTCATGTGTGGATCACTAGATGAGAATATTTAGTGTTAAGAGCTAACTGATTTGATATTTATTAGCAGTGGTTAAAGGTCTAAAATCAATTAGTAGGAAAAAGTTAGAAAACCTGGTGAAGTTCAAATCAGCTGGGCCTAAAGAAATTTGCTCTGGAATACCTAGAAAACTGCCTGAAATAATGTCATAGACATTAGTGCTTATTGTTTTCAAACATCAGGAGACTGGATGAGATTGTGGAGGCCTGAAACTCAACATCTATTTCACAAAAGTGGAATAGGACTAGCTAAAGGAGGATTATAGGTCAGATAGTTTAACATAGTTCCCAGGAAATACATTGAAATAAATAGATCATTAAACTTAAACAGTGACAAAAGGAGAAAAGGCTAACATGGGTTAATTAATCATAGCTTTCCATTGATTAAACCCTCTTTTTTTTCTTTTTCTTTTACTTTTTTTTTTGTTTGTTTTGTTTGTTTGTTTGTTTTGTTTCCTGACAAGGTAACACCTCTTCTGGGAGGGGTGGAAAAGCAGTATCAAAGCTTTTTTAAAAGAGTGTAGCTCAGTCTGTCTGGTCTTAACTTAGTATGAGAATGTCATTTGAGACTACATTACCAGGAATGATAACTTGCTGAAAAAACATACTCAGTAACAAAAGTTATTAAGAGACTCAATGGGTTGGAAGACAGTTTTAAAAATGAAAAAAAAAATTGTCTGTATTTGGATACTACTAGTCCATGTTCTCAGTAAGTAAATCTACATATTAGAAATGATAGTATTAAATTTGAAGTTAAAAGCAGAAGAAACTGGAAAAAAGGGGTTTGAGTTCATCAGAAGATGCTGGATTACAGTTCAGAATTATCTTGATGTATGGGAGAATTGTGCTTTAAGAAGGATATGGATTTTAATAGTGAAAAAATACAGAGCATGATGTACTGGAAAGAATAATCAGCTGAATAAATACAGGGGTAATTACTGGCTGGGCAACAGTTCCATAGAAGAGTTGTACAGATGACAGTGAATAACCTGAATTATGTCCCATTTTACTTAGTATTTGAAAAATTATGACTGAGTCATGGTTATCAACTGGAGTAAGCTCATAAAAGAGCAGCGTTCTAGAAAAATAAGGTGACTGACTTCATGTGGAAGAGGTTGAAGAGACTGTGGTCAACCAGCTAAGAGGTGTCTAAGGGAGGGAGTCAGATAATGTTCCTGATGGAGAGAGGAGAGGGAAAAACAAAGCTGATGTGAAGTGGGAGAAAGTGTCCCTTTTTAATTCTTTTTTTTTGGGAGGGGTCTAAAAAGTTGCATGTTTCTTGCTGTTGATAAGGAATGTTTAAGGTGGCCTCCTGAGGTTTCTGCCCAGCCATGGATTCTTCCAGTTTCACTGGACAAAATCAAAGAAGGCGCATTCTGAAAAATGAAAATCTTTAAGCAGTTAGAAGGTTACTCAATGATCACATTTTTTTCAACATTACTGTTCAAAATTATATGCATACTTTTTGCTAAGATATATATTCTCAATTTGCATTACTGACACTGGCTTTTAGGCAACTATTGCTTGCAACTTTTCCCAGCTTTTCAGGTGACAGAAACAGTATTCAGAAGCATAACCTTTTTCAGAGTATGAACTGAAGTCACAAGCATGTAGTTGACTGCAAGTTGTGAATTGTTAGCTCAGTAAAATTGTAGTGAATGTCATTTACTGTGCTTACTCAATATAGAATTCACTGTAGTATGTAATTAACAAAATATTTAGTTATTGATTCTGGTGCTGATGTTGACCCTAAATGTTTTTGCCCTTACAGGGGTGCTTTTTTGTGGGTTGGCAGTGGAATTGTGTATTTCATGGTTTTCTCTTCTGTTACAGGTTTTGGGCTGGATCAGAAACGGAGAGTCAATGTTAAATGCTGGGCTTATCACTGCTAGCTCTTTGCAGGAGGCAGAACAGTTACAGAGGGAGCATGAGCAGTTTCAACATGCAATAGAGGTAAACGCACCATTTTAGTGACCATAGCCTTGTATTTATAGTTCTCTGTAACTAGCACTCTTTTATCCATGCTACAGTATTTTCAGTTTAGGAAAGGATGTTGAACACAGGGCAAAGAGATGACAAACACTTACCGAGAAGGTGATTTTTGTTGTTATTTATTTTGAAGATGCAGTTCCAGGTGAACATCTTCTCAAGGCCTTTTTGCATTTTTGCGAAGCGATAGTTGTTCACAGCAATTTTCTTGAAAATAGTGTTTTCATTTGTTATTCCTTTCCTAGAATATAATCTGTAATGCCAAATGTAGAAAAAATTAAGAATTGATGGGCCAGAAGGCAGAAGATTTACATATTCTGAAGTCATCTTTTAATGTTTCCATTTTTGTTTGAGAGTAGATTTCACTGGAACTTGTATATGGTGGTGTGTCAGTCCCCATGCTATGGCTTCAAACTACACTTATCAGATTGGTCATAGTGCTGCAAAAAAATAGGCAGGAATCTTAAGATTGATTGAAATGCATTTACATGCTGTAGTGGTTTAGGTTTAGGTACAGATGCACTACTGAGTAACTTAGTGATAATATTAGCAATATTATTATTGTTTGGGTAGACTATTTTCAGAAGCACTCTGCCTTGCAGTAACTCTTTAATGTTCATTTCCTGTTTGGAAGAGTTTTATGCTTCCCTACTCCCTTGATTTTTTTATTTTATTTTTTTTAATATACAGTTTGCACTATATGCACCCTCATTTTGAAGCTTTGGTAACTCTGAAGTATGAAAATCATGAGACCTCTAGATGTTTCTCAATTTAAGAATAAATTATGAGGAACCTTAAAAATCTGTGTTTCCTAGGCCATTCTTTACTTCAATATAATAATACTTACTAGTATTTAACTACATATTAATTTTTATGCTACATGGTTTTAGGCAATTTCTCTTCACAGAGAAATACAGTTAAAATTGCTTACAGTCAATACAGTTGTCTTTTTTATTGGTCTGCATGCCTGCACCTTTCTTTGCTCACTACTGATGTGCAAAAGACTGAAGTTAAAGCTGTAAAGATTGCCGAAATAATATACATTTTTGTCATCTTTTTTCTCACTGTGAAGAAAATCAAACTGAAATTCATAATTACAACAACATGAAATGCAGCATAGATACATCACACGTGGCTTAAGGCTAGACAGTTACTATTTGTTAAGTATTGCTATTTAGTGTTGATTTGATGATAAATCTCCACAGGATTTATTTCCTTTGTATTTGCATAGAGAAGTCATACAGTAACTAGTATCAGACAGTCATTTTTAGTTAACGGGTGTTTGTGCATGTATAGAAGTGTCGTTGACATAGTGGAAATGTGAGCCTCTGAGTTCTCCAAATAAATGAACTGAAGTGCTTCACTGACCTCCTGACTTTTCATCTCTTGTCAGAAAACACATCAAAGTGCCCTGCAGGTTCAGCAGAAGGCAGAGGCAATGCTGCAGGCTAATCACTACGATATGGATATGATCCGGGAGTGTGCAGAGAAGGTCGCTTCCCACTGGCAGCAGCTGATGCTGAAGATGGAGGACCGTCTCAAGCTTGTGAATGCCTCTGTTGCCTTCTATAAAACTTCTGAACAGGTACAGAAATGATGCATGATCTGTGGTCTGCCTTGGTTAATTCCACAGTGTGACATAGGACAGCATTACTTGAAAAAATGGTTGATGAGGTTTGGTTTTATTTACTCATTTGATAGCTAGTTCTGTTTTTCGTGTGGGAGTGAGAGAAAAATCAGCTTAATCTGCTTGTCCACAGAAAAGTTTGGGGGGAAGTTGGCGAGGTTGCTTCCTCTGCAGTCATCAATTAAGCCCATCCAGAACTATCAAGTCACAGAGACAAAGAAAGATTTTAGGGACAGCATCTGAGCAATTACATGTAAGCAGGCCAGTGCTTGCAAACCTACAGCCAAAGTTTGTTGCCTGAAGTCCTAGTTAAAGCGTGTCAGAAGCTAGAGGGTATATGTAAGGGGTAGATTGGTTTTCTTTTTTGAGGCCTGAATTTTGATTTTTTTGCCTTACTAAGTTGGTCTCCTTTTTCCTGAAAGGTGTGCAGTGTGCTGGAAAGCCTGGAGCAAGAATATAAGCGAGAAGAAGATTGGTGTGGGGGAGCAGACAAACTGGGTCCCAACTCTGAAACAGATCATGTTACTCCCATGATAAGCAAACACCTGGAGCAGAAGGAAGCGTTTCTAAAGGTAAGGTTGGGGATTTTTTGCGGCCTCCTTGGGAAGCATGCAAGCAAACAGCTCTTACAGTGCTGACATGGCTGTGGAGAGCAACAGTGCCCGTTCCAAGCTACAGCTATGTCCCCAACTGCAAAGACGTGGGAAGTGGCGTGTTAACTGCTTCTGACAGTGATTAAGAGAATACTGCCGAGTGCATAAAATTGTAGCCAGTTTTATAAATACATTTCCTGTTCAACTTCAGTAGATGTCAGATCTCCCAGTGTGACTGAAGAGGAATTGGAAGTCGCTGCTTTGAGCGACTGTCATGCTAAAGAATGCTTAAAGGCTGCTGCTTTGGAAGAGAAGTGAAAGTCATACAGTGCCATTGCTGCCTGTGCATCAGAGCAGCTCTCGGATGTACTGGGACTACAGAGGAGTACAGAATGAGGAATTGCTAGACAAGCATTTGGGAGTAGTTGGGTTTTGTGCAATAGTCTTCAGATAAATGAGATCTTTGTTCCAACTAATGTCCTAGTGAAGAAGGTTATTGATCATACTGAATTAAATGTGTAGCATATGCTTGCAAAGCAGTGTAACTAACTCTCTTATCAAAGGCATTTTCCAGCATCACCATGAAAGACTACTAAAAGAATAAAACTTTTTTGTTAAAAACCTTTTTATTCTCATTAACAGATTACAACACTCAAGAACACGTTAACAGAACTCAAAATATACAGCATAATAGATCCTTCTGCAGCTGGCATGAATTACTAATCTTTGATTTAAAATGGTGTGAGAAATGACTTAGTGTCTTTGTTACTGTATCAAACCATTCCACCTTTATCTAACCTTTTAAAGTAGCATTCCATAATTTGCATGTTAAAAATGAAGCAGCCAGCCTGTGTGTATATTTGATGTATGTTAAGATGAAGACAACAGCTGAGCTGAGTTCTTGTAATATAGTGGCAAGGACTGAAAGCTCTTAAGGCTTTGCCTTAACATTTTAAGAGCAGGTGTTACTATTTTAGTGCTTTTGGTTTCAGCAGAGCATTCACTTTTTCTTTAAAATACTAATGGATGTTTTGGAATATGCAGGTGGGTGCATAAGCATGTGCGCTGTTTACGCAGTAAGCAACTTCAGCACATACACTAAGCAAACTTCTCTGTGAGCTCTGAGACATGCTGAAGGTCCTAGAGCTGGTAATTGCTTTTCAGGCTCTTCAGAAAAGAGGAATAGCATTTTATTTGGGGTTGTTTATCTGTTTGTATTTTCTCTGCTGGGTAAGGTGTAACTGCTGTTTGGCAGAATATCTATTTTAATAGTTGGGTTGGCTTGGCATACTTTGTAGGAAGATTTACCATGCAATGCTTTCCAAAACTGAAGAGGGTGACAAATGTACAAAAAGGGGGTTAGGAAGATCTTTAAACTCTTTTGCATGTGTATTTGTGCATCTTCAAATAAAGTTGTACCTCTTATTCTCTAGGCCTGCACACTGGCTCGGAGGAATGCTGATGTCTTCCTGAAATACCTGCACAGGAACAGTGTCAACATGCCAGGGATGGTGACACACATCAAAGCACCTGAACAACAAGTGAAAAGTAAGGGGCTTCTTGTTCTCTTTCTTCTCACAAGAATGTGGTCATCATGTGCTGTGGTATGTGTGGTGATGGGGTAGTGAAGCCTGCCCAAGTGGAAAGAGTTCTGTCAGGCTTAACAGGAAACAAATTACTTACGCACTTTGAAGGAGCTGACAATCTTCAAAGTCTCCTCTACCCAAATGAAGTTGCTTGGAACTCTTTTATCTGCTACTTATACCTAATATTTTTTTTATTTGAGACTCAAATGTGCTGCTTTTTATTGGGATAATGAGGTAGTAAACTTTCACATGATAATGTTTGGTCTGAAGCCAAATGGGAGCTGATCAGTGTAAGCTTGTTCAGTGTCTTGGTGTCATACATTCCGCAAGTTCCCTGGGAGTGCCAGAGTGATAGGAGATTATTGCTTGTGTGATGCCCTTGAGCTCTTCGGATAGTTTGAATCAGTGTTGAGGAACTTCATGAAGTATGGGGTAACTTACATCATATTTAAACTGGATGTGTAGACAGGTGGTAGCTGAGGCGAAGCTGGAAAGAGCTACTACATGAGGCTTGGCTTTTGCTAAGATTCATAATACGTAATACAGCTTAAAGGTGTAATAAGCGCTCTAGAAAATAGAGACAGAGAGACCTGTAGGGCTTTGAGGGACAAAAGTGCAAAAATTAATAGGGTATGCATAACTGATAGGTGTGGTAGCAGAACAGAGATCAGAGAGACTCAGAAGTAAATATTGCATTTTAATAATTTAATTGTCAGTCATATTCCGCTCTGTGCATTTTGAAGCTGTGAGTGAACACTCTGGCCATGCCAGTTTCAGAACCAGAGAAGTCTTATTTCCTATTAAATGCTGTTTGCACCTAACCAAAGGGGAGTTATGCATATGATGTAGCCAGACTCAAGAGGAACATGGCAGTAAGTCCAGAGAAAAAGTTGCAGCAAGGAAAATTCTGAATGAGACAAAGTGTTACAGCAAGATGGATTAGAACAGATAGCCCAGAGAGGTAGTAGGATCTGTACCCCTAAGAATTTTTAAAACTTAGTTGAACAATCCCCTGAAAAATTTTGAAGTTAGTCCTGTTTTAAAGAGGAGATTGAGACAGATGGCCTCCAGAGGTCACTTCTGCTCTAATTTACTTGATGACTCTATTAGAAAAGGACATGTTCACTGCTTCACTTTAACTACAAGGGGAAAACAGTTCATATTAAATTTACCCAGTAAATTTACTGACAGTACTCAAGTCAAAGTCTGACGGTACTCAAGTTGAATATATTCCTGTATTGAACTTTCTATGCTGAAAAGAGAATAGGATATTTGCCATATTTCCACTCTTAAAGAAATAATTGGATTGTGGCGGCTGAAACTTTGAGTGTTTAGAGCTACGATAAAAGGTTGTTTTTCCTTTGTCCCCAACATTTATAGAACTATAAAAAACAAATTCTCAACACAAATGCCAGCACTATCAGTAACTGAAGCTGACATTTGTCACTTAGCTCTTCTTTCAGTAAGAGACAAAGAAAACAGAAGCAAGCAGGAAGTTGTAGCTACCACACTTACTGAGTATTAGACAAAATTTTTTAAAATTCAGCTTTGAAATCTGTATAGGAACTGTCATTCTCAGAAGGGTAAATGTGCTTGTATGAGGAAAGAATAGAAAGATCTCTACTAATGTCCTTAAGAATAATCATTCCATGTCAAAACCATAGTGTTACACATGTTCTGTGTACATCTAAAATTCTGGATGAGTGATACATGTTTAAAAAGCAATAAAAAACCAGCAAAAATCAAGTAGAAAAAAATAAGCTGTTGCTATAATATTTTTCCCCCCATAAACCATGTAATATATGCTTCTGAGAATTAAACATGAGTTAAGATAGAACTAGTGGGGACTCCATCCTGTTAGGTCTTAGTGGTATGGTGGTAGCTGACCTAATGATGAAAAAGTTCACTCTGTTCTTCCGGTTCAAATATGCATGTCAAGAAAAAAAAAAAGATTTCCTTTCACCTCTTTTCTAAATTGAAAAAAAAAATTGAGTGTTTATTTTAGTGAAAGAGAGATTACATATGTTCTAATAGAGCATTACAACTCAGATGTATGCTTGAGACTGCCAGATTGCAATCAGTATATAGTTTATAAATTAATGCCTTAAAAACTGGAGTATCCCTTGAGTTTCTGCAGAGCTGCTGAACATTTTTCAAAAACCTCATTCAATGGCATACTTGATCCTTATTCCTAGATGCAGATTAAGTTATATGGAAAAGTGATGTCTTAGTCTGGGCAAAGTTTAGCTAAGCACATGCTTCATGGGGAACAAGAATTACAGTGGTACTGAATTCAGAGAGGTGTCCTTATGTCCCTGCATACCAGTGTAAATAAATTCTTTTATATGCAGTTAAGGGAACTCAAATACTGTGTCATTTAGGAAGGACTTGTGGCCTAAAACTGTGAGTGGATTGAGTTGGTGACAGATCCTGTAAGCTCAGAAATGAGAGCACCTTCATCTTGGTTTTGGCTGCTTAGTCTGTGTGCATCTGTGTTACCTGTCTCTGCTGTGCAGGCTGCAACTGAGCATGGCTCAAGAACTCGTCTAATGGTGCTTTGATTTTTAGATAGGTTGATAGAAGGGACCAGGATGCATAGAGAAAGCTGAGAACTCTTTGAGCCTGGAGCAGAAGTTTGAAAGTTTAGGAAACAATCCTAACAAATGTTGGAATCAAAGTAAATGACAACAACAGGGACTGTAGTTCAGGTGGCTTGAGACACAGAGATGCTTTTCAAAACCTATCATTAACTATTGATGTTCTGTAACTTCCTGAGAGTAGTATATAAAATATTTTTTCTCCTCTTTGTCTGTCCAAGAAATTAATGGCAATAACAGTTAACAGTGCCCTGCCAAATATCTCTCACTGCCTTGCCATCTGTATCATGTCCTGACAGAACAAATGCTGTTCCAATATGCTAAATTCACCTCGATTGCTCTTTGTCAGAACTACTTTGCTTGCATCACTATCAAGATGTCTCTTTTTATATGGTGTGTCCAGTTGGGTGTGTTGCATTGTGCAATGATAATTGTGTCCCACCCACTCCACTTCTCTGCCTCCCAAAATCTGGCATATACACGGAGCAAGGGTTTTGGAGGTGACATAAGGCAGAAATAAAACTGAGGAAACAGGAGAGGCTCACAGCAGATCAGCTCATAGCTTGGCTAAATGACAGATCAGCTGAGGCGTATTTGAGGGGAGCCTGACCAGCAAAAAATAAAACCTTGGCCACAGTGACCACATTCCAACCAAAAAAGAAAATTCTGGGTGATCTCAACACCCTGTGGCAAATGGGAACACGGTGCTTCTAAACAGGAGGATGTTGGCAGTGATGCAGACAGGTTTTATAATCCTCAGGGAGGCTGTGACAAGTGGTTGTGTTTGGTCCCAGATCTGTGATGAGGTAGACAAAGATGCATTTCCCCTCAGGCTTGCTGTTATTTGAACTTCGCTGTTCAAAACTGTTTCTTGGAGTTGTTAGCTTTTGGAATGTAAAGCATGGTGGACCTGCACAGTGGGAGAGCAGAATGCAGAGACCTTAAGACACCTAGCACCTGATAGCCTCCACTCATTGTTCTGGATTATGGAAAACAGCCAGCTCTGGGTATAAGTAGAAAAGCAAGTAAGCAAGACCTCCCTCTTGGCTCTTCGCAATTCCATCAGAATCACCTGGTGGAGACACTGAGTGTCCCCATTCCCCATGCTCAGCTTACCCTCTAGGTTTGCAGTAGCTACAAAGTCAAGTAGGGCTGCTGCTCTGGAGGCAGCAGTGGGTAAAGTAAGCTTCACAGGAAACTGCTGGAATGTCTTTGATGGAAAAACCATAAGTATTAAAGAAGCAGAGTTCAGATAAGGTCTTCTGCATATTGTAAGCACAAGGTCTTTGCTAGGAGGAATTTAAAAGGTTGGACATATGGGATTTGGATGTAAGTTTTCTGATACTCAGGAATAACAAACTCTGGAGTTAATTATTTGATTACCTGGAAGTTCTGCCAAGGTTCAGTGGACATTCATATTTAACAAGTCTGCTTACTCAATTATATATTGTTTGGTTTGATTTTTTTTTTTAAATAGAGAATTACAAACTTAGTAATTGCCTATTTTTATTACTTGGGTTTCTGTACATTCGTTCATCTGTATTAAATCATTGAAATACTTTATAGGAGACTGATATATTAAAAATTATGGGTTTTAACTCCAGATAATATAATATATATAATATATTATAATATATTAATTATAATATAATTAATTTAATATGTTAAGCATGTTTACATTGTGCATACTCATTCTTTCTGAGGAAACACCATCAAGTGACATGTTTATCAGCCTAAATTTTCAGTCCTGCTAAAAGCAGTGTCAGTCCCATTGTGAAAAATATTTGAGAGGAAAAAAGGTGTCAGTAATAAGTTTTAATTGCACCTCTAGTTTCTTTAACCAGCACTTCTGTAAATAATGAAAAAGGAACACTGTGTTTCATTAATATCAGGTAAAAAGCCAAGCAAAGACTAACAGAAAAAATTCTACAATGTAAAGTACTTTATTTCCCTGATTTTTGTGTGATATTTTAAACTTGGTTGTCATAAGCTCTGTTTTCATTTCTTCAGATATCTTGAATGAACTCTTCCAGAGGGAGAACCGTGTGCTGCACTACTGGACCATGCGTAAAAGACGTCTCGATCAATGCCAACAGTATGTGGTGTTTGAAAGAAGTGCCAAACAGGTGAGGGTTTCAAAGGATGAAAATCCTCTTGGGTCTGATTGAGGGTTGACATACATTGTCTTCTCACAGTAACAAATTTGTCATTGACTTCAATATTTCAAATGGCAAAAACACTAGACGGATAAAATTTAATTCTTTGCCTTCCCTTTAATACAGAGCAACTAAATTTGGTGAGACAGTGTGTCTGTAACTGTTGTAACTTAAAGGTAATGTTTTGCTTCTGCCAGCTTCATCTGGTACCGGCAAATCTAATTTCTGCAAGCTTGTGTTTGACAAATTGTTATGCTTGTTAACTTTTACACACACGCACACCTAATTTGTCTGGGGAAATTACAGGCAGCAGCATTTTTCTCAGATGTTGGAGGAAAAATATCTAATTAAGTTGATTGGCAGTTCTAGAAATCTAACAAGTTGGATAACTCATTAAACAATAATAACTGAATTACTTCGGTTTTTCAATTCTTTGTGTATTTGGCTTCATGGTTTCCTGTGTGATAGATCCACCTCTTGATATTTTGTTGAGTTTATTAGTCTGGAAAGAGCAATTAAGTAACTACCACTACCAAAAAAAAAAATCTCCTTCACTAATCAAAACACATGCCTTAAAAATAAGTAAGGGGGGCTCAAAGCAGAAGTGGTAAGTAGATTGATCTGTGATGGTTTCTTACCTTTTTTTTTTTTTTAACTGGTTATAAGACAAAGAGAGGAAGCTATCTGTTCCTGTTCTGTGGAAATTCATTCTGTGGAATGCCCATAGTGTAAAATACAGTCAGATCCTCTTTTAAAGGCTCAAAAACCTAATTTTTTATTTCTTTCTGACAGTTAATTTAGACAAAAGTTTAAGTACTATTGGTCTGGTTTGCTCTCTTGAAAGATTTCACAAGTCTGCCTTTCATGCTTTCACAAAGAAATTAAGACAAGATATCTATTGGAGTGAATTTGAAGTCTGTTACTTCTTTAAAACACCACCACCACCACCCCTTCCCTGCTCCCTCCCTGCTCCCCCACCTCCAGCCCCACTTTTGAATGCCCTTAATTTAAACCTCTGACAAGCGCATGATCTACTTGTTTTTGTATAGAGATTACTAACTAACAGTCAAACACTGGAGATAAAGATTTGTCAGCATTTTCATTGTAAATCACATTTTTCAGCAATCACCAGTTCAGTCATCAAAAAGCAAAGCGAACCAAACCGTATATGGGACTCCACAGTGATTAGCCAAAAAAATGGAAATGTTTCTCTCTTCATTTAGATGTCATTTTGGAATTTGGAAGAACATGTTCTTTGTGTTTTCAGAACTTGATGCCCTTGTGATGGAAAAGATACCATAGTAATTTGCAAGGACAGTGCTTGATTCTCAGATCCTTTCAGGATTTGGGCTGAAAAGGGACTTTTCCTGATTTAAGGACTTACCTGTTCCCTAAACTGTTTTCTCCAGCTCTTGTAATGATACCTCAGGTGAAATGAAAGCTGATCTAAACTGTAGGAGTTAATATCAAGTCAAATTTCCTGTCAAACTGTGCCTCTAGAGAGCTGCCAGCAAGTTATGAAAAGACAACATTTCATTCTCATGGCAGGGGGGTTGGAACTACATGATCCTTAAGTTCTCTTCCAGCCCAAACCATTCTATGACTTGGGGAGAGGCAGCTTTTCATGTTTATCATTCATTCCAGCATTGTGTAATAAACCCACTATAAAAAGGCAGAGGTTAAAAAGTTAAAAGCAAGAAGTATTAAATATTGTTGGTAGTATCAGTGGTAGCCATGCTGTGCCTGTCCATATCAGTCTTCACTTGCAAAGATTGACATTAGAATGACAACACATGTCAGAGGTGGTTGGTTGAAATATTGCTTTTTTGACAGAGGTCCAAGAGTTGTTGATTTGTTTCCATCAGCAACTTTTTAAAGTATAGGCCCATGTCATCAGGCTTGCGCCTGCACTATTAAGTGACCAAGAAAATGGCATCTTGACATTCACATTTGATGTTGAATTTTGAAGGCTTTCTACTCACTCCAGGTTTTTTACCAAGAAGGAAAAGCATTTGAAGTGGAAGTAAGAGTATCAGTGTTGTTTCATCACAGTTTTGATGAGCTTAAATCCTTGATAGAATTATAATAGAGACAGTGCCATTTCTGATTCAGTGTAAGGTTATGCTTATCTTGTCCACCAAGATAATTTTTTTCCTGTTCTTACTACTGTGGATAGATAACACTTATAGTTCCATGTTTATTGTTTTAAGGGAAGAGTGAGGACCCACCAGCAATCTGCTACTTTTTCTCTTAGGGTGTTAGATTTTGTCTAGTATTCTGTATTTACTGAAGATACAGAAAATACACATGCATTTAGTAATAAGGTGGTTCTGAGCAAGCTGTATAAAACTCTTTGAACATCTGCTATTGACTTTATCAGAAATGAGAAGTTCCTAAGCTCCTGTCCCTCTGCCTGCTGCTGTTAGAAGCCTGTATAGAGAGCTGTAGAACAGTTGACATGTAGATTTTTACTGTTATGCAGCAGTTGGACATGACTCTTTCTTTTTCCGAGAGCCAGAGATTCCTCACGACCACTAATTTATGCTTAAAAGGGCAGCAGGTAACGTGGGTAAGGCATAGATAATTTGATGGATCAGCATTTTTCATTATAGTGAGCAAATAAAGTGTCAGGATGTGGAAAAGAAATGATAGTTTGCAGTTCTTTGTTTTTGTTTTTGTTTTTTTTTTATACATACATAAATTGGTTTAACTGAGACATCTCACTGTTCCTTCTCTGCTGCAGGTTTAATTTCTAGGAGCACAGACCACACTTGTGAGGCTGGAATACATATCAACAAAAGACTGAAGTGGTGGTTAAATCTTACATGCTTGGAAAGTTTAGCCTACACGTTTGGTGGTCTTATGTACATTTTTACAAGTTGGAACCTGTATATTTCTGAGTATAGCTATCCCATGTGGCACCAAAAAAATGGGTTTTGTTTTCATTTTCTTTTTCCTCATCTGGGGAGTGTATAACCAAAACTGAACACAATTAGTTAGAATCTTTCAGTAGTAGACTGCTGTAGCCCTGAAGCAGTGGACTTCGCTGAAGTGCTCAGATTCATATATCATTTTTAATTCTCTAAGCATTACTTCATAGACTAAGTGAATTATTTCAGAGTTATGAACTATTTGATATTGTAGAGGTATGAGATGATTGTTGCAAGTGGCATAGAGTAAAATTCACCTGTGGCTAAACCATGTGTGTGAAATACTGATTATAGATGTTTTATATTGGCAAAAATATATTCTTTTTTCTTATTTTTCTTCCTTAATGCTTTATTTAGGCTCTGGAATGGATTCATGACAATGGAGAGTTTTATTTATCTACACATACTTCTACTGGTTCCAGTATCCAGCACACTCAAGAGTTGTTAAAAGAACATGAAGAATTTCAGATTACAGCAAAGGTAAAATAAATTTTAAAAATTACCACTAAATACTTAAGAGGTTTAAATACTTAAACCTCTGGAGATCAGTTAGTCCAATCGCCCTGCCAAGGCAGGGTCTCCAAGAGCAGGTTTCACAAGAATGTGTCCAGGTGGGTTTTGAATGTCATCACAGAGGGAGCCTCCATGATATCCCTGGGCAGCCTGTTCTGTGCTCTGCCACCCTCAATGCAAAGAGGTTCTTCCTCATGTTGAGATGGAGCTTCTTGTGTTGTAGTTTATGGCTGTTAGTCCTTGTCCTGTCACTGGGCATCACTGAAGAGTCTGGCACCATCCTCCTAACAGCTGCCCTTGAGATATTTTATATTTTGGTGAGATTCCCTCTCAGTCTTCTCCAGACTAGACAGGCCCAGCTCCCACAGTCTCTCCTTATTAGAGATGCTCTCCTCATTAGAGAGATGCTCCAGACCCCAAACCATCTTTGTGTTGCTCTGCTGGACCCTCTCCATTAACTCCTTGTCTTTCCTGAGCTGTGGAAACCAGAACTGAACACAATACTCCAGATGTGGCCTCATTAGGGTCAAGTAGAGGGTCAGAATCACCTCCCCCAACATTCTGGTCGTACTTTTCCTCATGTACCCCAGGATACATTGGCCCTCCTGACCACGTGGGCACTGCAGGCTCATGCTCATCCACCAAGACTCCCGGCTCCTTCTCCACAGAGCTCTTACCTAGTAGATCAGCCAACAGCCTGTGCTGGTACTTGGGGTTATTCCCCCTGGGATGCAGAACCTTGCTTTTGCCCTTGTTGAAGTTCATTAGATTCCTCTGCCCAGCTCCCCAGCCTGTCAAGGTCCCACTGAGGCAGCAGAGCAGATTCCCCCCCCCATTTTGTATCATTAACAAACTTGCTCAGGTTGCATTCTATCCCTTTGTTCAGGTTGTTGATAAACAAGTTGAATACAAGTTGTATTATGTAAGATTTGAAACAAAATACAGCAACTGAATTCCACCTGCCCATCAAAAAATCCCCCAAGGATGTGTCCATCAATATCTGTTTATTTGCAATGGGTTTCTGTCTGTATTTCTGCTGGGAACAGAATAAATCAGAAGATAACCAGCAGATACTCATTGTTACTGGAGCTCCATGACCCCTATGTGATGTTGATTTCTCATGACAAAATCATAGTGAAGTAGCTTAAAAATGTTTTCAATAACTACAGACCTTTCAGGGCCTTTGATTTCCATATCTTCGTGATTGTGGATTGCTGAATTTTCATTTAGGGTATAAAATACAACAAACTGTATTATTATTCAGCTTATTATTATTAATTAGAAGATAGTAAAAAAAAAATAAAGTTTTATTTGTTAGGTAACTTACTTTATTAAAGCATTCTGTTATTCTGCTGTAAACCTTTTCAAGTCAGGCAGTACAATGTAATTCTGCATCTCTGGAGGCCTTTAGAGAGCAGATGTCACTCCTGAGGCTTACCAGTTTTCACATGTGAAAGGCTGACAACCAGTGCATGATTGAAGTACCTGAGTTTGTAGCCTTGTCCGTCTCTCTGTTTTGTTTTGCCACCCATTCAAGCTGTCACCTGTTTCTCCCTCTGGCTCTCCAACCTTCATAGAGAAATAATAATAGAAATAATCATAGAGCCCAGGAAAGTAAGCAAGTGTTCATTTGTCTGAAGGATCAGCCCAGAACAGACTTGGAGATGGAGTTGGTTGGGACATGTGGGAGGGGAGAAAAGAAAATCCAGAAAGAACAGAGATCACTTTTGATATTCAAACTTGGATTTTATTCTGTCTGAGCTTTGCTCCAGACTGTGATTTGCTGGATCCCTTCCAGTGTGTAGAGCACCACTGTTCCTTGTTTCCTCTGTAAGCCTGCAGATGACGTTGGTGCCCCTTTTGAAAGGAAGTTGTTTTTATCACTCCCTTGGCATTTTGCTACCTGTTGGGAGGATATGTTAGCCTCCCAACAGGTAGCAAAATGGAATTTCTAATTCCATACTGAAAATAAATACTTGAGTGAGGGACCATTACGGAACAAAAAGAATTAAAAGAGGACAAAGCTGATTTTTTCAATAATGTAATAGTCAAGTTTTTATTCACTATTTTGCTTAACTCCCTGCTAGCAAGGGCCCTGACAATACATTTCACTCATGACAGAGAGAGGGGTGGACGTATAAACTCATCCATTGTGGATGATTTATGATTTACATGAAAGAAAGTGCACAGTCTTACGCAGCTTGTCATTTGGAAAAAACACAAATTTGGTGGTTACTACTTGTTCTCTTAGCTTCTCTCAAACAACTCTGTGCCTACAAAGCATAATTTAGAAAAAAGTTGAAATAATGTAGTCTTAAGCCATTAAAGAGTAAAGTATATAACAAGACTTCCATCTCAGCATTTCTTGAGACTGTGGGCCAGGTCCAATACAGTGGTAATGAACAAAGTACCTACCCTCTTTGACATCAAAATGCCTTTGTATTGATGCAGGAGGACCCATGTTGAAAGGCTTGCCTAGCAGAATTTAATCTCTGGGTTAGATATGAAGCAGATTTTTCAAAGAAAAATAAACAATCTGCTTCTAGTCATGTAATAATAAAGCCCAAATAAACCTACATTAATCTTGTGCTATTTTTATTGAGTAAAACTTATCTGTTGAAAGGAGTTCTGAGAAGAGAGGGGAGGAAGGTAGCTCCTTCAATTCCTTCTCTAACTGGACTTATTAGCAGTTAAGCAAAATGACCCCCTGCACGACAGGTAGAGCTTGTAACTGTTCGATATTTTCCTGTTTTCATAGCAAACCAAAGAGAGGGTGAAGTTGTTGATACAGCTGGCTGATGGCTTTTGTGAAAAAGGGCATGCTCATGCAACAGAGATTAAAAAATGTGTCACAGCAGTGGATAAGAGGTACAGAGACTTTTCCCTGCGCATGGAGAAATACAGGACCTCTTTAGAGAAAGCTCTGGGTATTTCATCCGATTCCAATAAATCGGTAAGAAAAATTTGAGTGTGATGACAGATAAACAAGTTTTACTTGCATTTGATTTAGCTACCTTTTTCTCCTGTCTCCTTCCTTAATCAAGTCTTCCTTTCTTTAATAAAGAGCAAAAGCTTGCAGCTGGATATAATCCCAGCCAGTGTCCCTGGGTCAGAGGTGAAATTGCGTGATGCTGCTCATGAGCTTAACGAAGAAAAACGGAAGTCTGCCCGCAGGAAAGAGTAATACATTTATTTAATTTTTAATCAATGAGAATGCATAAGTCAATCCTGATAATGAAACAACTGTCATGACTTGCCTGGCAGCTTAGAAATCATATAATTGGTAAAAAGAGAGTGATAGTACTCAGTATCTCCTATTGCCATTTATTCATATGCTTGTTCTCACAGATAATTCTAGCAAGGCAGAATTTTAAACTTTCAAAACTGTTAGACTTCTTTTAACATGTTTTTTTCCTTCATAGAAATAATGTGAAATAAATGTGTAAGGAAAGAAAGCAAGACAAGTTAAATGACTGTAGCAGTGAAAAGTGTTAGAGAAAAGATTCTATCTCCTTCTCCATTTGTTTTTGTTCTGGTTAGTAACGGAGGGCTGTTACCTCTTAGGTTTCCTTCCTCTGTTGTCTCTCTTCACATTTCAGTTCTCAGATTTTTCTTGCTGCAGTGGAAAAGCAAAAGCTGATGAGGAGAAAGATTTCTCAAGTTATTATGCATTCATAGTGATCTAACAGACAGAGATCTGATTTTTCTTTCTGTTGTCACCTAAGGTTCATTATGGCTGAGCTAATTCAGACAGAAAAGGCTTACGTAAGAGACCTCCGGGAATGCATGGATGTGAGTTTTGGTTTTTTCACTAATCTTTGAAGGCAGGATTCAATCCATTGCTTTCTGTTTTCTTTCTGGTTTCAACAGCTGAGCATGATTCGTTTGGAATCATAGGACCAAATTAAGTAATTTTACTGCTGTTAAGAAGAAACTTAGCGTCTCATAACAGCCACTTCAGAATTTACCCTATATGTTTTGCTTTTGTCAGTAGTGAGTTTCTTTCCCAATTCATAATTGTGTGTGGGGTTTTTGTTTTAGAGAGGGGAGGGAAAAAGGAGGGGTTTACATTATTTGCTTTGTTAGCAATAGGGGAGAGCTTGTGCTAATTCTCTTACTATCTGTATCACATGTCAGCTAGTAAGCTGACTTTTTGAATAGAAATTCAGTGAGATTCCATGGAAAAGTGCCCAGTAATTGTTATGCTGAAACAACTAATGTTCAGTTGTTCATAGCTGTTGCACAAAGCATGAACTTCTAGACTGCAGACATGACCTTGATAAGGAATATCCTGAAGCATTAGAGGTTGTCAAGAACACTATGCATTTTAAATGATGAAGTCTCAGGGACTATGTTAAACTGTCAGTTTTGGAACTTGTATTTCACTGTCAAAATCACAAGGTATATTTGACACAACAGGCACTGTCACAATTGGATATGATGCTGCTGTGTGATCTTTGCCTAGTTTCTCTGCAGGAATGCATACTTACAGATACCTGGCTGCGACTGTTGGGAGTTTATCATCATTTTTAACTCATCTTTTTTTTCTGGGCAGACATATCTATGGGAAATGACAAGTGGAGTTGAGGAGATCCCACCTGGTATTGTAAACAAAGAACACATTATCTTTGGAAACATGCAGGAAATTTATGAGTTCCACAATAAGTGAGTGACTTATCTTCCATTTCCATACTACTGCTAAATCCAAATGATGACCTGAGGGATTTCCTAATGAAAATACTGTGTATATCAATAATAAGTACTTTCCCATTAAAAAAATCTAGATATTTTTCTCTTGTATTGCTAAATTATTTCAGCTGTTGCTTTTTGCAGAGAGGTAGGTACACCATTAGAAATTGTATTTTTCAGTCTTGAGCCTTTCAGCATTTATGAAATTTTTTGGATACGCCAAGATTTTGTTGTAGGTTTATCAGTTGTTCTAAAGAGGTGAAAACCACTGAACTCAATAAAATACAAACATAGCACAAACATTAGTGCTCTGTCATTCTCTCAGAACACTCATTCCTGATATCCAAGTACAGCTCTTAGTGGAAAAGAGTAAGGCTCCCAGCCCTCCTTAGCTTCTGTAGAGATGCTCCAGCATCATTAAATTTACTTGAGTACAGAGCATAAAAGTGATGTGTCCACTCCATTTCTTCTGAATGAAGTGGTTCCTAGGGGGATCTGTGTACAGAAGTCTTGCTCTGAATCTTCCTTCTTTGTTATTTCCTGGTTGTGTACACATTTGTATTGGGTTATGGTTCTTTGAAGTAATAAAATATGCCTAGCGTATTCCAGATCCCAGTTTTATTTGTATGCTTTGTGTTAACTTGAGAACTTGAGTATCCAAAAAGCAAGATTTAGGTTTTTTTTAAACTGAGATGAGGTCTTTTATTGAAACTAAAACCAGTGGGAAACCTTAATAGAGAACAACAGCAGTTACTAAATTTTTGTGTATTCTTATGTGTTAACTGCATGTCCACTGGTTCAATTTCTGATCTTCTCATCAGATTTTTTATTTAATTATATTTTATATTAGTACTTTTATTACATATTTTTTTCTATTCCAGTTACCTTTATTTCCTTCACTCATACATTAAGTGTTACAGAAAGTTTTCTAATGGCCTTAGTTCACAGACAATAGATCCAAACAAGTTGCTGTAATGAACATGTTTTATATGCCTTGTGCTATTTGTTTCTTTTCTACCCACAGTATATTTCTCAAGGAGCTGGAAAAATATGAACAGTTACCAGAAGATGTTGGACATTGCTTTGTTACTTGGGTAATGAAGTCAGACTTATGTTTAGAAGTAGAAAGGGGCGTAGGAGGCATGATGGGATGAATTCTTGCTCTCAGATCCCTTTTTGATTTGTAAAAGTACCTCTTTCTTCAAATTTAAGTAAAATGCATATCTTTACCTGAGAAAACAAAAATTAGGCACTCCTGTCAGATGCCAGTCCATAGCTGCTCTTGAAGTGTGTTCAACTTGGCTAAACCTGTGTGCAGATTTGGTTTGTCTGAGCTTTAAATAAACTATTTTTATATACATTGCTGTTGTTTTCAGTCTTACTTGCCTGATATATATTTTTACACTGCCACTTTGAGTGGAAGTATAATTATGTACAGCTCTGTTTCTTGATAGGGAAGATAAGCTGTCTGATAATGGTGTAAAAACTTTGAGACAGGAATGATGCTCTCTGATAACCTTTGTAAATTTGCATTTTGTTCTGCAGGCAGACAAATTCCAGATGTACGTTACCTACTGCAAAAATAAGCCAGATTCTACTCAGCTGATATTAGAACATGCGGGAGCATACTTTGATGTAAGTACATTGTGTCCATCTTCAAAGTACACCTTGGCTGTTTGACTCATATATTTGTGGTTCTGCTGAATGCCTTATTTGTTAAGAAAATGTAAGTTTCCTTTTAATAACACTGCAGTTTATTAAGCTGTCAGCTTAAGGAAATGAATCCTGTACTCACGTGGTTACCTTCCATTGCTCAGTTGGTTGTTACAGAGCTGTCAAATCGGATGTGAAAAGTCGCTGTCACAGAGCGGTTCAGAACTGGAAGCAGGTTCTGGCAACAGCAACCAAGACATGAATCTTCACCTCACACAAGCACATCCTGCAAATCTTAGCATTCTGATGTGTTTAGTTTGCATTGTATGTAATAGAATTAGAAATCTTAGTTCAATTTTTGGAGCACTTTTAAACATGTAGTAGTAATTCAGGTCACTGCTGTTATTCAGAAGGGCTGAAACCTCCTTATTCAGTCCCATGGTTCCATTGTCTACACATGTAGACATAAAAAAGCAACAAATACGTAGATGTGTTAGAGGTTTTAGGGAGGAATTTTGGCCACAGTGAATGAGTTTTGGTTGGACATGTATTAACAGATGATTCAACTAGAGTGCTCTCTTTTTCCATTTTTTTTTTCCCAGCTGAGCCACTAGCTGTGTAATGACACCACAATTTTTTTTAGAATTGTTTGTACAAGTAGATAGAAGTAGAGGAAATCTCTGAAGCCCTTGGGGTTAACCTCAAAAGTATAATCACTGAGGAAATGGGGTTTCTAAACATTGTAAGGCAAAGCCTTTCTGTGAAGCCTCCCTTAAGTTCTCAGTGTTTGAAGAAGGACAGGTAAGTTACAGAAAACCAGACAGATATAACCAAAAAAAATGCCAAGAAAATTTAGTAAATATCATTTTAAAAAATAACACAGGGCTCTGATAAAACTATCAGAAATAAATTCTTGCCACCACCGCTTTTTATCCATCTGTTTTACCTCTGTATCCAGAGCTCTTCAGTCCCTAATCCACCTAAAGTATATTAGAGGTGTGAGGACTTAATTCTGTGCACAGAGAACTCGAGCATTTCCAGTGATGACACCACTGGTCCATATGAAAATATCATCTGTATCCCATTTTGGGAATTTCTGATACTGTAACCATGGTTAGATGGCACATAGCTGTGGGGCATAACTTGCTGTTTGAAATTGCTTGGTTAAATAGATTCAGTGCTATGATAAATGGCAGACCCTATCAGTGGAGTTCAGCCCCCATCAGTACCTGGAAATCTGTAATCATCCCATTTAGCTGTCACATAATTCTGTTTTACACCTTTAGCTTCGTGGAGGTCATTTTTTTTTTTTCTATTTGTAAGTGGCTGTTTTCTTTTCAAGTGCTTGGTAACCTCTTTCCTTCAGTCAGAAACTGTTGTTTGGTGCTCCCTCTGGTGGGGCATGAGGCCATCTGTGGCTGTTGGCACTGAAATAGCGGAGGATGCTGAGAAACCTCCACCTCAACCTTCCAGGTACTCCTGCCTCTTCCCAGGAACACTGGAATGTGAGGGTTTTTTCTCTCTTGCAACTAGCAAAAGATGTGCAGATCTTAATGTTAAAAAAAGTGGTGCCACACATTCTATATCCGTAATTGTTGCCCTTTGTATTTAGGTTTGTTGAAACGTTTCACAGGTACTCTCTGAGGTAATCATCTAATATTTGTACCAAGTAAGAAGGCAGATGCACAGCATAATGATTCATTGTGCTTGGAATATCTGGGTGTCCTGTTTTCTGTTTGTTTTTTTTTCCTGCTAAAATAGAATTTGTAGTTAATGTATATTATTTCATATCCCTCAAAACAGTTTATATCTGAGTGTTGGTGCTCACAGTCATCAAATGTTTGCTTTTTCCATGCAGGAGATACAACAACGACATGGACTGGCCAACTCTATCTCCTCTTACCTTATCAAACCTGTCCAAAGGATAACAAAATACCAGCTTCTTTTAAAGGTCAGTATTATTTCAGGGTTCTTCATCTGATTCTGCTGCTCATAAGAATGCAAAGCTCTTGCTGAAATCGGGAGGCTTGTTCTACTCTGCTCTCTGAGATTCCATCATCCTGGGCAGCCACAAATACTGCTTCAAAATTTAGACTGAAAATGAAAGAAAGCATAAACAAGCAACTTCTTGTCCAGATTTCTGTAAACCAAAAAAAGATACCTGTCTACTGATGTTTACTTAGAAAATATAATTTGCATTTCCAGGGAAAAAAAAATGTCATTCATGGCTACACGGCAATAAAACCATTTTTGTAATAGTTTCTACATCAAATTTTGGCAAGCCATTAGCTATGCTTATGGTACTAAATACTGTAAAATAGATAATAATATATTTATTCATATATAAAACTGTAATATAAAATAGCTATAAGACATGTAAATATGTGTGTGTATCAGTAGATTTACGCATAGTGACTGTACCTGTAGAGCTGTTGCCCAAAGAGTTGTTATTTGTAATGTTGCCTGGAAACAAGTGAAGTAATAATGTCAAGTAAATAATAGCTGTTCAAATAAGCACAACTTTTGGAACCCTGTAGTTAGAGCTTTCACCCAGTGGACATATGTCTTCTTAAGTGAGCAGCAGTGTTCTTGGACTGTGCTGATCTGTCTCCCCTTTTGGCTTGAGAATAGCCACGTGTGATTGCTTTTGAAATTTCTTAAAAACATTAGAGGCTATTTCAGGTCATGTTGGGTGGAAACAAATATGTCATTTTTGCCTGAAGTTTATTGTCTGTTTTCCACTTGCAAGGAGTTGGAACTTAGTCAAGTTATAATTACAGACATACCCTGGGCTGTGCTGTTTCAGAAATTTTGAGGTATTAATTCCAACAATTATTATTTTTAATATTAGTATGCTTTAGCCTGCTACTTTATGGAAGTGGTGGGATAGGTTGGTTTCATCAGTGTTTGCAGAGCCAAATATAGCTGTGTAGAAAAATGGATTTGTCTGGTGGTTGCTGGATTTCTGGGTTGTCTGTCCTTCTTTTTAATTTTTTTTTTTCTGTAATAGGAGGGAGATGTATAGCATGGTAGGATTAAGAGCCTAAAACTTGAATGATAGATGAAACATTTTACCATTCTGGAAGTTTTGCTTGTTTTTCCAAATAGTATTGAAGATGCTCCTCTTCTGTGCTTCTGAGAGATACTTAGTTACTCTCACTGTTCTGTGGAGTTGTCATGCAAAATTTAGGTGTGATCATGTAGTGTTTTGTTGTGATGGTGGTATTGGCAGTTGAATAAAAATAAGGTAATGATCGTAATAGTAGAAGTCACATGGCTTTCCCTGTAAAAAGGGGAAAAGAAATTTAACCTGAGGTAATGAATTAAGTGGGCCTTTCAAGTAACAGAAGGAACATAATATGCCCTTTTAGTGACATAACCTACATTTTATCTTGATACTGTTCAAATGCTTAAAAGCTGTGAGGAAGTTTGAATATCAGCTCAGGCACTGTAATGTTAAATCTGTGGGATGATGAATGGGCAGAAAACTGTATGCCCAAAATTCTACCACAACACTTCAGTGTGTTCAATTCTCTAACTTCTGTCCGTTAGCTAATGCTTGTTTGTACTGAAAAGTTTTGTCTGTAGGTTACTTTTAACTGTGTGAACACACAATAGTTATTCATAGAGTACTTAGAACAAAACAATGTAAATGCTCTTTATCAGCAGTTTATAGAGCAGGTGTTTGGTGCAGTGGAGCAATGACTGATGTGGGAGGCAGAAGGGGTACTTTTGTGCTGCCCTGCATTCCCCCATCTTCGTGACTTGGCAGCTGCATTTTTCTGGGCCTCGATGTAGCGCAGCATCTGATAACTGTGTCTGTGCCTATAAAAAACAAGTTCTGTTCTTAACATAACTTTTAAAGATTTCTTATTAAGCAGATAAACCTGTTTAAATTAGAAGTGGTTAACTGATAGTTTGGGCTGCTTCTTGAAGAACTGAGTGTGATAGAAACAAAGTATTGTCATGTCATTGGCAGAGTAGGAAGTTCAGAAAGATTTTATGTGTCAAAAATGATTTTTGGTTTGTTAGAACTACTCTTCAATTGTCTGTCATATTAGTGTAAAAATAAGTGGTAGAGAGTTGTTTTGTCTTCTTGTCTTTTGCAGGAGCTGCTTACGTGCTGTGAAGAAGGTAAAGGAGAGATTAAGGATGGCCTGGAGGTGATGCTTAGTGTGCCAAAGCGAGCCAATGATGCCATGCACCTCAGTATGCTGGAAGGTAGGATTCAAACTTCCCAGTTCTTTGTGTGCTGCAGATGAACTTCGTTTTGTGAACATCTTCTTTTCTCTGGGTTTGTATTTTTTGTGTCATTCTGGCAGGGCTATATAAGATGCAAATTTATTTAGGAAAATTAATTATTTCAAACAGGTGGTACAGTTTTATTAATTTTTTAAGTGTTTTTAAGCACCTTGATCTATAGTTGTGCCACTGTAGATTAGAAAAACATGTAGGCTAATGAAGTATTCCACTACTCACCCAAAATGCAATAGGTGACTGATCAGATATGCTGGTTTTGGCTGCATTCTCCAACCAGTATCCTTAGCTTCTTTGTATGAGGCATGTAAGTTTATTATTGGTGATCTTGCTGATTTATGTATCAAATAATTGTCTCCAAAAATTTTGTCTTTTTCACATCTGTTTGCTGCCTGTTCCATAACAGACTTCTGGTTGACATGAAATCTGTCTTCTGGCAGTAAAATGTCAGCATAAGCCAATTTAGCCCAAGCCCAAGCCAGCATAATCATGTTCATGGCAGACAGTGGAGGTTGGATGTAATGCATCTATGTGCTTAGAACAACTTGCTGCCAAAATCTGTTTTGCACTTGGCACATAAACATGTTATAATGGTGCAATCACACATTTAGTAATAAAAGTGTTTTTCTTGGGGGTTTAAATTTTTTCAGAAAAAGCAGGGCCCTCTTACCCTACAGTTGCTGAATAAATACTTTTAAGTGCTTGTAGTCAATATGCCTTTTCTTCCCCTCTGCCTTCTGGCAGTAGCATGCAGCTTGTTGTGGAATTTCCAGTATTGTGCTAGTTACTGTAAAACTTGGTTTGACATGTGATCCTTGATCATACGAATTTTCCGAATCACCTCTGTTCCTTGATTTTAAGCAGTAAGGATGTTGGTCAGTTTACAGGATCAGTTCCAAATGCTTGTACAGGAGGTGTATAAAGTATAAAGGCTGACCAGCATCGGTAATAATCTTGTAACACTGGGGATGTGACTCTGGAGACTATCCTAATCTTTTACATAAGTTGGTTTTACAACAAAACATGCATGCATTGTTGAGTCATCCCATGTTGGACAAATATAGTGAGTGAGCACATTTCCTCTTTATGTCTCTGGAGAATTTTGAATGAACATCCTGGCAGAACTTTCCTCTGATCCTCTCCATACTGTTACCCTGTTCAGAACATGAGAACTGTCAAGCAGTATCTAAAATACATTTTGATACCACTCAGAAGGGTATGGTAGACAGTTTTTGTTATCCTCCAGCTCTAAAACTGTGTATTAAACTGAGAGAATATGGTACCGTTAAAATGGAAGTAAATTGTTGGTATTCTCAATCTTAATCTTTTTTTTCCATTATGTCTCAATACAAGTGATCCAGCTGGTAATTACTGTGGATCAGTTCTGATATGACAAATGGCAGGCTGATTGTATGCTAACATCCCCAAGCTGCCATGTTTTTCCATCCCCAGCTGGAACACATTTCTGTGCTCATTGCCCACATGGTAAAGAAGGTGTACCTCCAGAAAAGGTAGCATTTGGGAACTTGCCACTCCCAGAAGAACCTGATGTGCTCTGTGTCTTTGTGAGTTGCTTACTTTCTACAGTGGCACAAAGCTCATAAGAGAAATCATTTTCATCACAGAAGAGGTTACCAGAAGCTGACAAGGACAGATTTGTCATTTGTGGGTAAAATACTGCCAGAAGAGTTGATTAAGTTCTTAACAGTTGGATGTCTAAATTTAGAAGTACATTTGAGCTGCAGTTACATTTAGTATATTGCAGTGTTAAAATCAAGTCTTGTTTTTAGTACTGTTTTCTTGGAATCTCATCTTTTGGAAGTTGTGTCAGGGAGAAAAAAAATCGTATAGTTTAATGAGCAGAAGCTGTGCTTTCTATGTTACTTGTATTACCAGCTTTTCATGGTGGATCTTTCACTGTTTTTAGGCTTTGATGAAAATATAGAATCTCAGGGAGAGCTCATCCTTCAAGAATCCTTCCAAGTGTGGGACCCAAAAACTCTGATTCGAAAGGGAAGAGAGAGGCACCTTTTCCTTTTTGAGATGTCCTTGGTTTTCAGTAAAGAAGTAAAGGACTCGAGCGGAAGGAGCAAGTACATTTACAAGAGCAAGCTGTTTGTAAGTATGGGAGAACAACTGATCATATTTACAAAACTATCTCGATTAGGCTTCAGCTAAGCTCAGGTGATTGAAGTGTGCCTGAAAAACTGGAACAACTTTTACAGACCACTGAAAGAACAGCCTTGGAATGTATAGACTGAATCTGGCAACTTTAGTGCTTTGTCTTGCTTTTGAGGCAAAAGGATAGGCTCAAAGCAACTACTGAAGGGTACATGTCAGTCTTGGTGTGTCAGGTCAAATGAAAATCAATATTGGGCTGAACTGGTTTTGTCTTAATTGTGTGTTGATTGCAGATTCTTTAACGCTTATTTGTATAAAGCAGAAGGATGGAAGGAGTTTATGAGCTGCCTTCATCTTTCTTGTTTACTACTGTTAAGGATTCATTTTCGTAGATATTCTACACCTACTTATTGGGGAAGGCAAGAATTTTGTTTTGGAAAAGTTAATTCCAGAATGTTTGCTGAGACCAGTAGTCTTACAGTAAAGTTCTTCAAACAGAATTATAGTACTTATGGTCTACTGAAAGGATATAAAGGTGGAAATGTTTTTCTTCCTATATTTCTTTCCCAAGGGAAAAAAAAAAAGGGGGGGGGGATCCCCAAAACCTCCACTCTTGCTTTACTTATCTCTAGCATGTATGCTTTACAAAATTCACATTCTTACCTTCCAATCTTGTTGGATGACTTGGATGAGAGCAGTATTCACACTATATAAATTTAGGTAGCCAAGTGGCAAGACAGTCTCCTATGACTTGCTTTGCATCTATTGAAGGCAAGATTAGCTTTTATACCAAATAGTTCAGAGCAAGTACTTGAAATTACTTCCCTTATCAGAATCACATTCTAGAAAACGTTAATCTTGTATTGATCCTATTGGGATATATAACTAAGTCTAGATGTTATAAATACTGAGTCTTTGTGCTTCTGTTTATTTTCCTTCATTCATTCCCTTTTCCCACTTCTGTGTCCAAACTGGTAAAATGGGTTGGTGGAAAAAAACCTCTCTTTTTTTCCATCTCTTTCTTTGCATATTCTGTCACTTCATTTCCAACACTTGCTTTCCTCCCTGATACTGAATAGCTAGCAGGTAACACAGCTGCAGCTGTTTGCTGATCACACCTTCCTTTGGTGCTCTTAAGAACCCAAAATAAAAAAAGATGCTGGTGTATTGGAGAATATTAATAGCTGTCAAGGGATTATGTGGGAGAGGCGACAGAACTTAAAAATCAGTCCTGTAAAATTGTCATGTCAGTTCCTCTGGCAGGAATTTAGTAATAGCCTTAGGTCTTGGAGAAGCTGATGGAAGTCTTGAAGACTCTCATTGTACCTCAGTTTTAAAATACAAGGATTCTTTTCGTTGTCATATTCTGTCTGGCAAAATATCCTGTAGTGCAGCTTCCTATTATAGCAGCTCTTATAGTTTGATCTTTAAAAAAGGCATGTGTTGAAAGCATGCATGTTGATGTAATGTAAAGATCTTTTTTGTATGCTATCCTGTGACTTCTGGAAGGTGGCTTTACAAAAATGAGGTCCTTCACTTTTCTTCAGGCATGATGACCATCAGGGTTTCCCCAGCATAGGATACTCAATGGCATGAAATAGATATGGATATAGATAGATATAGACATATAAGTGTTAGCATAGTTAAGGAATTCCTTTTGCAAGAGATTAAGTGTCCCAGAGAAAATGCCTAAGGAGAACTGTGGGATAAAAGGCAAGCAGGTGTTATTTTGACAGAACACTCTCCTAGTCACCAGTAACTGGCTGTTTGGGAGCTTCCTTACCTCAGTGCAGCTTCCATGCAGCCAGTACTCCACAATGATTTCTGTTCTGGGAGCTCGCCCTGGAGAGCCACAGGCAGGCTTTTAGCCTTGCCAGTGTCCTTTGCAGAGAGCCTTGTTGCTCAACTGCCTATTGGGCAAAGACCAAGTGTGGAAGGGTAGATGTTGGGATGGGATTATCTTAGAAGAAAATAAACCAAAAAAGCTTTCACTCACCAAAACAGCAAAAAACCAAAAACCAACAAGTTGGCATCCAAGTGAGACAAGAAAAAAAGTACCTTGACTCTGGTATTGGGTATCCAGCATCTGTGTGTTGACATGTGTATGTACTAATGATGATGTGTATGAGGGGAAAAATACAGCTTTTAATCATTTGAGAATACTTAGCAGCTGTTGGGGAGTAAAGTTCTTTTTAGTTTGAGCTGTATTTGTTAGTTTGTAAATTTTTTTGGAACAGATCCTGTATGAATTGTTTAAAGTGGAAGCCAGTTCACGTGAGTGAGATTGTTCCAGTCAGAAAGTGAAAACATTTTGGATCATCATTAGCTATTAAGGTCTGACATTAGAACATTCCCAAAGACTCATTGTTCATGTAGTCATCTCACAAAGTTCTCCAGGGAAACTGTGTTTCTGAATTATTTCATCTGTTTCAGGGGGAAGGAAACACACTAGGAAAGGGTCATTTAACAGAAAAGAAACCAGAGTTTTAGAAGATATCAAGAGAATTCTTAAGCATATCTTATCTGAGAGAAAGCATAAAAAATCAGTAAACAGTGAGTGTTCTCCAATGGAAATGAACAAGGAGAGAAGCCAAAACTTACTTTTTGCCAAGCATCTTCTTTGGAGTGATAAGGCTTTTACTGTCAAGTCCAAAAACCAAAATAAGCAATTTGGTATTCAGATTGTAAGTGTTGTTGTTTATTGTCACTTTATAGAAAAGACTGTTAAGCTTGCAGTTCTTCCTGTTTTGAAGAGACCTCACCACTGTCACCAGAGTAAAGGATTCTCTCTAGCATATGAGTTAGCCTTAAGCTTCTGAAAATCTCTTTAAATAGTGGTGCTCAATTTTGTAGATTATTAGCATGCCTTTGTGGCGTCTGAGAAAATATGCTGTGTGGTCCTAACGATTTTTTCTTAATTTCAGACTTCTGAACTGGGTGTCACAGAACATGTAGAAGGAGACCCCTGCAAGTTTGCTCTATGGGTTGGAAGGACACCAACTTCAGATAACAAAATTGTTCTCAAGGTAATTTTAGCAGATGTGCTTTTTGTCTATAGCAAGTCTTGTAGCTACTGATATTTGTTGGGAAAGCAAGGAGTGATTTCCTGCTTTGAGAGGGACAGCTGCTGACAGGTAATTTTCTTTGTGTTTGGAGAGGTGGTGGTGAATATATATCTAACTCATGTGGCCTGACAGCAGACGGGAATCTTTGCAGCCTACCGAAGGATTAGACAAACCTGCTTTCACAAATCATAGTAGGGAGAAGTTTGATCTCATGGACTTCCATAAGCTTGAAGACTTCAGGAGTTAGCTGACAGGGAGCTGGTGCCACAAAGAAATGTTGGCATCAGTGTTACCTTTTACGCTGCTTGATGGTGATGCTGTTTTCAATGACCCATATTTTTATGCAGAAAACAAACACTTCAAAAGATTTTCATCTTTTTCTGTGGGCTACTAGTTTTTCTGAAGCTACTTGCCTTTGGGTTAAAGTGCATGTAATGCCTATAAATTTTGTATCTGCGCTGGTTACAGGTGTCTGTAGTGCTCTTTGCTAGAAGAATGTCTAAATCAATGTTTTCTCTGATTATGGTATGTAACCTGGGACTCCTCAACTGAAGAAGCTGTTTTGTAATACCATAAGCAGCTAATGGGTAATTTGGCATATTTTGAGGAGCTCTGTTGAGCTGAAACAAAGTTCATCTTCCCATTTATAGGTTAATACACCTACTATTAAACTTATTTGTGATTTCACATATATTCGTAGTGAATACTCAATAATGTTACTTAAAAATAGCCTCTCCAATTTACACGTCAATACTCAAATTAGTATCTTTTCCTTGTGAATTACAGGCTAACAAAAGCTTACGTTAGCTTCCTAGCAGCAGTCAAAGAATGCAAGAAAATTAAATGTAACGTTAACACATACCACATTTTCTTTTGGCATTAGTGTTCCCATAATTTCACAGACAGTGCTTTGCAGCCTGAAATGATCTTCCCAGGTCAGAGCAGAATAAGAGGTTTTAATAAAGGACTCTCTACATAAGATCACTTTAAGGTGTTTCTGTTCTGTGTTTTACTTAGTGCATAGGATATTTAGAAAACTTCTGTGGTACATTGAGCTCTTCAACAGTTTTATGGACTTTGTTTGATTTTGAAAGCTAGAAACAAGCACTTCCTTACCTCATTAATATTAGAGGTAAATTCCATGCAAAACTAAATAAAAGATTTTTTAAAAGGTCATGTTTAGCTTCTTTTCCTAAATGTTTTTGTTTGTAAAAGAAAACAAAATTCTTTTTCCTACCTGTCCATCTGTTCCTACAATTTTCTTCATCCCTTTAGAATTATTCGTTATTATATATTTATAATATATTATATTTATATTGTATTTGGAGCCAGTTATTTCAGGAGACAGCAATTAAGAGAAATAGTATATAATTAAGGAAATTATCCATAATAATTTCTTTAGGTCTGCAATAATATTTATATTTAGTAGCATTTCAGGTGCAGCGTTAAATTGGACTAAGCAATCAGATTACAAATTGGACAGGTGGACATCAAGTAATTTCTGGAGCATTTAAAAAATAGATATGTTGCAGGCAATAATTAAAATACAATCCCTAAATTAGCTTTTTTCCTCGAGATACGTATCAAAAAGTGGAAAGAGTAATACATGAAATGTGTTGACAAAGTGTATGTGTAACAGGAAAAGTTAACTTTTTTGCCAGTATTAGTAGATTATTATTAATTCAAGTTATAATTGACCTAAAATGTAGGGTGAGTTTAAAATACCAGTATTCAAGGTGTTATTACTGGAATTCTCCACCTTGCCTCACATGAGATGCATACAGGGCTTTAGTCATCAAGTTACATAAGTAAACTCTGAATTAAGGTTAAAATATTTTTTTAATTACTAATATTAATAATGTTGAGAGGTGTAAAGTAGTGTTGGCGATTCAAAATTAAGACAGCCAGCTAGAATTTTCTTTTTTCTGTTCAGGTTTTCAGAAATTTTTCACAAAGTCATTCTTTATGCATTCCTCTTTGTGTTTATTAGCTGACTGTATGTGTGGATCTACTCAGCCATAATGGTCCATTGTGGGGGTTTTGTTTCTTTTGCATATCAAAGGCATCCAGTATAGAGAATAAACAGGACTGGATCAAACACATCCGGGAAGTGATACAAGAAAGAACTATTCATCTGAAAGGAGCACTGAAAGAACCCATCCACATTCCCAAAACTGCACCAACAACAAAACAGAAAGGAAGAAGGTAAGTATTATTTCAAATAATCAGAGGTCTCTAAGTACACAACAGTGCTCTTTCCTCTGTAGTGTTGAATTTTGATGACTTTCAGTGAATTGGACAAAAGCAAGAGTCATTTTGTCCAGCTTTATCTTATCATTAATTTACAGTTTCCTGAAGTGCTGAATTTGTTGAGATTTCCGCTCTGAACAGTCCCTGACACAAGTCTCTGACTTGTGTAAATGAGCCATTACAGAAGGGATTTGGAACTGCAGTACAGGATAGCTGTACATTTTAGATTTTTGCAATTCTGCATGTGTTACTCAGGTCCTTGGTTTTGCTTTTATGAAGCTTGAAATGTGTGTCCAAGTGTGCTCCTTGCTAGCTTTGTTTAAGTGACTGTGCAAGGTTGTTGCCATATTTCTGGCTCACTGGTTGTTGCCTTAATTCTACGTGATGTATATCTTGCTGATGAACTTCTCTCTCCTCAGCAGAGAGCAGAGTACTGAGTATTTTATTCTTGCATCAGTTAATTTGGTGTCTTGCCACACTAGGAGTGTCTCACTTCTTTAACTAACATGTTAGAAACACAGTACTACTCTTGTAATGAAAACTGAATTCTTTGCAGAGATGGTGAGGACCTGGACAGTCAGGGAGATGGCAGCAGCCAGCCTGATACTATTTCAATTGCCTCACGAACCTCCCAGAACACGCTAGACAGTGATAAGGTAAGTTTCCTGGGCATTGCTCTGTGCTGAGAGCAAATGACTTGGCCCTTAGTGTAAATTAGCACCAAGCTTACTCCTTAGTATCTTCAGAAAAGAGGTGTGGAAATACTCAGTCTCTTAAAAATAGCTGTCTGCAATAGAGAAAATACCTTGATACCATGGGAGAGCAGGAGTGATTGTTTAAATCTAATAGGTCATGCAGAGATTATTTATGTGCCAATTTGAAACCATTTCAGTCCCCTCTGTTCTGCAGTTTGCTCAAAGATTTGACCCAGTTTAAAATGAAAGTTTTATTTTCCATAAAATTTGATAGTGATGCACAGAATTTTTCTTGATCTTAATCTCAGCCCTCCTTAAAGCATACCATCTGCTTTTCGTCTTGGCTTGAGACTGGTGATTTCCACAGAGTTACTGTTGTAAAGGAAAAGAACTCTCCAATGTTTATGGGTTAGAGAGTAGGTGTTCACTTCCTGCATGAAAGCTGATGGAATCATCCAGAAGTAACCCAAAAACTCTCATTTCGTACTAGTGCTGGTGTTTCCTTTCCTCCATCTCTGTCTATAGATTCTGGCTGAGTTAAACCATAAGGATACACAGCCAGGGTTTCCCCTGGGTGGAAGAAAGATAAGTGTCAAAAGAACAAAAATTTTTTGGAAATGTGTGTTACTTGGAATTGAAGCAAGATTTTTGGCAAGTGAGAAGTGTTAGGATCCTGGAGAGATGGATAGTAAAAGTTTATCAAACAGAAGAATGAATTAAAACACTGAAGATTCCTAGCAAATTACTTTAAAGTTTGGTTAGAGATTTCTGGTCTATTACCTCATTGCATAAAATTGTTCTGATGATTCATTCAAACTATGCAGATAAATAACCAGTATTCTTCGGTGTAGCTAAGTGAATAGGTTCTCAGAATAATATTTTGACTATTCCCATCATCACCTAAACTCAGTGAATTTCCTCTATTTTCACATGTCACTCAAACTCTATAGTTTGATTTTTCCATGTAGAGAAGCAGAAACAGGAGGGAAATACTAGGTGCTTAGGTTGCTCTTGTATTTTTCAAAATACCTATATATACATATTTGGTATATGTTTTATACCAAAATAGCCCATGTTTTGACTTTGTGCATTTGGTCTGAGGTTGGTCTGTAGTTTTGGTAGTGACTTTTTCTAAGGATACCTGTGAGAAAAACAGAGGAAGAAGAAATCTTCTGATGACTTTTGTTTTGCTGTCTTATTCTTACCATTATTACTTAACTGTTTAGGGATTTAAAAACATTGAGTTTTGTATGCTAGCAAATGGTTCTTAAAGGAAGAGTTTAGGTAACCTGTGCCACTCAGAAGCAAGACATGCTGTCTGTGATTTCCCTGGTTGTTGGCTGAGACATAAAGCTGTGTGCATTCAGGTTGGGGGGTGATGCAGTCCATCCCTGCCATGCAGAGCCATTGCCCTTCTGCACTTGTTTGTGATGCACTGTTTGCCAGGGTGACTACCAGGGTGTCTCCTGATGCCATTCACAGTAACATTTCATGCATCATGTGAGAATTGCTGAGAAAGGTGGCCAAGTAGAATGCCCTCAGGATTGTTTTCCAGTCTGACATGAGGAGTCTTACCAACAACCTGTTCAACAGGAGTTATTAGTTAAAAGAAGGAAGAATGGAAAAGGAAGGAGAAATGGAGAATACTTTTCAGTATTTTCCTGACAAATGTTAAGTGTGATTAGTGACTTTAGTGTTGTTTTTAAAGTATTCTTGAGATCTTGCATTTGTGCATAAAATTTTTGTTAGACTTTTCTTTGCCAAGAAAAACAAGCATGACTTCCTGGAAGTTACTTGCGCTGTGTGTTGTACGTCCAAGGAAGAAACTTATTATTGTGCACTTCTAAAAAGTGCGTGAATTAGCAGTGTCACTTTGTTTAATGTTTCTGTCGTATGTTTTGGTTTGCTAAATACATTGAGAAAATCTTTAATCTGTTTAAAAATACAAAATAAAAATTATTAAGGAACAGTAACAGGAAGGTGGCCAGTGTAATCTGCAGGGTGTCTTAACACCATTGCCAAGTCTGAAATAATCTCTCACTTTGGATGTCAAAATTCATTCATTAGCTGCAGTCGACTTCAGGTTTAAAATCAACTCTTTTTGCTTAGCCTAGAAGCTTGAAGTGTGTGTGTCTGTCTTACAGAAATGGAGTAAAACAGTTGTACTGATTTAAAGTGCTATTGATGTGGTTAGCCAGAGGAAGCAGTGGAACTCCTTGGTCTAATTTGGAGCATGTAGCTGAGATGGGATTCCAAATCAAGAAACATTAAAAATATCAAGCAATTAAAAACAGTAATAATTAAGTAGTAGAAGTGTTTAGTGCTATTCTACTTATTAAGCTCTTGCTGAACATTTTTCTATTCACGTGTATCTATTATTGAGGTTGAGAAAAGACAGAACATATCAAACGTCATATTAATCAACAGCTAAGTAAAACCATTCTTTTACTTCCTCCAATTATATATTCAGACTGTTCATTATTTTAAAATAAATGTTTTGGTTAGAAGTGCTAAACTGTTATACAGGAAGTATATCAAGAATGAAGTCCTTTATCCAAATGTCAATATTCTTTCTCACCTCCTCAGAGATACACTTTGAAAGAGCTGAAAATCTTTAACCTTGATACTAAGTGGTTGAATATTGTCCAGACAAACTTCTTTCCTTGCATCCTGTTTTCTGACGTAATTGGAATTGCCATAACAACAGAGAATAACTTCATGATTAGTGTTTTTCTTCTCCACCCTTGCTTTTCAGGCTAAAATTTTAACTTTTGATTGTTGGCTCCACTGTTGCAATGCTGCTTTTCAGTAATGATTGGGATGATGCAATAGACCATATGTTTATAAAGCTGATATTGACATCCTTCCCAGCTTCATGTCATCTGAAAACAGTGTTGGAAGGCAGAATTAGAATTCAGAATAATTTTGGCAATGAGAAAAATTAACTGGCAAAGTACTGTGCAATTTAATAGGAACACATTTGAGCTTATGTGAATAGGTGGAAATAGTTAAATACTAGTGAAAACAGTGAGAATCTTGAAGAGTTTTTGAGAGGATGATTGAGAAGCTACAGAGGCTTACAAGTTGTTTATTATTTAGCTGTGTGATGCATCTGGGAGGGCGAGGAAAGCAGCAATATATTGCCTTGTAGAAATGGGATGTTGAGGACACAAAGGCCTCATTCTTTACTCAGAACTCATAAGGCCTGCATTAGATACTGTATCCAGTTTTGAGTACAGAATTTTGGCAAATCAGTGGTCCATTGGAAGAATTCTGAGGGAAATAAGAGAAAGATTGGTTAGAAGTCTACTAAACCTAGTTTACAGGGCAAGGGAAAGAATTTGAGCTAACGAGTCTAAAAGGAAAAAAAAAAGGAGGAAGAAGTTTAGGTCTTCAAGTGGGGAAAAAGGCTACCACAGAGAGCTACTAAACAGTCTTTTACCTGTATTTTAAGTGGGTGTGATGAAATCAAAGGACTTACTTTAAAAAAAGATTGCAATAATACTTTTTATGGATATGAAAATGTGAAATCCTAGAGCAGAGTAATTGTGAAGGGTGGGGAATCTTGATAATTGGTGTTCTTTGGGAACAGTGTGGATAAATGTTAAGGACTCACACAGATGTGGTTAATCATGCTCTAGAGGAAGGGAATGAAAGGGGCTACGTAGTTTAAGATCCCTTTCTGGCCTTTTTTTATTTTCAAGGAGTGTATCTTCATATTGCAAGATGTGCTTATAAATACTTCCATCAATAGCACTGGCCCATCCTGAAGCATTGGAAGGGATAATGGAATCCAGAGTGAAATACAGAATTTTTGAGAGAGAGATTTCTAGTCCATCAAAGCATCTCAGTTTTCTGATGGGTGCTCTTACTGTACCCTTCTCAGTAAACATTTTGCCCTTCACTTTTCACAGCATTCCTTCATTCACATTGTGTAGATGTGTAGCCAGCATTTTAGGTGGCTAACGGATAAAAGATATTCTTGGACCATTCATTTGGCCTTTAATCAGCCTCATCTGATGTTTAACATTGTCTTTTGAACTTGATCCAGTGCATAGGAAATTAAATAGGGAGGCAGAAGGAAACAATGTAGGTCTAATAGGTTTTTTTTCATGCTTCTATTCAGTGATCATGTGGAAACATGAAATAATTCAAACTAGTATATTGGTATCTGAGAACTTGAGAGGCTTTTAGAAGAAGACCTGTCATAGATTGCTATCCTAAGTAGTAGGAATCATGCTAGCTGCTGTGGGTGGTCAGTAAAACAATATTTTATTTTTAAGAAATTGTCTTTTGTGCCCAGCTGGTAACACTTTGTATTACTGTCTCTGGGAAGCTGTATTTCATTTTCATGCTTCTTTAAGCTTGTGTGTAGTTCTTTGAAAAACAGAAAAAGGACTGAAGCAGCAGGAGACAACCAAGTATTTAGTTCTGCCAACTGCGTCTCCGGAAGAGAAAAGGCTCCAATCAGTAGAAAAGAATGTTAGTAAAAAAGCAGACATGGCTCTGAGTAGGCACCTCTTTTCAGAGTCGGAAACCAAGTCTGGACAGCTACCTGGTCAAAGCAAAGCTCTTTATTTGAGGCAGAACTTTTGTGCTGTCCCATTTCTTTTCTCCCAGTGTCATTGTTTCCATTTTAAAAGAGGATTAAAGATTTTCATGCTTGAAATAATTGAGAAATCTTGTTAGTTTATCTTTGCTTTCCTTTCTTCTTAATGTAAAATTACCATGGAAAATTAAATTTCTTTTGCAGTCCTGAGAGGATGTTACATGGCCTGATGTAAAGGCTCTTGAATATCTGGTCAGTCATGATGTTTGCAGGTAGTGGTGGCAGATGGATTTACTGTGGTGTCTCTGACTTCAGCAAACCTATGCTAAGAATGTACTCAGCCAGTGAGTGTTCATGTGTTTGTGTTATTTGGTTTGTTCTTCCTCTCTACAAGCAACAGTGACTAAAAGGCATCAGAGAGATGAACATGGATGGTTAACACTCATTTCAGCAACCGTGAGGCACTGTGTCCCATGATAAGCTGTTTAATTAAACCTTGCGCATTTTTTAATCTGCAGTTTTGTTTCTGTCTGGCTTTTGTTTCTCATCTTGTCTGTGTCTCTCCAGTTTCAATGTTTCAGACACAGTATCATTTATTTTTATCATGCATGATTAATTCAGTTTACATAAAAGGTTTCTTGAGACGGATGGATAAAGTATATAAAGCCTTTGTTCAGCCTAAATTTGGATTTTGGTGGTTTGTAACTCTTTTCCCTTCAGTGCAAGTCAGTCTTCCAGTTTCTGCTGTGCCTCCCGCTCTTCCCTCCAGCTAGCTTGGAGAGCCTTGCCAAAGCTGTCCAACAACAGCTGTTGAGCAACACGCTTAATCACAGACACTCCCTGCTGTCCAACTGCATTTAATTAGTGTGAAAGATGAAACTGCTTTCAGAAAGTGTGTTAGGGAGAGAAATCAAGCAACGAAACAAAGAGGAAATAAGTGTTTCCTAACCACTACTGCAGTAGGCAGAAAGAAGGAAGTCAACCCAAAGGAAGGGAAAATTGGTAAATGGTTTTTTTGCTCAGTTCTCCAAAGTGCCATATGTGAATGCTGGGTACAGAAATAATTTTCTTTGTCTTAGCAGTAGTGGAAAAGTTCTGCACTAAGTTCTATGTAACAGCATAGGTACATGTTTGAGGATGGTGTGGATCTAACAACCCTGAGCAAGAAGTGTCTTACATACTATGCTGAGTGTGAATGAGTATTGAATTTCAGTGGAATACTGGCCAGCTAGGATATCTAATTACCACATTGTCTGAAAAACTAGGAATTTTGTGTACTTTGGCCATCTGACAGCATTCATTTATTTTTTCCTTTAGCTTAATATTATATAAAATACTTAGAAAACATAAAATCCGAGATCCTACTTTTTTTGTTTTACTAGGGGAAGGAGAAGAAAGAGCAACAATATTACCAAAATATGGGGCCATTGCACCAGTCCCAAAAAATACACCTTAATCTCTATTTGTAGGAAGTGAAGAATCAGGAAAACAGAGCACCAAAGATATGCTTCTGTAGGTATTTAGGAGGAAATATAAGGACAAGGTGCAGTTTCTGGAAAGTATCAGCTTGTTACTGTGCTTGCTCTGGATGGAATATGGACTCCTGAGAAAAATTTGGTCTGCCCTGGACACCTTGTGCAGTCATACTTCATCAGCTTTTTTTTTCAGCTCCCATCAGGCATACAGATGGTTTCAATTGTTTCTGAGTTGGTCTGACAAAGGCTGTAACATAAATCAATACCAGAAAACAAGGGAAAACTCTTTACTTCTTCCCCTTTGCATAGCTTTGCATGGACTAAAAAAGGGAGTGTAAGGGAACAGGAAACATTTTAATGAGGGAGGAGGTAACATGTTTTGAAGATGTACCCCCCCCCTGTAATTTGTGTATTGGGGCTGTCCAAAGAGACAGGGTAGAAGCAATGTGATTTAATTTTTAGCCTGTATCTAAGCAGGTACAACCTGATTTATCATCCTTAAACACTAGATGTATGAGGGTTTTCTGCCCTTCTTGGCCCCAGCATTCCCTCAAGAAAACTTCTGCTCCTTTGTAAGCACACACAAGCAATGCTAGCCAGTGAGATTAGCAGGCAGATAGCATGTGAAAGCTCTGAAGCCCATCTGCTAGGAGTTATGTTCTGTCATTTGTTGCAGACTTGAGGAAGAGAAGGTTGGAATTGTCCTTTGATTCTTACTGGGATTTTGCCGGTTTTGTCATTTGCTCTGAAATTCTTGCTTGAAAACAAATAGCATTTTCCTAGAAAAGTTTCTCTCCAGTGCTTCCATTCCAGGCTTGTAACAAAAACTAATAAATAAGAAACAATGCAGTCTCTTATCTCCTATTTCTGAAGCTCATGGGATGTAGCTGGCAGCCATGAAACAGTCAAAAGCAACGTGGCAGGATCTGTGCAGTGCGTTGGTGTAGCACTTGCTTCTAGACATGATGCAGCTGGAACTCTCACAGGGTGTTGGTCCTCCTTTGTCAGTGCAGAGATTGCAAGAATTGCAAGATGACCTCACTGAGCTGAAGGAGTTTACTGGCTTGGTTCAAAATTACTGGATTCACAGAGGTTGAATGCTAGCTGAGATCTGGTATGAATGCTGCGTTGAAGCAGCCAGAGCTACAGAAATGCTTACGCGTGAAAAACTGAAGTAGCCTGGAATGCTCTTGCCATAAGGAAGAAGGAATTCTAGGACTCCTTTCTTATGTTGGATGGGTGCTTTGGCACTAAGCAATCTTGGGAATTTGCAAAGTTCTGATAATAATTTTCATTTCACATCAAAGCAGATGAAACAATCAAAGAGAGGAAACTAAAGCTTAGGCAAAGTTATTCTAATGAAGTGTTTTGAAGAGGGGGAGGAAAACCCTAAGCTTGCATGCTTTTAATTCAAGTTTGTGCAGTTTTATTTGGGGCAACCAACAAAAATGTGAAAGTTGTGAGGCCGTGCGAATTTTCTATTAAACATTTAAGTATCTGGGAATGTTTTGTGAAGAATTTTATGCTTTCACAATTGTGTACAGTGTGTCCTGGGTGATTTTATGACCTGTGTGTGTAAACTGTGAGTAGGGTGGGAATAAGGCAGTAAGTTAGTTTGAAAAAACTGCCTCTTTCTGGAATTTGAAAGATAGCAAAGCTCATGAGTGACTGTATTTAGTAATATGTAACCTTTTTTTTTTTGCTAATTATCACACATAAAATATATTCAGAAGCGACTGCTACTTCAGCTTTTGGGATAAGGAGCAGTCTAGCAAGAAAAGCTGCTTAAATCCTCCGCCCAGCACTGTCACAACCAGTGTGCTTTGAACAATAGGCAGAGACAAGCAGAGTTAGAAATCTGTTCTAAAACACCAGAACTGCCTGATTTTGAAATGCTCTCTTCTTGATGTGGAAAGTCCCAGAAGCCTGCTATCTCATCCAAATTACAAATCCTGCCAGGAGTCCTAAATAGGTAACGGTGCGTGACGGATGGTTTGATAACGAGCGTTCATCTGGCTTCTCCTTGTTTTCTCCCCCCACAGTTGTCTGGTGGGTGCGAGCTGACGGTGGTGATCCACGACTTCACCGCCTGCAATAGTAACGAGCTGACAATCCGCCGTGGGCAGACGGTGGAGGTCCTGGAGAGGCCCCATGACAAACCCGACTGGTGTCTGGTGCGAACCACAGATCGGTCCCCAGCTGCGGAAGGCCTGGTCCCCTGCGGGTCCCTCTGCATCGCCCACTCCCGCAGCAGCATGGAGATGGAGGGCATTTTTAACCACAAAGGTAAGGAATGATGGGCACAAAGTCTAGACATCAGCAGCATCCAGGTAATGGAGTATACTGTGCATATGGCAGCTTTGGCATTCCTGCACTGCCTTGTTTTCAGCAACCATGCTGTCTTTTCAAAGAATAAGCAGTTTGCGGTTCTCAGCATTAAGGAAAGATGTGGCTGAAGATAGGGAAGAGGTTTAAGCAAATTATATCATGATCAAGAGTTATATATCATATTAGATCAAGCTACAGTGATAGGAAAACCTGTACCTCTGAGAAGTGCTGAAAGTCAGGAGGGAAGAAAATCTCTGGTGTAGATTATCAGTGTTTTCTGAGAAACCCTGCAGTAAGAAGTCAGGAAGGTTTAGCGATGGAAAATGTAAATACACTCATCCATATGCCCTGGCATGGAAATTGTTCATTTGGACTTCTGTATTTTGCTTATCTGAGCTTTTCAGAGTAGCACTGGCACACTTTTCCCCAGAGCATCTCAGAAATCTTACTTTGTTTTTTTTTGCAGATGAATGCAAGAATATTCCTCTGAAGGGTGCAAAAAATATCTAGGATTTTAGTGTGCTGTAATCTTTTGACTCTGTAAACTATCTAAGCTCAAAGAGTAGATTGTTATTAGAGAAAATGCTTGTTTGCCTCATTGAGGCTTGAGTGAGCATTTACCTGCTTGAGTTAGCAGGCTGTGAACAGAAAGAAATGTGAACTTAATAAAAAAAAAAAAAAAGGAGGGAAAACCCCAGAAAAATAGTTCATTAGAAGGCATTTCATCCCATGCAGTGGGAAAAGATGCATTTCAAAGAGTTTGTTATTGCAGGTAATAAGATTAGCAGACAAGTGATGTTGGGGAAAATTTGTCTTCCAAAACACAAAATTCTGTTTTTGGAAAGTTTTTCATAAATGTAACCGTAATTTTTTTAAATTATTCAGTCCATTTCAGCTATTACAATTTTTCCCTTTTTTTTTAAGACACTCTAAATATGCTTGACTGAAGCAGGGGTGAGACTGTGTTTCTTGCATCAGGGGCAGGCACAGCAGGAACTTCCTGAATGCATTAGGTGATTAGGGGCTGGGGGAGAGTTTGAAGGCTTGAGCTGTATAGTTGTAGTACTCTTTTTTCATTTTGTGTCCTACAATAATTTGGATAGGGAAAGCTTGCAGGTGTTCTGCAAGGTGATGATAAAATTGGAAAACGTAGTTGGGTAACACTAAAACTTTTATTCTTGGACTAAGGGGTGAAAAAGCTGGGGTTTTTTTAACAACACTCACAGAACTGATAAATTCAATTTCCTTTGGAGATTAGGGACTTCACCTTTGAATGCAAAGAATTTTATTAGGAGAGGCAGAGAGTACTGGACTATATATACATATGTACATAATATGAAATACCTTGAGCCTGTCAGAATCCCGAGGGACAGACAGAGCTGGTTTTGTGGTTGAGAAGTTGCTTTCATTAATCAAACCAGTGGACATGACCAGTATTACTTTTTTCTTCTTTAGAATTTGTTTAGGGAAAATGGGGCACAGCCTTTCAAGGATACTTTGCTTTGTTTAACATGGTGTTTTGAAGTAAAGAGCATTAATTAATTATATTAATCATGGACGCTGAAGAAGAGGAGAAAGCCATTGCTAGAATGAGCATAATTTGCAGGGTTGAATGCAGCCTCAGAAGTGCCTTCTGTGTCCCTGCCACAGGCTTCCTCCGGGATGTTATGGTATGCCATCCTAATCCTAACTGATAAGAAGCAGCTGCAAATTGTTTATTCCCACATTGGTGGGTGTCAGGCTTCAGGAGATAGATGTTAATTTGTAAGGTTTCCCCTATGCCTGACTGAAGTGAGTGTGAGCTGTCTTGAACATGCAAGTTGTTACATAATGTTAAGTAGTCTGGAGAGGGAAAAAAAAGAGTACACAAGGCACTTGAAACTACTGGATTTGTTTCACTTTGGTCCCTACCTCATCTTTCTATTGCTTGAAAGAGGTTGATAGTGTTCATGTTGTTGAAAGATTATAAAAATTAAGCAAAACCAGTGGTGTGCTTTGATTTTATTTTCCCCCCGTAGTGAAAAGTACCTCTGACAATCCCACAAACCAATTATTCATTCTCAAGTGCTGCATTTGATTAAATAAAGCATTGGGGAATATGCTAATCAGAAGAACGGAAAAACAATTAGATGATCTTCTCAGAATTGTTCATTGTGGATATTGATTGAGGTATGAAGTCCTAAAAAGCAAAAAAATCCTCTAACAAAGAATGACTGACTTACCATGTTCTTGGGTGGATAATTTTTCATGTACTTCCTAGATTTCTAGTAGTTAAATATGTACCTTCAGTCTTTACAATACAATACTTTTCCATTTTTGACAATAATTCAGTGAAATTTTCATAGTTTTTGAGAGATTCAACAAATTAGGATTTGAGGTCTGAAAATACACGTCATATATGAGGCTCACAGTGTGAGCATCAAGTCTGGGTAATTCTGTACTGTTCATGGACTAAGACATGAGTCTCAAATTTTTGCATGTCTGACATGACAAGCTCTTGGGAGAGGCTGAGAGAAAGAGAGGGTTTATGTATTGCAGGGGAATGAGGGAAGTGATCACCATCACAAGTGGTGGGGTTGGCTACTTGGATGTAGAGTGCTTAGCCTATGCAGACAGCTTGCTGAGGAGTTTTGCATTCCATTCAGTATCTATAGAGCCCACAGTTCTGATCTTTTCAACAGTGTTTATCAGTAGCATCACTTGCCAACAAAACAGCAAAAACAAAAAACACAAAAGGAAAAAAAAGAAAGCCACAGCATAGCAGAGGTGAAATGAGCTTCAAAGTTTTGAAACGGCAAACCCCTCATAATTGACAGCTGGTTCTTATGGTGTGTCAAACCACATGTACAGAAATGTTGGGTGATACTTAATGCCTTAAAATATCTCAAATTATTATCCAAAGTAGGGAAACATGCATGATTATTAAAGCAGAAAATATGTTCAGTGAAGCCTGGTTCTAACAGTTGATCTTGGTCATTCCTTGTCTTTCCACACATTATCTGTCAAACATGAAAGGTAATATTGTTTTATTCTCATGTTAAAAGGCAGCCTCAAAAATGACCCTCATAAATTGCCTAAAAGTGTAGGTATTACTTCTCATCTAAGAATGTTTATCATCTAAAGCATCTGATCAGTATGAATGGTTTAAAAATAAAAACATTTACAATATCTTCAATCTCTAAAATGTTATGGTAGTTAAGGTAATAAATACTTTGTTAAGACTACGAGGAAAGCATTGCGCAGAAAAGACATTCACTAGATGAATAGTAAGTTAGGGGGACAGTTGATTGTGGGTTCCTGACCTCTTGCTTGCTCTGCTGGATATCAAATCTATTTTTTGCAAGTTATTTGAGTCATTTAATCAATTTGATGTGCAGTTCACAGATGAATACATTTAAAAAAAAAAATCTAAATCCCTTTTATGATAGGGAGGAAAGAGAAACAAGTGAGTAGTGAAGAGGCTGAATAACAGTTGGTGCACTGTACAAAAAATAAATCAGTAGCTCTGGAAGAACATGTTTTTCACAAGTAATGCAAAAGGCAACATTTTTTTCCAATGATATCCCACATGTTTTGGGGTGTGGGGGAGAAAGATTGTTCCTGTTGTTTTATTTGGTGCTTCTCTCTTTTTTAACAGGGGTTTCTTTTCATTCTTGGGTACATCCTATTTTATAAGTGCAGTCCTCTTTCTTTTCTTTGAAGGGCACTTACACTGCCACAGAGCTTTGGGTAAAAGGCAGGGGGCAGGATTCAGTGTAATGAAAATGCAAGCTCAGAAAAAATTGCAGCAATTTAAAACGATTTGTGAATGTCTTGCCTGTTTAGATCACAAGTTTACTGTCTTTTCTGAATCTGTGAGTACTTCTGAAGAATTTGTAATAGTCTGTCATATCTGTTCTGTAGGAGCTACTGTTTGGAGAGATAAAAAGACTGCAACAATCCTTTGCTTGAGAGGCTTACATTTATGTCTCCTTTGAGTTACAAGATTTTGGGGGGGGGCTGTCTAATTGCCAATTAATGTTACTATCTGTGTGTTTCAAAACTTGGCCACAGAAGTCTTTTGTTTACCTGAAGGTTCAGTGCTTGCCTGTTGTATACCATTGCATAATCCAGGGATCTGTATAGGTTTGTTCAAATATGAGAGGTAGGTGATGTTTTAGTAGCATGGTGCCGAACCACACACTACTCACATACTGAATACTGGCTTTTGATTTCAGTCTGAGGATGCAGTCCTGACTGCAGCCATAAACACAGAAATGTAGCCTCTCTAAAAGAATCTTTACATAATAAGGCAGATCAAATGGCTTTGCAAGACAAATGTTGACAAATATGTTCAAATAGCTGCATAGTAAGCCATTTTCTACACCTGGAAGATGGGAAGGACTGACGTAGGGCAGGTGTCAGAGCTCTTCTTGAATTGCAGTAGGGACCCTCTCTTCAAGAACTAAGGAAGACAAAAATCGTGTGGGTGATCTAGAGATATTTCCCAAGAGGAGAGAGAGATTTTATAGCTGAGGCCACAGAATGGCTAAAACAGTCTTGAATTTGTTACATTAACTAAGCTTGCTGCCACACAACTGGATCCTGTTCAGAATACCAGTTTTCAATGAAAGGAGAACGGGAGAGAGTAAGGTGAAAGTCTCATGTGTGATTGAGAGCTTTGGAAGTTATGTTGACAAAGGGAGTGTTTCATGTTGAGTCTAAATACCGTTCAATACAGGAAGAGCGAGCTCTGTGTATCAACAGGAGAATTGGACCAGCAAAATGGGCATCCAGTTTGAATAACTGAAGAAGGATTCCCTGTTCATAGTGGAAGAAAAGAAGGATGACTTGCGCAGCAGCAACTGTTTGCTTAGGAGCAGAGGGAGGCTGTGGAAAGGGAGGATTTGCTGTTTTGAGACTGCAAGCAAGTGAAGCATAGGCCATGTGTAAGGAAAAAGGATCCCCACCCGTGGCTC